CAAGGAGCGACAGCGCAACTTCTGGTGAGTTGTTGTTCAAACAGGGAAGCTTCTGCTTATTTGCTGCCGCAGCTCTTCCTTTGGACAGGCCCCCAGGTGTTTGCCTGTGGTCCTCCACAAAATACGATAAGTGCTGGCTGCTGGATGGCAGCAAGTGCAGCAATTTCGTGGTAGTTGCCATACTGCTGGCTTTCATCCATATCCGCTGGCCACGCCCTGGAAAGCCAAAGACTGAATGATGAATATTTCATGGTCATTTCCGCAGTAGCGGAGCCTCCAGTCGCAATCAGATGCGCTTCTCCGCAATGACTCTTGCGATCGCTGCATCGAACATCAATTCTTGTTGCACAAGCTTCGCCCTTTCCTTCTAGTCCGCGACTCGACTGGTGCCTTACATCACTTTTTCTTGGACTAGGGGACACGCAGGCCAATGACAGGGAGAAAGTTGTGGTGTAGCCACTGCGGCTATGTTTGTTTTTTGTTGTTTTTGCTTCTGTGTTTTTATGTTTCGGCCTGGCGGAAGCCACACGGCGTTGGACGGAAAAAAAGTGGTGTAGCCACTGCGGCTGCCAATCTGCTGTTCCAAACAGAGCTGCCGCTAGTGGTGGCCACCCAACTTGCGCCAACTCCTCAAGTCGCGATGGCAGACGTTGCTTGGCCTGCCTAGAAGTGGCGATCCTAGTAAACCCTTTTCTGTGTCACAAGGCGGCTGAGTGGTTGAAAGGTAATTCAACATGTTTAAGGTGGGCTTTGCTGGCAATAGCAGCAAGTTCATCTGGGTTTCGCTCAGAATCAGCAAGTTCAGACTCTAGAAGTGGGCTGCGATGTCCAGATGCTGGTTGACCTTTTGGCAGTTGAACTTGAGCACGATTGGGCAGTGGGCGAGGAGTTGCTGCTTTGCTCTTCTTCTCGCTCAGTTGGATGTGGGCTCGGAGGTTCTGACCCACCAAAGTCAACCTCATCCTCAAAATTGCCTGTGGGATCTGGAGGCGGTGCCTGCACGTCAATAGTCGCAAAGTTCTCAACACTGCGCGATTTGGGCAGCTTGATAGAAGGGCCGTTGTTGTTGCGTGGCTTTCCCCGTGTCAACCGATCGTGCTCTCTTCTGCGCAGGTGCAATGAAGAAACAAAGGATTCATCCGGTTTCAAATGCATACTATGGTTCTTTCGCGGATGATGCTGAACTCCAGGCAACATACACACCCGACCCGTAAGTTGCCGCGTTAGGAGTTCTACGGGCACAAAAGAGAACTGAAATCTGACGCTGCAAAGAATGATTATCTTATTTTTCTCAATTACTGTATTGTTTGGAGGGGTGCAGGGGAACGTGCCCAAATTTGAGAAATTGTGGCGGGTAAGATTCCAGTCTAACCACTTAACAGCGCGGTCAATTTCTGTTATTTTGTGTCTGAAAAATAGATAGAGAAAACCATGGTGCAAAGGTGCAACTTTCGGAAGTGTGAATAAGAAACTGTACAGGTTCTGTTTGCACCCTGAAAAAGTTGCACCTTTGCACTCTTCAGAATTTGGCAATGTACAGGGGAAGTATTTCCAAATTTGCTGATCTTTCTGTCACTTTGTTTGTTTTCTCATGTGGCTTCTTCTTCGGCTTCGTATTGGGGAGGGCCCTTCTCCTTTGTTTTGTTTCTGTTTTTGTTCCGAGAGGGGCGGTAGATTCCCGGTAGAGCCATGGACTAGGCTGCACTGCAGTGAGCTTGACTGGCGCTGTCCAGTTGAGCTTCCTGCAGTTCAGTCTGGAGCGCCCGCGTGCAGCAAAGCCTGCCCACATGGTTCGTTGTGCGGATGTTCTGTAGTGCCCTGGCAGATGGCCCACTCGGTGGGAGAGTGGCCTGGTCTGGAATACACTGCTAACTTACGGTGCATCTGGTCCTCTCCGCAGGCTCTTGCTGGGACGATGACGCCTAGTGACTCCTGTCTGAGAATCTGGTGCTGGTGCAGCGAACCATTTCAACCTTCATAGCTTTGGGGGACGAGTTCGACTGCAATGCGAATGCAACTTTTGCTTAAATAGCGGCAGTAGCATACTGGTTGTGCTCACGAGCCCATGCTATGGTCAGAAGCTTCGTCTGTCTGTAATGGCCGTATAGTGCCGGTCAGGCCTTTTCAGCCACCTTTTTACCCACTGCCCATTAGGGTCTTGGGCCCTTTGCTACATGACGGTTCCTGCGAGGGCTCACACCATCTGGCATGTCTTGCGGGCCGTCAGTACTCTCCTCCCCACCTAGGGGGGGAAATAGATCACAATCCCTTGCGGCGGTGTATATTGACTGGAACAGACTGACTTGCGTACGCTGAACGATGCAGGATGAACAGCAGCGATGCGAGAGTTGCTATATTGACAAGACGTCCATACAGGCGGCCTCTGTCGTGCTACACATCAGTCTGCCTGCAATACTGGATTCTCTTATCTTTCTCAGGTGAGACATTCTGGGCGATCATGTACTATATTTCATGCACTGCCGCAATGATAATTAGTTTGCATGTTTTTGAGGATGATACGGTGGCTAAGGTCACTGTATCTAAGGCAAGTCTGAATGTGTTTTGTGTTTTTGTTGGGCCCTGCCCCGTTCTTTGTTGCTTCGCTGTTTTGCTTTGAGGCGAAACGCAAATCTGGCTGGGGGATTTGCGGGTCGTTTTTGGTTGTGGTGGTTTTGTTGTTTTGGTTGTCCTTTTTTTCGTGATGATTTGCCAAAATTTTTGGACCACACGTGTCCTTGTACATTACTGCTTTTCACTGCTTACGCAATTGTAAGGACCGAGCCTAGTGCGAATCGGCCAAACCGGAGGAAAAAAAAAAGATCTTTCTGTCACTTTGGGAGCAGCACCTCGCCATGTCCACAGAGTTCGTTTTTAGCACCTGAAATCAGCAGACTTTTTGGAGACAGGTGGTGGCTTCCCTTGTAGCTCTGGTTCACACCACGTTTCTTTTTGATTCACTTTCCCATTGCCATATGTCATTGCTAGCCTTTGGATTGTGTCAAGTGTTTGCCAATCTGTGAGATCGTTGCCCTCGCGGCTCGCACTTTGTGATCTCGAGGCTCCTGGCTGGGAGGAGCCTCGATTTCCGCATTGTGCTGTGTTGCTTCAAGCTCACAGATTGCGGTATGGCTTTTTCGTGATTTCGGTTTGCCTGGTTGATGTTTGCCACACCAATCTTATGGGTGATACAATGTTATCATCTTCTCTGATACGTTTCAATTCAAGTTCACTGACCAGCTGATCACCAACCATGCCGTGGTTGTTTGGTGTCTTGTTGGGTTTTGTTGTGGTTTCTGTGTTTTGTGTGTCTTTTGGGTGTCGTTTTTGTCTTTGTTGCTTTTCTTGTTGCTTTACACGGTGACAGCTCTATGGATTATGTATCGATCCAACCAAAATCTCCTTTTGATGCACATTGTCGTCATGATGATGTTGCCACTGCATTAATTCGGGGAATTTTCAAAATGCAACTGGCTGTTCGGCTTGATAAACGACCTGCGCCGTACCCAATGTACGGAGGTCTTGTTCACTCATGATGCCTGACAGAAGTTCAGTTCGCTGGAGCGATGTTGCCTCAAGTGATTGTTGAGTGCGGGCAAGAGTATTGCGTAATCTTGGAGACGAAGGAGAAGCAGTGCTTCGCTGCAGTTCTGTGGTTCGCCGGTCACCCGTGTAGATTCGTCCGGCTGAGTAGGATTAGTGACCTGCATGGCAGCGTTGATCACTGGCTCTTCGGTCCAAACTGAGCACAACAGCGACGGGTGCCATGGCGAGATGTGCTTTGACATCGGCCTAATCTACTGCCACCGAACAGGGAAACCACAGAACTCCCCCCCTCCCAACAGAATACCCCGGACTCGCATGAAAACCCGTAGGACCTGTGTGAGTCATCTGGAGCGTGGCTCACGTTGCACGGTGCAACCAACCAGTCATGGGTCTCCCATGTTGGTCGGAATGTTTTTGTTTTTTTTTGAAAAAAAAACGGGCATCAAACAAATCGAACAATTTAATAGGTCGCCCGGACTCTGCAAGAAAGCGCAAGATGCGCAAGATGCTGTTTTGATATTTTTGAAGTTTTCAGTTTCAGTCGCGCTGACAAGGCGTTTGAGATTTTTGAGGTTTTCAATTTACTATGCAATTTACAAGATTAACCGCGGTTTTGAGATTTTTGAGGTTTTGAGTTTCAATCGCACTGACAAGGCGTTTGAGATTTTTTTGTCCAACGGGGACTCGGGATACTATAATACTATCAGGAGGGGTCTCCAAGGCAGGTGGCCACCAAGGTCCGGCCATCATCCCCCCGAAAGCAGTTAGAATTTTCCGAACTGTTTCCAAGTCCCTGCCAAGGTACAAAGTGCCCTTCTTGTTGCATGCGTTAGGAGTCTAGAGGGGCGAAGGGAGGGGGAGTCCAAAAACAAACAACGCATTAATCATTAAAAGACCAAAACAAAACTGAGCAGTGCGACGCCCAATCGTGACAAAACAATCCACTGCCAACACAAACGTCCAGAAAAAAGCATCCCGCCAGCAATGTCGCAGCAGAATCAGCACCTCACCCACGCCATGCTGCGAAAGCCTGTGACAACAACACCCAAACAATTCCAAACAACATGGTGCTTTGGCAAAGATGGGCAACATGCAGGCGGGGCTGGAGACCTTGAATCAGCAACGGTGTTCCCCGGGATCCTGCCATTCTGTTGGACTTGCAAAAGCACTGCGGTTTGTTAAAGCCGTGCTAGTTTTGGCAAAAAGGTCACTGCAGCAATCTCATTTTCGGGGCCGTAAACACATTAGCTTTTTGGACTCCAAGCAGTGGTCCTCCCCAGTATGTCCGACAGACTTGGCTAAGGGTCCCACAGCCACAGACTTGGTCAGGGCACATTAGTGCTAATTGCTGGGTTTCCCCCGCTGCAGACACCAATCAAGACAAGGGGGTGTCTCACAGGGAAAGGATCTCACACCCAGAAACTTAAGGGCAAAGGGGGCTCCAAAGGGAAGGGAGGATGTTCGCAGCTTGCGATGACTCCGGAACTTGGTGGTACACAGAAGCCAGTGAAGGTAAATCCTTTGAAGAGGCGGTGAGGAATCTGCGGAGCAAGCAGCTCCAGCAGAGGAATTTGGTCCTTGTTTTGAATTCTGTTTTGCATTCATTTTTACCAGCCTTGTCTAAGGAAAACAAAGAATTCATGAGCCCAATCAACGATACTGCGCCCTTAGGCGAGCAGACCTGGGAAATTGAAGAGCTCTATGATTTTGATGGGTCCTTAGTGACTATCTTTTGATTGGTCCTTTTGTGCATGACCAAGATTGTAAACCCGAAGCAGATCATGACGATGTGCTTTCTGTTTTGCTGTCTATCAACAAGGCTAGTGTTGACTCTGGTTTTTGGTTGTTGGACAGTGGGGTTTCAGTGAACGTGATCACTAAGGAGGCCTTACAACATTTGCAACACACCGAAGTTCAAAGTTTTGCCAATCCAATGCAAGCTGCCAATGGCAGTGATGTAGCAATGGAGGGTTTCTGCAAGGTTCTTTTGGAAATCCAGGTAGTTGACCCCAAAGGGGATAAGCGTACTGGAGTCATTCCTATGGATGTTTTGGTTGGACAAACTGCGTTTTGCATCTTGTCAACTTGCAAAATGGGGCGCCTTGGGTGGAAGACAACTGTTGGGAAACATGGGGTGGAAATGACTCATGAGGCAACAGGTGTTGGCCACGGATGTTTCAGTTTGGCATGACACTCCATGGGTTGTGGTTAAGCCGTATTTGGGGAATGATGTGAAACTTGAGCCACCTGTTTTATCTGCTGTTATTGGTGACATGATCGTTTCTGTTTTGACGCCTGATGAGATGGCAGCCCATAGGCTGCGAGGTCATATTCCTTTTGAGCCTTCATGTGAAACATGCCAATCTTGCCAAGGTGTGCATCAACACAGGCGTAGGAAACAGGACAAGAGGCTTGTCACTGAAATCCATGCTGATTTCGCTTTCATTAGTCAGGGAATGGAAGTCGGAACTGAAGAGCAGTCTTCTTCCCACAAGGTTTTGATCTTGAAGGAGACATTCTCATCCAGCCTATAGGGGCCGTATGGTGCGGGCCCGATCTTGATGCCACTCGCACGTTGATCGTCAAATGGCTAGACGAATTCGGGCTGAGATTGAAGTCAGTTTCAATACAGCTCATCACGGATGCAGAGGTAGCTGTGGGCAATCTGATTGCCGGCTGTGACAGCTGTTTCACTTCGAAGTGAGAAAAGCCGCGCCTCAAAATCACGAGTCAGCAGGACACGCTGAGCGTGCAGTGAGGACGGTGAAAAGATCCTTTTAAAGACACTGATATTGGATCACGAGAGGCAATTTGGTTTGGAGCCAGTGTTCCTCCAGTTTGCCTTGAACTATGTCTGCTTTGCGCACAACAACTTTGCGCTTGTTCAGGGTTCCAAGCGTAGTCCACGCGAGATTGATTTGGGGGAACGCGTAAAGACAGATTCGTTCGCTCTGTTTGGATCCAAGGATATCCAAGGTGTTAGCTGAGGTTCCTGATTCACTTCGTGCCAGCAATCCAAACTTGCCACGTTTTGTTCCAGCTTCATTTTTGCACCAGCAATTCAACTCTATGGGGAGTATTGTTGCTGCCAGGATTAGGGTTGGAGTTGAGATGATTAGGAGGGTTTTCGTAGCGAAGAGTCTGAAAATCCCATCACGGTTGTGAATGATGTTGGACTGTTTGTGCCTTTGGTTGATGAGAGATCAGGGTTACCTATAGGTCAGTATATCCATCAGAATCTGGACCTGTGAACATGCTTCCAGAAGGGCAGGATTTGTCCAAGTCTGCGGCAGGACCGCGTTTGAAGTGGGTGGAAGAACATGGAATTACACCAGATTGTGGGGCATGTAAATCCATTGAAGTGAATGGGACTCGTAAGGGGAAGAATCATTCCAAGGGTTGTTGTGAACGTTATTGGAATTGGATGAAGGCACAAGCCAGTGAACAAACCCCGAAAACCCCCGCAAAGGTTCCTGATTTGGGTTTGAAGAATGTTCCACCAGAAGAAAAGGATGACTATGAGCCTGATCTTGATGAGTTCAAGCCCAGTCCACCTGGTAGATTGGAAGTGGTTCCCGTTAATACCTCCAGCTCTTATGGACCTGATTTTGGAGATGGTGGTGTTGACATTCTGGGAATGGATGATCCTGTTTCCAGTCCTGATCAGAAGAGGGAATCCACTGCAGTTGAGCCTGAGCCGTGTGCCAAGAAGGTGCGATTCACCCGGGGTTGCCCAGCATGTGAGTCTGGCATGAATGCTCCAGGGATCCGCCGCAGTGCTTCGTGTAAGAAGGCTTTTGAGACGAGTAGCTCACCTTCGGTGGAACCTGTGAGGCAGGACCCAGGGGATGTGGCTATGGAAGGTTCGACGGAAGGGTTGGCAGCTGACACGGAGTTTGCTCGCATCACGCGATTGAAGCGCAGCCTCTGCAGGAACTTGAGAAGGAGACTGCAGATAAGGTAGAGCGATCCAAGCCGAGGATTCCAGCACTGTTGCAGGATGTTGCAGATTTGGCATTCAAAGCGACGGACTCTGACGAACCGGTTATGAATTTACCTCTGTTCTCCATCAAGTTTGCCACGAACGCCACAAGTCTGGTAGTGCCTTTTGGGAACCTCCATATCCGACTTTGGGAACCTGAATCTTCTGTTGATGATACCACTTTGAAAGAATTGTCACGGGAAAGCGCTCTTTTAGGAATGAGAAAAGAAATCCAAAACTTGTCTGATCTAGGCACTGGTGATTTGTACACTCAGGAGGAACTGCAGTCCAAGGGATTGGACAAGAGTTGCCGGATTATCTCAACAAGGTGGGTCACCACCGACAAAGGGGGTGGAGTCACCAGAGCTAGGATTGCGATCAAGGATGTAGCGCGCAACCAAGATACAGCTCGAAGTTTGGGCATATCCAGCCCAACGCCGTCTTCAGACGCCCTTCAGGTTTTATTGGGTGTAGCCGGATGCTTGGTTTGGTCCTTGGTGCGGCCGATGTTACCGCCGCCTTCATGGCTACTCCTTTGAGAAAGAGAGACGTCATTGCGAAACTGCCAGCATTATCTGTGAGCGATCTTTCTGGTAGGGCAATGTATCTCCACCTGTTTAAGGCGTTGAATTGTTTTGCGGTCTGCTAGTCAAGAATGGGTTATCTTCTTATCCGAAAGTAGTCTGAGAGAGTCTGAGAGAGTCTGAGAGAGTCTGAGAGAGTCTAAGAGAGTCTGAGAGAGTCTGAGAGAATCTGAGAGAGAGTCTGAGAGAGTCTGAGAGAGCCTGAGAGAGTCTGAGAGAGAGTCTGAGAGAGAGTCTGTGAGACAGTCTGACAGAGTCTGAGACAGTCTGAGAGAGCCTGAGAGAGTCTGAGAGAGTCTGTTTCTGAATTGCAACTCGAATCTGATTCGCTGGAACAATGTCTTTTCACGGGAAGACTGAAATCAGGAGCGGTTTGTTTGTTGTTGTCATATGTTGATGACATTTTGATTGTTTCTGAGACTGAGAAGGACATTGAAGAGGTTTTGTCAGTGATTGGGAAGAAAATTGTCCTTAAGAAAACTGGTTTGGTGCAATCCTCGAAAGGGGGTGGAGGCCAGCTGAAATTTTTTGGGCGACAGATTTTCCGTCAGCAAGGTGACAAGGCTATCTTTGTTGGGTTGCCAGAGGATTATCTCAAAACCACTTTTGAGTCTTTTGGTTTGAAGACTGGTTGTCGTAGTGCGCCAGACATCACTTCTATGTTGGACCAGGACGGCAAGGAATGTACCCCCGGAGCCTACAGTAGGTTCCGTTCTGCCTTAGGAAAGTTATCGTGGTTCGTTCAAACGCGCCAAGATATCAGAGCGTGGATGGGGCTTTTGGCCACCCAGCACTCCAAACCAACTGAGCACACTGAAAAGGCGTTGAGAGCCGTTCTGCGTTTTCTGGTCCAGGATCAGGGTGTGATGTTGCGGTTGCCAGCAGAGATCGCCCCACGAGAGGCCACCAACCATCCGCTTGCAAATGACGCGGAAGATAATGCTAGAATCTAGTAGCTTTCTCTGATGCATCACATGCTCCTTTAAAGAGTACCGGAAGGCGTGGTGTAACAGGAGGGGTTATTACCTTTCGCGGCTGTTCGATTAAAACTTTGTCACGACACCAACAACTAGTGAGCCTATCTAAAATGGAATCAGAACTCTACGCTTTGCAAGCCGTACCACAGGAAATGGTCGCTGCTGGGAAGTTCGTGGGACGGGTGATGCGGACTCTTAGGAGAGGTTCTGCCCTATTAAGGCCCCGCTTTAAGGCTCTCCTTAATCACCCCCTTAAGGCCCTTTGTTTCGTTTTTTCTTTCGGGCCCCCTTAAGGTCTCCCTTAAGGCCCCCTTTAAACCCCTCACGTAAGGTCCCCCTGAAGGCCCCCCTAAAGCCCCTCCTTAAGCCCTCCCTTAAGCCCCCCCCTTAAGCCCCCCTTAAGCACCTCCTTAAGCCCCTCTTAAGCACCTCCTTAAGCCCCTCTTAAGCCCCCTTAAGGCTTCAGACTCTCGTGGGGGGAGGGAGGGGACTTTCGTGACTCCGTGGAAAAACAAGAATGAAAAAACAATGAAAATACTTAACGGGGATGAAAAGGGAATGATAATTTTCAATCCAAAAAATGATGATCAAAATGAGAAAATCCAATCCCTAACTGGCTGGCTGCGATGAACATAAGCTTATCATTCATCTTTGCTTTTGGCTGCTGATTCATCTGTGCCCATGATTCGTCATCCATCATCATTATCATCTCATCTCATCTCACCTCACCTCATCTCATTTTATTTCATTTTACCTCATTTTATCTCATTTTATCTCATTTTATCTCATTTGATCTCATTTGATCTCATTTGATCTCATTTGATCTCATTTGATCTCATTTGATCTCATTTGATCTCATTTTATCTCATTTGATCTCATTTTATCTCATTTTATTTCATTTTATCTCATTTTATCTCATTTTATTTCATTTTATCTCATTTTATTTCATTTTATCTCATTTTACCTTATCTTATCTCATCTCATCTCATCTCAGCATCATCATCATCATCATCATCATCATCATGAATGTCATCATTATCATCATCATTCGTCGTCATAGTCATTTACTTGTGCATCCCGTTTGTCACTGCTTATCATTCATCATGTTTATCATTCGCCATTGCTCAAAGTTCATCGATGCTTATCAATCATTGCCCATGTTTGCTCATGTCTCATTTTTGCTTATCATGCGTCGTCCATCAAAAAAATCACCAACTTCATGATCATCGCCATCATCATCATCATCATCATCATCATCATCATCATGAACTCTCTCATGTGAAACATGATGGATTTTTAAGTGAATGAAACCACCGTAAAACGAAATGTGCAATGAGTGGTTGCGGTGATTTTTATGGTGACAAATTTGATGTATTTGAATTTCCGATTTTTTTGTTCATAGTCTCAAGTGAGACTAGAGCAGCTGCTGCAAATCATGTGGGGTGTATGTTTATGTTGCATTACAGTCATGCTAGTGACATGTTTCAACACATGTTCATACAACATAGAACATGAATGAACATCACTTCACTTTATTCAGAACATAACCTCATCATCATCCTTGTCGTTGTCATGAATCATAATGTTGTATTTTCGTGCATGATTTTGTGTTTACCTTTCTCCTGTTTTCTCTCGGGCCCTACTGTCGTGTAGTGTTTGTATTGGTGAATATCTTACGTCGAACAGTGGGCCATTGCTGGAACCACTTTTTTGACACGGTTGGCCACTCCCTGTCCTTTTATCTTGCGCGTCCCTCCTTTATTATTTTGGATGTTTTTGTTTTGTTTTTGTAGTTTAGTGTTTGTTGTCCTCCTTGTTTTTTTTTGTTTATTCCATCTACCTGGCATCATGCCTTGTCGATTCCATTGGCAACATGCAGAAACGATTCACAGCCTTGGATGGTTGCCGTTTCCCATTTGTGTTTTTCCTTATTGCCGCCCGTCGACATACAGTACATGGACAAAAAACAGACCATACAAACATCTACCAAGTAAAACCCTACACCTCAGATTTTGATGTCACTGGTATCTTCATGCCCTTCGGTGTGAAGGTAATTTTTTGGGGTGGGTAGTTACCATGAATGCACACCTCCGCTGCTAGCCTTGTTCATGCTTCGTGCCCCCAACTGCATATGCCATGGTTCTACCATGATTTTGAGCGTGTTTGCGTGGAGGGGAGGGTTTGGATCGTAATTAGTGCCTGCGAGGCTCTGCCCGTCTTGATCCTCAACAGTTTGGCCGACATTCCATGCCAGGTGGAACTGGCGCGCACCACTGTTGCTTATGTGAAGAAACGCAACTCCAACATGGGCTGACACTTGTCACTCAAATGCCAACTGTGCACTCATGGGAGGTGCTATCCCCCAGTGGGCACACTGATGCTTAGATTGGTGCAGTGGATTGGCCACATTTTCTTGCAAAATACTGCGCACCTTTGTGGGTTTCCCATTCTGGCGAAGAACCCAGTTTGAGAACTGGTAAAATCAAAATGGACGAGAAAACTTATCTGGGAGATCAATCAAAAAACGTGGGTTTTGGTGCAGGCAAGTTGACAACCTGCTGCCACAAAAATAAGAGGTCGCTACAATCGGCCATGGTGCCCATGTCGTGTGGCACTATCCTGATGAGACCTTTTTGTTGGTTAGTTGGGATGGATTTAATTTGTTTGTTGGACTTCATGTTGGCAACAGCAATGGCTGTTGGGTTTCCACCTCTGGGTCTGGGAGTGGTGCGTGGTTTTTTGCGGAACCCAAAAACCGGAAGCCGCAACGCCGGAACACAGGAACCCTGGACCTTGCTGTTGGGTTGCAAAGTTGGGCTACTGATAGAATGTGTTTGTGGCCCTTTTTTCTACACCGAAAAATGAAACCAATATGTTTGTGGAACATTTCCATAGTTCTCTCATGTTACCGCATCGAATCTGGAGGTAGTTGTGGCCTATGTGCTGGACATTTGTCACCTCGAAGTGCAAAAAATCCAAACAAAAAACTTTGGAGTTGGCGTTTTTTTAGAGGTCGAATTTTCGGTGTTGAAATTTTCTGATGTTTGGTCAAAAAAATTGCTGAAATTGGTTTGTTTCATATCGCCGTATAACTGGGGTTGTTCTTCTGTTCAAACCTGCAGAGACAAGAGGTGCTTTGGCTGTTGGTTCGACTTATGTTGGTCTATTCCCTAAGATCAAAAGGCGGCTTTGTAATCCACAAATCCCAAACTTGAACAATACAACGCATGAAATTTGCAGCCCCCAATGTTCATTCACCCGTTTCAAAAATCAAATCTTGCAATGGTCCGTTTTGGACTGCAAGTTGTTTTCATGAATTTGTTTAGTTTGTTTACGGTTTTGGTTTTTGTGTTTGCAATCGAGGCCTTCCACGATGTGTCAAATGTCATGTGGTGTAATGTGGTTTTGAAGAAACGCTCGAGTTATCATCGTTGGTTTCAACAAGTCCTTGCTTCAACGAACACAGTTGCCGGTTACAGTCTCATTTTTTTGCAATACAAAATTCCGATGTGACATCGAAAGGGACAATGCTGAAAGGTCGAGTGGCAGTTTGGTGTTTTTTTTTGTATGATGTGTTTTCACACCTGGCGTATAAATGTGCGGTGAATTTTTCACCCTTCCCAAGTTCAAACCTGGATTTTTTCAAGGGTTTTCCAAATCCAAATGCGCCAAAAACAATCTTATTTATGTAGCACCATCCAAATTTTGTTTTGCCATTTGGTATCCAAACAATTGAACAGAACATTTTTTTGCTTTTGTGTTTGGCACTGTTTGGGTACATATTTTTTGAAATCAATTTTGAGTTTCAATTTGCATGAACCTGATGAACGTTGGTTTGCAATTTAGAATCAGGACGATGTGTTTTCATTTCAATAAACATTTGCAAACAACATGCCCATCACGCATCATGTCGCCGTGAGTGAAGGTCTTCATTTTGCATGTTTGCATGTGCACTTTGTGCCCAAACACAGCTGCTGCTTTTGCTTGTTATTTCTGGAGGCCAGGGATAGTTTTTTTCCCTGTTGTCCTCAGGGAGACGGCAACTGCAAACACAATCTACCCGCAGAGACTTGCAGGTTTGTGTTTGCAGATTCAATGTGAAGTGCCATAATTTTTGACACTTGAGGCCATGAGTGTAGAGGTAAATTGTGGCGTTTGTGATTTGACACATGTTGTGCTTTGGTGTTGTGCTGAAAAACATGTCAATTTCTAAAGCAGCAAACCAAGGTGTTCGCAGATCTTGGGCCATATTTTTTTTTACAATTCTTCTGGATGACTGGATGCCTCCTTATGCCTCTCTCTTTCCAATTTAACACTTTGCCATTGCAAGATGATTCTTGTTGTTTGTTGCGGTGGGTGTGTCAGATCAACACATGCCAACATTGTCTATTTCTGAACAGTGAACCCATCATTTCTTTGTTCCATTGGAGGATGGATGAGTTGCAACCCAATCCCGATGAACCTTGGAATTGCATTTATTTTCTTTCTGTTTGTTTCTGGGTAATTAGGTCAGCCCCCTAAGTTGTTTTGGGCATCTACTAAGGATTGCCCGAAATTCGAGCCCAATGCTTTCAAACAGGACCAAACTGTTCTGCAGACTGCACAATGTCTTGCGATGTGCGCGAGATGGGACAAAATACCCTCGGGTAATCAAACATGGCAATGGGAAATCCTGTGTAAATGGGGCATTCAAATGGGCAAATCATCTATAAATGTGATTTTACCTTGCCAGAGGGTATATCCTGTTCTTCCAGGAGAAATGCAAGCACTGCTCAAGACCATGGACTGAGCACAAAGATGTGATCTCTGAGGCGTCGAGTAACAATTTTCTGGTGCGAGTTCCAACAACAAGGGTGGTGTTAGTGTTCCCATTGTTACTTCATAATGCTGCATAATGATTCATGTTGATTCATTTATCCGTTCATTCCGATGATGATTCGATGATGATTCCATGATCTTCATCATCATCATCATCACCACCACCACCACCATGATCAACAACAACATCATCCTCAGGAATTAACATTTGGAGTTCTTTGTTTTGGTACAGTTTTCGGTTTTGTCAGGAATTTCTTCAGAAGTTCCTTAAGAAGAGGCAGCAAGCTCAGGAAGACAAGGAGAAGAAAGAGGCTGCTCAACACCAACACTCGGCAATGAACACACAGGACAAAAAACATGACTTCAAAGACACCACACATTTCAAAACACTCCGCCGTGACAACAAACTTTTTGATGTGCAGGCTGAAGCAGAGCAAGCGGCTGCTGCTAAGAAACAGGCCAAGAAGCGTGCGAGCCAGGCAGACGCTTTTAGTCAGAAGTTTGTGGGACATGGTCACACACGATCTTAATCAGATTGATTTTTGACAGATGAAACAGACGCTTGACATCGCTTGACATCGCTTGACATCGCTTGACATCGCTTGACGAATTGAATCTGATCCAATTTGAAGATTCATTGATGATGTTTGTCCAGTGCACTGACACACTTTAGTCAACGCTTCAGGCCGCGGAGGATGATTGGCTGTTTGATGATAAAGACAAGAAAGATGCACCACAAGCATCACAAGCAGACGACAACGATTCGGAAGATGACTTCACCTTCCGAATGTTTCCCAACTTGATTCTTGTTGATTCTTGATGGTTTGTCATTTTTTGGATGTTTTCATTATGTTTGTGGTAACATTTGTGACTTGTCGTCATCTCAGGTTTGCGCCTGATGAACTTGAAAAACTCCAGTGTCCGCCACCGCCAGTGAACAAGGAGCTGAAGGCGAAACTCTCGACCAATCACTAGAGTTACAGATCAAGTGGTCTATATTTATACAATTGTTCCCAACAGCGAATCTGTTGGATTTCAATCTCTGGGGCCGGGGACTGGTGACACGAAAATGCACGCCCCGAAAAACCGGTATATATATGTACACTGTCATACGTACCTTCATCCACACTTGAGAGCAGGTTGTGAATTTGATTGATTGGGATGAATGCGACGTTGCTGACGAGACGGAGGACTGTCGCGCAGACGACATGCGTGTCAACTGTTAATTTGTTTCGACCTTGCTGAAACGACATACAATGACCAGGTCGGCAAAATTCATTATATACCTTTCAATTTTAATCATGTCATTTTAGCACAGGACAAGGTCACTCTGTTTATTGTGCGCTTTGAAACAGGAGGTCACTGGTGGCGAGGTTGGCTGAATTTGATGCAAGGGCTACTCTTGGAAGCTTTGTTGGTTGTCCGTTAAATTTGAGTCGGCTAGATCTAGCCAATACTGTATCATGTGGCTGCAGTTGCGAAAAGAATTGACAACCTGGAAGGCGACAGGAAGCTCTGTAAGCACGAGAGCTCCCTTGATTGAGGCAGAGTAGACTCTAAGAGAATGGTGATACCCCGCACTTCATTTTGTTTGAATCACTTCAGATTTCAGCTGTCAGGCTGCCTCGTATCCCACCATGAGAGGCGTCTCAGATTCCTTCGAAGACAGAGCAATATTTTTTGTCATCAAAAGATCAAGTCCTCTCATTGAATGTGGCGAGGTGACTTGGGATTTCAGGATACTGGCCAGTCACTTACGATGCCCTAAATTCCCTAAATGATTTCTTTAGTTTGAGTTCTGCAGCATTTCTGCAAATGAGGTCAGCTGTCTGCAGGCGGAATGCCTTACCAATCTGGCAACCAGGATCTGCTGAAACTGGCTGCAGGGGTCTTTTCAGATGTGTTTGACGATTTTGCAGAACGAGGTAACGACATTCTTCTTTTGGGTCGGCTTTGTCTATACTGTCTCTTTCCAACTTGCTTCGATTGGAGGATCTTCAGACTGAAATCCAGCTCTTACGTCAGATGCTTGCTGATGCGAACGAGGAGAAAACTATACAGGTGCCGACTGCAAGGTTTTTGTAACGCGATGCTTGCAAGAGGCATTCGTGTTTTATGCCGATTCACTGCTACATTAACATAAAATTAAGACCCATTAAATGACATTTTGCAATCTTTTGCAATCTTTTGCAATCTTTTGCAATCTTTTGCAATCTTTTGCAATCTTTTGAAATCTTTTGCATCCTTTGTATCCTGCACCTTGTAGGTTGCCATCGTTCGGGATGAGGTTGCGGAGAAGCAAGAACAGGTTCAGGAGTTGACTCGCCAGAAAAGCGAGCTGGAGGCAGGTTTCACTGCGATTGTGCTGCGACCAATTTAGTTGGGAGTTTTTTTTTTTTGTTTTTCAGCCTGGGGCAGCTTTCCTTGCTATTTGCTGCATTTTGGAGCTAAAATCTGTGTTTTGCATGCATTTTGGAGCTAGAATCTCCCATTTGCGTGCCCACTTGGCTTTTGGCTTTTGGCTTTTGGCTTTTGGCTTTTGGCTTTTGGCTTTGGCTTCACTTGGCTTCACTTGGCTTCACTTGGCTTCACTTGGCTTCACTTGGCTTCACTTGGCTTCACTTGGCTTCACTTGGCTTCACTTGGCTTCACTTGGCTTATGGCTTTTGGTTTTGGTTTCACTTGGCTTTCGTTTTGGCCGTTCACTTCACTTGGCTCTTGGCGTTTGTTGGGTTTTAGTATTGTAGTTTGCATATAACATTTCATGTAATGCATTGCATATATATATATAATATTTCATGTAAACTGCACAAAAACTACAGACATAGAGTATAGGAGCTTGTATGCATGCTGTTGTCAGAAAATAACGAAACCATCAATAAAAAGCCTAAATAAACCCTAAACGACACCCTAAAGAAAGCTTAAAAGAAACCCTAAAAAAACCCTAAACGACAGCCTAAAGAAACCCTCAATGAAACCCTAAAGAAACCCCAAATGAAACCCTAAACCCTCAAGAACCCTAGAAGAAACCCTAAAGAATTTTTGAACCCACGGAAAGATCATTGAAGACGATCAAGACAGCGATGAAAACCATCCAGACATCGTTGAAAACCAACAGAAAATTGGTGAAAACTAAAATGTTGCAATTATCGTTAGCTACCCAAATTTGCGATTTCAGCTCTGAAATGCTGCAAATAGCATGCAAAATGAAAGATTTTAGTTCAAAAACGCAGCAAATAGCACGCAAATCAGAGATTTTGGCTCCAAAATGCAGCAAATAGCATGCAAATCAGAGATTAGCCCCAAAATGTAGCAAATAGCAAGGAAAACTGCCCCAGACTGAAAAAGTAAAAAAACATCTAAAAAAAACAAAAAAAATCAAAGAAAAATCAAACACAACATCACCCATTCAGTTGCCAGCTCATTTGGCGCTTTTGGAGGCCCTACTCAGAGAAGCGAGGTCCAAACTTGACTCCTGTGGCGAGAAGGCTTGATCCTTTTAGCTCTGCTATGAACAGCTGTGTTGTTTGGCTGAATCATCATTTGTTCTCCAATGAAACAAGCGAGAGCATGCTGGTCCCAATCCCGGAGGAGTAGTTGTATATGATTATATATAATATATATATATAATATATCTATACACCAAGTTTTCGGAACATGTACTGTACTGTGGAAGTTTGAGCATTTCAGAATTTTTAAGTCTAAACGCTGGCGGAATGAAACATAAAATATACCCAAAATGTAGTTGAGCCAGCAGCCCAGGAAAAGGAAGTTGAAAGAGATCATGCTGAGGCCAGAATGGATCCAAGCAGCTTCTCTTAACCATCTTGACCCAAAGGTTTTCCGTTGAATGGAATTGACATCGAAGCATTTCTCGTTCGTCTTCATTTGTTTTCATTTGATTTTGACTTATCTTCAGGAAGAGCGACTGAAAGCTCGAATGGCTGAACTTGAAGCCAAGCTTCAGGCGCATGCGCGACAAGAGATCGAAATCATTTGAAATCCGAAATCCTGATACTTACGGGGATCCAATAAGAATATAGACTATATCTGTTTTTCTCTTTATAGCATCTGATGTTTGATGGTTTCTGCATTTTGAGACTGAACCCCTTGAAGAAATCGAACATCAAATCGACCCAAAATGAAGTTGAGCCAGCAGCCCAGGAAAAGGAAGTTGAAAGAGACCATGCCGAGGCCAGAATGGATCCAAGTAGCTTCTCTTAACCGTCTTAACCAAAAGTTTTTCTGTTGAATGGGATTGACATTGACGTATTTCTCGTTCGTCTTCATTTGCTTTCATTTGATTTTGACTTATCTTCAGGAAGAGCGACTGAAAGCTCGAATGGCTGAACTTGAAGCCAAGCTTCAGGCGCAAGCGCGACGAGAGATCGAAATCATTCGAAATCCGAATTGATATTTACAAGAATATAGACCAATCCTGTTTCCTTCCTTTATAGCATTTGATGTTTGATCGTTTCTGTATTTTGAGACTGAACCCCTCGAAGAACTTGAACATCAAATAGACCCAAAATGTAGTTGAGCCAGCGGCCCAGGAAAAGGAAGTTGAAAGAGACCATGCCGAGGCCAGAATGGATCCAAGCAGCTTCTCTTAACCGTCTCAACCCGATGGGTTTTCTGTTGAAAGGGATTGACTTTGACATAGAACGAAAGCTAGCTTCTGCTAGCTGAAGTCCCTCTTGCTTTAGCAAGGTTTTGGGGGGGTTGGAATCTCCAATTGCATGAAACTTCATAGTTAACTATCCCACCCGGAGACACCGACTGCATGTCGCCACTAGCAGCATATTCAGCAGCATCTGTATCCTCAGCATTATTGTGTTTTCATACAGAGCTCTCTGCCAAGCTACCTTTCGTCCCTTACCCCTGGGCCTCAAGTTTCTCATTCCTGTTCATTTGTTTTCATTTGATTTTGACTTATCTTCAGGAAGAGCGACTGAAAGCTCGAATGGCTGAACTTGAAGCCAAGCTTCAGGCGCAAGCGCGTCAAGAGATCGAAATCATTCGAAATCCGAATTGATATTTACAAGAATATAGACCAATCCTGTTTCCTTCCTTTATAGCATGTCATGTTTGATCGTTTCTGTATTTTGAGACTGAACCCCTCGAAGAACTTGAACATCAAATAGACCCAAAATGTAGTTGAGCCAGCCGCCCAGGAAAAGGAAACTGAAAGAGACCATGCCGAGGCCGGAGTGGATTTAAGCATTAATTGTCTTAACCCCAAGGGGTTTCTGTTGAATGGGATTGACATCAAGGAATTTCTCGTTCGTCTTCATTTGTTTTCATTTGATTTTGACTTCTCTTCAGGAAGAGCGACTGAAAGCTCGAATGGCTGAACTTGAAGCCAAGCTTCAGGCGCAAGCGCGACGAGAGATCGAAATCATTCGAAATCCGAATTGATATTTACAAGAATATAGACCAATCCTGTTTCCTTCCTTTATAGCATTTGATGTTTGATCGTTTCTGTATTTTGAGACTGAACCCCTCGAAGAACTTGAACATCAAATAGACCCAAAATGTAGTTGAGCCAGCGGCCCAGGAAAAGGAAGTTGAAAGAGACCATGCCGAGGCCAGAATGGATCCAAGCAGCTTCTCTTAACCGTCTCAACCCGATGGGTTTTCTGTTGAAAGGAATTGACTTGGACATAGAACGAAAGCTAGCTTCTGCTAGCTGAAGTCCCTCTTGCTTTAGCAAGGTTTTGGGGGGGGGGTTGGAATCTCCAATCGCATGAAACTTCATAGTTAACTATCCCCCCCGGAGACACCGTCTGCATGTCGCCACTGGCAGCATATTCAGCAGCATCTGTATCCTCAGCATTATTGTGTTTTCATACAGAGCTCTCTGCCAAGCTACCTTTCGTCCCTTACCCCTGGGCCTCAAGTTTCTCATTCCTGTTCATTTGTTTTCATTTGATTTTGACTTCTCTTCAGGAAGAGCGACTGAAAGCTCGAATGGCTGAACTTGAAGCCAAGCTTCAGGCGCAAGCGCGACGAGAGATCGAAATCATTCGAAGTCCGAATTGATATTTACAAGAATATAGACCAATCCTGTTTCCTTCCTTTATAGCATTTGATGTTTGATCGTTTCTGTATTTTGAGACTGAACCCCTCGAAGAACTTGAACATCAACTAGACCCAAAATGTAGTTGAGCCAGCCGCCCAGGAAAAGGAAGTTGAAAGAGACCATGCCGAGGCCGGAATAATTGTCTGAACCCCAAGGGTTTTCTGTTGAATGGGATTGACATCAAAGAATTTCTCGTTCGTCTTCATTTGTTTTCATTTGATTTTGACTTATCTTCAGGAAGAGCGACTGAAAGCTCAAATGGCTGAACTTGAAGCGAAGCTTCAGGCGCATGTGCGACAACAGATCGAAATCATTCGAAATCCGAAATCCTGATACTTACGGGAATCTAACAAGAATATAAACCCCATTTGTTTTCTTTTCTCTGCTATATTTTGTGTGGGTAGCTGGAGCCCTGCTGAAAGCCACCAACCATATTTTGCTCAACATAGTGGCAGACTTCTGTAGTAGGCAGGCACAAGCATCGTCGTTTCTCTGGGCTTGTAGCATCGAGGCTGCGCAAGCGGAAAAGGCTGCCGAAATGGAGAAGGTTGCAGAAGTGCAAAGGGCTGCGGAAGCGCAAATTGCAGCTGCAGCTGGAGGCTGTGAGCCTGACAGCTTTTTCAAACGACTGGGATGGTGCGAAGATGGAAGCTGCCCATGACATGTGATTTGCAGGTGCTGAGGCAGCCGTTTCCAGTCAAATACAGGAGGCACTTGTCACTGTTGCAGCCTCAAGTGTTTGACTTGAGCACTTTGTTTGTGCATTTGAGTCGCATGATGATGTTGCTGGTCCGCCAAAGTGAGTGCTCTGTAGATCTCTTTACTCTGATTGGGAGACTATTTTGTTTCTAAAGAGGTCTCTGAAGTGACGGAGCTGTGCAATCGCACCTCCAGAATATTGTGCGAGGAATGCTGGGGCCCCGGCAACCTCGGCCATGCCGGTCGATGAGAGTTGCTTAGTTAGACCAAGAAATCTTAAAAAAGTAAGTGAATGAATGTTATATATTGTTATATAATATAATATACATGAATTTCAATGTCTCAACTGACTCAACATAAATATCATAAATAATTTAATTTAAATCGGTGCTCGCAGTTTCCATGTGAGGTGAAGGAGCTGAATCCTCCAGTTCAAGCCACCTTCAGGTACAGAGCTGTGGCTGTGACATTTTGGCTGTTCACGAAGCTATACTTGAAATCGAGCTTGTTTTTGATGTGAGTGAACAGATCATTATCATTTCATTATCTCATTCTTGTCAAATTCGAGTAATTTTGCTCAACAGATCCCATAACCTCAAATCCACGGCACTCCTGGGGCCCTAGTTGGGCTCGGTCGGATACGGTGTTCGGCAGGCAGAGCTGGCTCGGTGTCGTGAAAGAGCTCAATCTGCAGCCAACGCTGCTGAACGGGTCATCTCTGACAAGAGGCCTCGAACGCAAACTGAAACATTTATCTCGGCCCTTGTCTTTCTTGCTGCAAAGGCTTCGATTTCAAAGTGGCTTGTAAGACCAAACCAACTATTGTTCTTCCAACGAATGAATCCAACCATGTAAATAAAACTCTCATGAACACATGTTAACAAATGTTAACAACACTTATTAACCCCAGACTACCTCCATGCCATAGCAGCGAGGCAGCTCGTCGCGAAGGTTGAAGAACTGGAGCGCTTGGAGCGCGAGCGAAAAGACTATGCGCAGGACCGACCCAAATCTGTATACTGTGTGTTAACTGCAGTGAAGATCATGCCTGGTTTTACTTTTCGCCGTGCAAGTCACTGACCTATCCCAGAAAGACTCAACGCTTTTTTGAAGATCCTGACCTACTATGCGTTTAGTCCACATTTGGCTAGGCTGTGCGAGATGTCCGCCTGTATGCCGAGCAGCAGCTCGCGCTGATCCTGCAGCGAATGAGTGTGAGTCATGGCCATCAGGCGTGGTCACCTCTGTGGTGTTCTGTGGTTTATTGTTCACGTCACCTCTCATGGCACACCATGGCCCAATAAGTGCAGGTGTTTTTTTTTTTCTCATTTCGTTTTGGTAGTTTTCATTTTGCATGGAACCAGACACTTATACTTCTTGGAGGCGGAACTCCCAAAGCTTGGAAGCTAACAGCGTGGCAGTGAGTGCTGAGCTACCTGTCCATTAGGCTTGTCCATTAGGCTCCAGCTTCATTGGAATTTAAGATTCTGTTAGATAGCTCATTGTGAAGTCAAACGATCCGACGTGTTGCTGATTGAAAGTTTGTTCGCTGGGTTGAACCGATTCGATGCTTGACCAATGAGGCTGAGGAGAACAGAGCATTTCGTTCTAGTCCAGAGTTTCACCAGGATTTACAAATTGAACTAGTATCGAAGTCTTGCAAGAACTAGAGTCAGAAGGCTTGGAGATGCTACAATCACTTGTCTTTTTGATGTACCCCTTAAAGTCATCACGAAAGATCCTGATATTTCAGTCATACCACGCAATGCGAAAGACAATTTCCTGTGGCAGTGGTGCACGGCAGCTTTGACCACAAATGGAGCAACGGCTCCCTTCGAAGTGGTTGTGATCCGTCGGACACGGCTGCTCCTGTGATCCATGGGATTTCTTGCATGATCTCTTTTCCACTCAGCGAGCCTCTTCTCGCAGGCAGCTTCGCACAGGGTTGTTGTGTGAATGAGGCAGCTGAATCCAGAAAGCCTTGATGGCATGGTGAGGGATGTTGTCGCTGATTCATCACAGCCATGTTGCTTTTGATTGCCGTGATATGAACATACGTACGTATGTATACAAAGCCGTGGCATGCAAATGTAAATCTCTAAATGCGCAGATACACATGCAACTACAAATACTTGTGTCCAACAGCTGCTCTGGGATGTACCAAAAACGCCCTCGCAGCTGTATGCAGCTGTGCCTCCTTGGAGCTGTCGCGAGCCGTAGAAGCCCAGAATCTTTGAAGGGCTTGGACCACTGATGGACCACTGATGGACCACTGATTAGCACCGATGCATTGGTAATCCTTTGCTACGGCGTAATCCAGATAATCCAGGATCTTAAGCAAGACACTCCATGCACGCATTTGGCGCAGTGAAATCATTTTGAACCTGAAGTCTTAACAAACACAAGAATTATTATAATGATTACTTGAGATGATACTCTGGAAGGTTTGTTCGGGTTTGGTTTGGTCGAACTCAAAGGAATTAGAGGTCAGAAGTTGAGAGAAAAACTACATATTGTTTTGTGCTTTGGTAATGGTCCTGCTTCCAAAGGGGCAGACATATCCTATCAGCGCCTTTTGCATGTGAAGTCTTTTGTGGAGCAGTGATTCATGAACCATGGGCCATGCAGCGATGAAAAGAACGCTCCCAGGTTGTTTGTTTTCTCACTGGTCAGTGCGAGTAGACACGGCGTGATGCTTGGAGCTGCAACTGACCTTTCCATCTCTGCAGAGCTTCACAGGCTCAGAGGGACACAAATCATGAGAAATCAGGAGAAGATTCAGTTCAAAGTAGACATACTTTCGCTGCGATCAATGCGTCATGAGGGCTTTGATAACTCGTGATATCCAGAAAGGTGCCAGGTCTTCAAGAGATTCAAGAGGAAAAGAGGTTTTCGAACGTGGATAGTCAATGATTGTAGTACACAAAAGGTTCACAACCTTGGCTTTTCTTCCTACATGATCTATATACATGTTTTTTGGACCTTGGGTCCGATATCATGCTGAATGGTTTCCACAATGCTAACACCGCCCTCGCGTCATTTGAAAGTCATGCAACAGAATGTTGCTGAAAGCAAAGCACTTGCTGACGCCCTGCGGGAGCAGAACTCTAGCGAGCGCGGAGCAGATCGTGCAAATGTACACAGACGAAAAGAACAAATGGAGCGCATTAGCAAAGCTCACAGAGAGCGAGAAACTTTTCTACTGCACGTACGAGCCTTGTTTGAGATGAGCTCGCCAAAAATGCAAGCTCCAAAGCTCCCCGGACCCCTTCAGCGTGTGCCTTTGAAAGCCAAAACACCTGCCCAGCTTGGCCAAGTGGCAAACGGCTCAAATATCTCAAATGCCGAAGGGAAGCGTCGGACAGCTGAGAAAGTTCATGCACCTTGGAGTGAGGTTTCGACCGCGGCACCATCGACTGTTGGAGGTGATGATGATATCTCTTTCAAAGCGGATGATTTGGCAGGTCCATCAAGGGTGAAATCGGTGAAATCCGCTTTTCCAAGGCCTTTGCAGTGCGAGAACAACTCCTTGAAAGAGTTGGAGATAGCTCTCACAAGAGCCCAAAGAGACGTACATGAGGTGTGTTCGAAGGAGGGACTGGAAGAGCGTGACGTCTTGGATGAGACCTTGTCATCCAGCGATGAGAGCTTCCTGGAAGTCTCCCAAAGAGCACGGGCTCCTGCAACTTACAGCACTCCGAAATTGAATTCTCCGAAGAAAGTGCAGAGTTCAGAGAGATCCAGCTCGACGTCCGAAGCTTTCTGCGGGATAGGCATTCAGTAGACATTTCCACTGGAATGTTGCAACACGTTTTAACTTAGTAGGACATGTCAAAGTGTATTCGCATGCACACGACAGCTGTTTGCATTCTTGAAAGGTGACCTTTGCTGTAAAACTGGGTGTGAGAGCACAAAAACTTTGTGTTAGAATTCCACTCAGGTCAGTTGATCGACCTGTTAAACCATTGGGCAGTTCAAATGTCCAGCGCAAAAATGCGCTGCTTGGCTGCAAATTCCGGCTGCTAGCTGAGCTAGCTGCGGTCAATCTCGGCAGTTCCTTGTCTTGTGCTTTCTGAGGGTTGGCAAGTTAAAGAGCAGGCGCTGGGAATTGGGAATGGTGCATTCGGGAGTAAATCCTGGTGCAACGGATTGGGAGCTACCAACTGCCACCAGCTGATCTGACAGGCTGGCAGGTGCGTTGAAAGGCATTTCAAAAGAAGAGGAGGCACAGCACTTCATGGCACTGCTTTCTTGGCTTCGGAATTTGTGCCATGGCACAGAACTGATGCATGCTGCGGTCTTTTTAAAGTCTCTAGGCCTTGCAAAAGAGCCTTCTTAGAATGGATTTTGAGGACTGCACGTTTCAAAGGCAATCTACGCATATTGAGGCTATTTCGAAGCATTGTCCATGAATATCTTGCGAAGGAGATGAAGCGACAGTTTAGTGGTCAAAAGCCTCTGTGGCGCGACAATGAGGTCGGGTGGGCAGTGGAAGCCAATGCACAGTGCAGAGTCTCAATGATTCATCATCAAGGATCCTTTGGAAGCTTTCTGTCAAGACGCTGAATGGTTTTGCTCCAGGCAATGGGGGAGAGCTTCAAGACAGATCCTCACAGGGAAAGCAAACTGGAGGCTGGAGCCGATTGTAGCCGCCAAAGTTTCGATCCAATCCAAAGCCAGTGTCTGAAGCCTGCAGTCTTCTCCAGGCATCCCTGCTGCGCCTGGATGAGAAATTTCATCATTTGCATGAGCAGCACCAGGCCTGTGAAAGATGCATTGTGTTTTTGGAGAGAGGTACCCGTTTTTTGCTGCATCTACCTCGAAGCTTCTGGCAGGCCAGATTGCAGAAGGATCAAGAGCAGGGTGAAGGCGGTGCACACACATGGATTTTCACACATTTTCAGCCTTCCTTTTGTGGATGACTTTTCCCTTTTGAATCCATGAGGCAAACCTCGTCGACCTTGCCAGGTGAAAAGTACTGCCAGGCGCAAACTCTCTCTGCAGTTTTGGAGACAAGCTGTGACAAGCTCCACTGTGGTTGTGTGGTCAGTGTGGTCTTCTGGAGTCTTGTGACCTGACTTACCTGACTTTGCTTCACCAGGACCCGGCCCCGAAGCTCTGTTGGACGCACCTACGGCACTCAAAGACGCTGGCGAGTGGAACCTGAGGCATCCTGGCTCTGATACGGCAGCCGTCAACTCTGTGTGCCTTTCTGTTTTCAGGTGCCAACAATTCATGCTGGGCCTCGAGGTCAAAAACAAGGCGGCTTGGCTATGCAGTGAATACGATGGTTTGAGGCTTTTCTTGCATGGCATGGTGATGTATGGTGTTTTGAGAGTGACTCTACAATTCCTGTGGATTTGCCATGCACCATGTACGCAGTCACGAAATCCAGACATCCTTTCAGCCAGTTACCCATTGAATGAGCAAGCTAAACACTCTAGGGTCACCAGCCACCTTCACCGAACTTCACCATATCACTGGCAGATGTGTTCCAGAGCCTTTACCGGCAGATGTGTTCCAGAGTCTTTACCGTTGAAAGCAATGGATACAATACAAGTGTCCAAATCGAGTACCATACAACTCTTGTTTCCTTTATGCTAATCTCTATTCCGTTTCCGAAAATCGATTTCTCAGATCTCGCGAAGCAGTCTTTGAAGCCATCAGGCAGAAATTGACAAAAAAGGCTGGAAGTGTTGGGTTGTCCTCGGAACTGTTGCATCTTTTCGATGGCAGGTAAACGGAGCTTAGAGATATTTATGGTCTCGGAAATTTATTGATTAACCCATGGGTATTGTCAAGTGGCTGCACGTTGCGCTTCCGACCACCTGTCAATGACCTGTTATGATACACCGATATGGACCAGGTGCCGCCAGGTGCCCACGTCTCGTGTCACAAGTGCGCGGTGACTGGGTGATGCTGATCTTGATACAGATTTGTATTGAAGGGCCAGGTTTCCAAGCTGTGAAAAACCTTTGAGGATGACAGTTGTGAAGAGCTGTGAATTGATGCAAGACTTGGAGAGCTCGGCCTCTCCGTGTAAAAACTGGCTGCCGAATGCGGGACTGTTAAGCTCTGCAGAGAAAATTGGGCGAGTGGAAGAAAGTGGAGCTCAATGGAACACTAGAGCATTGGCACCAGCTGACTAGTTTCAATCGATATGATGACATAGATATGAACCTTCCATGGCAGCCATGGCCTTGCATCAAGACACGAAGCATGAATATGTTGACCGGAAGAGCCACGCCATTGGAAACAATCCTTTGAAGTCAACACACTCACTCTCACTCACTCTCACTCACTCTCACTCTCTCTCTCTTGACCCTTTTCTTCACAGTTTCACTTCTTCACTCAAGAACTCAGAACAAGGACTGCATTAGTTTGATTGCTGCGTTCTTGCAGCTCACCCCTCGATTGTGGCATTCAACACAAGGTGCGGCTTTGCAAATGCAAAGATTGCCATGGAAATGTTGAATGCATTCTAGGGTCTAAGCATGTCTAAGCACAATCTCAGTTTGACCATTAAGTGAATTTCCGACCTGTGCTTTGGAGGCCGTTTGTCAGCATGTCAGAGCTAACAGCTGAGGAGAGAGAACTGGTCTGGCAGGACTGGGATGTGGAAATCTATGATGAGAAGAGGAAATGACGAATTGCAGCAACAAGATTTCGTGCATGAGAATTGTTCCACGAGCAATCTGCAATTGGACTTCTTCAGAGGAAATAGCTACACCCTTCAACTGCACTAGTTAGCTATTTCTGTTTGAAATGCACTAGTTAGCTTTCTGTTAAGCTTTCTGTGGTTTTGCCTTAATAGGTTTACGTCATCTACATGGGATGACTGATGAAGCAGCACCTTAGTTTTTGCCAGTGCAAGCCACAGTATGCTCTGCAGATGTGTGGGGTGAGCGGGAACATATCTTGCAGGTGAAAACATGGTTCACATGCACTGAAATGGAGGCAAGGCAGGGGCTGTAAGGAGATGGCGTCGACAAAGCTTTCTGTCACAACTCGACTCGCTGGCAGGCTCTGGTCCAGACGGCTGTCCAGTTTGCTGATGCCAACTGCGCCATTTTTGAGCCGGAGCTGGGTGAACACAAGCTGGTGTGCGCCGAACACAAGCTGGGTCTGAGTTTTTTAATTTGAACCTGAGCTGGGTCTTGACAGCTGATAAAAGCTGACCTTTGAAGTTCTCCTATCGCTCCCGCATGGGGAGGGTATTTGAAAGTATTTGAAGTCTTAAGCATGACTTGATCAGGTACACCCAGTTGCATAATGACTTCAAGCAATTGTTTGAGGACGGGCTAGGATGGTGCTCCTTCAAAACCTCCAGCCTTGTAATCCATCAATAGGGTCTGTAGGGCACAGCAAATCAGGACAGGCTGAACTCTTTCCTGGCGAGCATTGGTGCAACGCCTGAGGTAAGGGCTTCAGTGAAACTGGTGTGTTGATGGCACCATCCGGCCTTGCCACAGATTTTGTTCTCTCCAGGCGTTCTACGTTGCTTTCCAGAAAGCCGGACATGAAGGCTGCTCAGTGATCTGGTGATTTGAACAGATTTGAACAGAGCAGCACATCTAAGGGCGACCGATGCGACAGTTTTGTGAGGAGAAGTTCAGACAATGGCAGAGCTGATGTACACGTGCTTGGAGTACGAGTTCTTCTGCCAGGCGAAACTTGAAGCTGAGCAAATGAGCAAATGCCTTCCTCCTCCAAGATGAGAACATAAGTGCACTCAGCTGGCAGATCATGTGCGAACGGAAGCGAGAACTGGAAGCGCAACACGTGCCCTGGGCGGTGTGGGTCTGATGGATGGCGAGGTGATCATAGTCTAGTGAAGCTGATGGATGTTTGCGATTCCTTGAAGCTTCCCTCTACCTTGATCAGTGTCTGTAACACGTTCTTGTTTAGTGTAGGTCCCCAGTTCAGAGTGTTCAGATAGTCGACATAGTTCAGTTTTGAAATCGCTTTCAAATCAGCAGTGCACCAGAAGGCTTCCGGGCTGCTGCCAGAGACACCAGCTCCGGGCATTTGCGGCTATGCAGGCATCTTTCTCTCCATTTTGGCTCGAATGGATAAGACTGGTTTTCCCATGCTTTCCCATACCTTCACAGTATTTGACTGTGTTTTTTGATTTTGCTGCTTCGATCATTTTATATTATAGTAACCCCGAAAAGATGGTACTTTACCGACTTTACCTTTCTTCAATATATATATATATATTAAGGGGCTACGCCCCCTGCCGCAGACCCCAGGAAGTTTTGCCTGGGGCGGCGAGCTGGGGGCTGAACCTTGGATATTGTCGCATGCCGCTCATGTGAATGCAAACGGCCTCCGCTCTTCTGCTTAAGTTCTCATCCTTCTAGGCTACAGTGATTTTCAAGCAGTGCTCTGAGCATCTCCGAGCTGCACCAAACATGACCATAACATATCATAGCCTGGACATCTTCCAAGATCTCCAAGCAACCAAAGGCTTCATTGGAAAAAGATCTACTCGTAAAGCAAGCCTCATCTAGAGATGTGACCTCCACAGTTTTCCGTGTGTGTTTGACATGCGAAGTCAAAAAGCCATGTTTCAAATGTGGCGCTGCGAAACCGGAAGCCGAATTTGGACCGGCCGCATGGAAAGCTCGCCACGCGGACCGCCGCTGCTGCAGAGAATGCACCACCAAGCAGCGGGGCTGTTGGCAATGTTCCCAGTGCAGCGAACGCAAGCCACGAGCAGAGTTCACAGCTTGGCAGCAAAGTCGGAAATATACTCAGAATAGTACACAAGTATGCAATGCATGCACAGCCTTTGCCCTCGTGTGTCGTCTTGCTCATCGCACGAATCAACGCTTGGCCCGCTTGCGGCAACGCGAAACGAGCCAGCGACACGAAGCAATCCTAGCAGACGTTCGCAAGGAGATTCAGAAAATGCACGAAGCTAGACAAACGTCGACGGGAACAGACGAAACCAGAACGGGCGTTGCCCATTCATCGACCCAGCAGCTTGCTGCGGGGCCCGACGCAGCTACGCCGCGAGTGTACACATACCTTTGCCCGCACTGCGCCAATCTGTGCAAAGCACGGTGACGACAGGGCAGGTCGATCACCGCCGCGGTGATGGCTGCGGCAAATTTTTTCGCGTTGCGAATGGCCGGCTTGCAGGTCGCACACATGCGCACACATGTCCAACATGCGGCACGGTGGTGCATTCAACAAAAGTTTCCGGCCAAATTCAAATAACGCATCGCACGCCCAACGGAAAGCAGTGTCGCACCGACCGATGGCCCGTGCAGAACTGATCACAAACGGAGGCTTCACCCAACAGCAGAACCCCGAGGGACAGAAAGCAGGGCCGCGGCCCCAGCCGCCAAGCTTCACAAACGGCGCCTTCGCCACACCAAAACAGCAGGGCCCTGAGGGACGGACCGGGCTTGCGGGCCACGGCCCCCAGTGCCTAACGTCACTTTCTGAACCTACAAGAAAACTAGCTGCCTGAGCTGTCTTCCAGCCGCCAAAAGCCCCACAAACGGCGCCTTCGCCACACCAAAAAACAGCAGGGCCCTGAAGGACGGACCGGGCCTGCGGGCCACGGCCCCCAGTGCCTAACGTCACTTTCTGAACCTACAAGAAAACTAGCTGTCTGAGCTGTCTTCCAGCCGCCAAAAGCCTCACAAACGGCGCCTTCGCCACACCAAAACAGCAGGGCCCTGAGGGACGGACCGGGCCTGCGGGCCACGGCCCCCAGTGCCTAACGTCACTTTCTGAACCTACAAGAAGAACTAGCTGTCTGAGCTCTCTTCCAGCCGCCAAAAGCCTCACAAACGGCGCCTTCGCCACACAAACAGCAGGGGCCTGAGGGACGGACCGGGCCTGCGGGCCACGGCCCCCAGTGCCTAAAGTCACTTTCTGAACCTACAAGAAAACTAGCTGTCTGAGCTGTCTTCCAGCCGCCAAAAGCCTCACAAACGGCGCCTTCGCCACACCAAAACAGCAAGGCCCTGAGGGACGGACCGGGCCTGCGGGCCACGGCCCCCAGTGCCTAACGTCACTTTCTGAACCTACAAGAAAACTAGCTGTTTGAGCTGTCTTCCAGCCGCCAAAAGCTTCACAAACGGCGCCTTCGCCACACCAAAACAGCAGCACCCTCAGGGACGAACCGGGCGCCGAACGTCACTTTCTGAACCTACAAGAAAACTAGCTGTCTGAGCTGTCAAAAACCAGCAGGGCCCTGAGGGACGGACCGGGCCTGCGGGCCACGGCCCCCAGTGCCTAACGTCACTTTCTGAACCTACAAGAAAACTAGCTGTCTGAGCTGTCTTCCAGCCGCCAAAAGCCTCACAAACGGCGCCTTCGCCACACCAAAACAGCAGGGCCCTGAGGGACGGACCGGGCCTGCGGGCCACGGCCCCCAGTGCCTAAAGTCACTTTCTGAACCTACAAGAAAACTAGCTGTCTGAGCTGTCTTCCAGCCGCGCAGGGCCACGGCCCCGAGTGCCTAACGTCACTTTCTGAACCTTCTTCGTCTTCTTCGTTTTCTTCTTCTTCTTCTTCTTGCTTCCTGGCTTCTTGTTTCTTGCTTCTTGCCGCTTGTTGCTTGTAATTGCTTCTTGCTTCTTGTTTCTTGTTTTCTTCTTCTTCTTGTTGCTTCCTGGCTTCTTGTTTCTTGCTTCTTGCCGCTTGTTGCTTGTAATTGCTTCTTGCTTCTTGCTTCTTGTTTCTTGCTTCTTGCCCTTGCTGCTTGTACTGACTTCTTGGCCCTTGCTGCTGGTAATTTCTCCTCTGACGCGCTCCCCCTGCTGCAAGCGGGGTCGGCGGATATATTAATAGGATCTTAGTTTCAGTATGTTACATGATTTATGTTTCAGTAGATTTTCTCAGGATGACCCAGTTTGCGACAGGCCACAAAGATGGCTACTCCGGGCCTGGCGCACCATCTGCACCGTAAAAATGGTTGGGTGTAGCAGCAAATCTGGTGCTTCATCGAACGGAATATCATGGAATATACCATGATGTTGCTCATTTCCAGACTGTTATACATGAGGCCAGCTCGAGTTGATTGGAATTGAAGGTGTCAGCTTCCAACCTGCTACGGGAATTTGGCTGCCCAAATACACAAGACCGAAATAGCAAGTCAAACTTTCGGAGTAGTTGTGACCACTAGAGGATGGTTACACTGATGTGCTGATATGCTATACAAGCACAAAAAGAACTGTATGTGCTCAGTTCTCGAAACTGTTTTGACTGCTTCTGATAACTTATGTTCAAGATTGAAACCATATGAAACCATCAAACCCATGCTTTATATAGTTTATATATCCTCATGCCACATTTGACATGAACTATATAGATTATCATATAGCATATAGCCTTGGCACAGGCATCATCTTGTTTGAATAGGTTTCGGCCGAACCGATTCAGTACCAAACGCAAGAAAATTGTATTTGCTCACATGCTGGGAACTTCCACATGCTCACCGAACCTGGAGGAGAACCAGCTCCCGTCAAGGTCTCAGTATTTTCTTTTCTTTCACTTGCTTCAACAAATCAACTGGTTGGAATCAGGTTCATGGAGCCCGCTTAGTGCTCCGAACCGCGGCAGAGGCTGGCTTTGGGAAGCTGGTAATGTGCCGCATTTTGGCGACACCAAAGACTTGTAGGCGTGTTTGCCAGCACTTCGAGCGCAAATCGAGGCTTTCATCTCAGGTCAGATAAGAAGTTGACGGATTCCAAAAGTTTGCAACAAAGCAATCAAAACAATAGACTCAATAGACTTGAATAGAAATGCATCTTCCTTAGGCAACAGACCTGCTGCCCCAGCAAGCACTGGGAGCGCTGAGCTTTTGTTGCGAGGTGGACTTGGAAGACTTGGAACAAGTTGAACATTTGGAACACAATTTCCGCGGAGAAAGTTGTCCGCCAGGTCCTGAACCGGATTCTGGTCAACTTGGAAGATCCAGATGCCTATGCGAAGTTCAGCAAGCTGAAGGTGAACCATGGCATTCATGGCATCAATCTACGATACACATGGATAACCCCCGTTTGATGACCCATACAACCACTCCTGTGACATCGTTTGACAAAAGGTGACAGCTGTTCGCAAGCGGCTTCCGAGAAGGCTCAGTGCAGTGATGAGATCTGTCAGATCCTGTCTGCTTTTGATCTGCCTTTTTGCGACTTTTACATCTTTTACCAGTTGTGCCACTGTTGTGCCACTTGTGCAACTTTTAAGGTCTGATCTCACAGAAGCTGTCCTTCTCACGATCGGCTTCCGGGAGGTGCTCCGAATTGCAGGAACTGAAAGCAGAATCAGCGTCTAAGCGGCCAGGCAGAAGAGTACTTCGAGTGGGGTCCGCAGAGTGTCGAGGTCGGACACTTCCAACCTTTTCCCTGGCATTTTTTAGATTTTTGTAGTGTCGCTAGCATTGTATTTTGTGTTCGGAGGTGATTGCAGCAAGAAACTCTGGGCGGATGTTCACAAGTTGCGTGTGTTGTGTGTCCCTTCGCAGTTGCTTCTGTACAGTCAATATATTTCAAAAAGAACAGCAAAGAAGTCCTCAATGCCCAGAAAAGCCAAGAGAATGGTCAAACGCATTCTGCAACAGAAAGCTACGCTGACGATTGGCAAACACAGTGACAATAAGATTGAGACATGCTTCAGGAAACCATACGGTTCCAAGCATGCTGGCTTTTGAACTGTGAAGCACTGATGCGATGCGCCTCATTCAGCGATGAATCCAATCTGATTCGCGACAATGGACACGTTTCAAAGTTTCTTTGATGCACACTGTCAGACGGGCTAGGCACAGTTGTTTTAGACATGCGGCTGATACGCAAGGTTGCTTATTTTGAGATGTGCCATTTATATACGATCCTGTGGCCTGTGGAAGAGTTTCAAATTTGAAACATGAAGTTTGCGAAAATGGGGGTTCAGGATTTGAATTTTGGCTTTGTTAAACATGTAGCACATGCTCTCTTATGGTCATCAGGAGGGGTGGGGGGGGGTGATAACGTTCTTGACGAGTATTATACATGGAGCACGGAACTCGTTGCCGTTGTGTACAAAAAAGGTACTCTTGGGTTTACAGCTGGACATGGCGTCAAAATGTCACCTTGATTTGCCTTGTTGGAGTCTGTGGTCGTGGCGTTGCCGAAAGCACTTTGGCACTGAGGCTTCGAGAAGAGAATAAGACATGCATGGGTGGATGTTTGCATGGGATACTTGAAAATCATAAAATTCTAATTTCTAATGTTTTTTTTAAGCCCTCGAAGAACAAAATCGATTCACCGCACAGGCGAGACGCAAATTTCACACTTGAGTCACACGCCTGCCAATCGAAACGAATGTCCATGTTGCAAACATTTTTTGACAACTCCCACAAATACCAGCATTTTGTCTCTTAGTTAGCCTCGAAAGTTTCAATTTCAAATCTGTCACCCTTACAAGGGCGGCGAGTCAACCGGTTGCCTTGTTTTAAAGCCCAGAACTTGTACACTAGAAGTGAAGAATTCCTCTCCTTTCATTGCTGGACTGAAACGTAGTGCTGGCGCATCTACTGTAGCTCAATTGAAATTGCCAACACTCATAGTCCTGTTCATATATTCAACTGCAGCCATGTTGTGCACGCCATCACCAAACGGTCTGGCGATGTTACTGGTACCATGCGACCCACAACGTGCTCTGAATGAGGCTTGGTTCTGATGCGATAGTTAAGAATGTGGGCGAGAACGACTTAATTCTTCAAGTTCATGATGAAGCTCTGGGAATATCAGCCGATATCCTTCGCAATGAGGCCCGACGTCTCTCTTGCTTTGAGCTTTGAAGAGACGTGGGAGTTTGCCATTTGGATTCATTTTGATTTGTCAGGTTCAACATATAGACAGACCCCAGGTGTTGCAGCCTCAGGTTGAAGATGTGCCTCTAGAGTTGAACGAATTTGAGAGGTCACAGTGATTGATAGTGCTGCTCTCAGTTGAGTTTGATTCTCCTTGGATTGCAGGCGACTATCTCGAACTTTTTGCTGCTGTGGTGAAGCCACAGAAAGGTTGAGTGTTGCTTTAAGCAAAGGCCCTCATCTTTGGCAGGCCTGGCTTTGGCCGTTTGACACATATAAGATGGAGCTATTGAGTCATTGCACCAACCCAAATGGACTCTTTGCTCTCTCTCTCTCTCTCTCATTCTCATGACATCTTGGGACATTCTGTTGAAAGCTTTGAACTCAACCTCTGAAAGAGTTTCTTGGTGCAAGACACTTATTGGAACTCCAATTGTGTCCCGCGCGCTGCATAAATCTCCAGGTAGAGCTCGAGGACGATCGGTGTTTCACAGAACAACCCCAGTGACCTGGAAGCATCTGGAGGCATCTGGAGGCATCTGGAGGCATCTGGAGGCATTTGATTCTGCTAAACAGGGAGGAAAATCTTGCGCTCATCTGACACCGAGCTCCGGTTTTGGGCTGTGTCCTGCTTCTTGCTCGTGCAAACAAACAGTAAGTATTGACTCTTGACAACACGTTTCCATAAGTTGCCCTGGATTTTCGTCTCAATCTGTAATTGTGTTACGAAAGCCAGCCGGCAGGCTAGGCTGAAGTTATCATCGCAAACATAGTGAGCTTAAGGGGTGTGTGGGCATTTCTGACGAGAAGGATCACGAAACTCAGAAATTGGGTGCTGTTTCAGGCGGGCCAATGAGCGCATTTTGAGGGTCATGTAATGCGCGGCCATGAAGTGACATTGGAGTATCGATTCCCCCCTGGTCCGGTGGGGTCGTAAGGAAGGCTTCTTTTCGCGCGTCGTTTCAGGGTCCCCACGGTCCATGTTGGTTGTGAAAGAAGTTTGGGTACAAGGTAATGGGCAAATAATGGCTTCGATGGTGAGCTTTCCAGGTTGGAAGGATTGTTTGCTGAATGAGCATGTCATTGTTGAACATATTCAATCGTTTGCCAGGTTGACTTCATTTGCAAGCTCAATCAATAGTCCGACCCGTATACCCCCGATCGAGTATATTACAAGAAGATCCTATCATAGGGGTTGTGTTTTTGGACGCCAGCGTCAAGCCCACGGCCAGCGTGGGTAGTACTATGTAAGAATGAGAATAGAATGCACACAAATACAAAACATGAAGATCCATATCCCTTGTGGCGCGCAGTCCTTGAACAAAAGCATTGTACATCAATTCACAACTACGAGCACTAAACTTCATCTGGCCTTCTCTGCTCTGATCCTTTTCGCAGATGCAGAGACAGATCAAATGGCAAAAACTAACTAAAGTCTCTAAAACATACATTGTAAACTCAAGAGGAGCAGATTCGTAAAGCATACATAACCTGGATCGCGCAGGCAAAAACATATATACTGCCTAGCCTAAAACCGCCGCACTGTTGAACATTATATTTGGCCCACAAGCGAAGATACAATATGTTGCCGTGTTGCAAACCATTTAAAAACGGATCAACAGACGCGGGCCTTGTTGCAAGCAGACACACTCCCACACCAACAAAGCAACACAATCAACACACTTTTAGAAAAGAAGGCCTGCTTTCGAACACCACGGAGTGGCCGCAAAACAGTCACCGGAGCGCCTGCCATTTCTTTCTCCCTCCCCAATTGCCTCCAAATCGCAGATTCCTTCACTTCCCACTTCACATCACCAGAGTTGGACCAGGCTTTTGTTTCCGTTACATCCTTCTCAGGTCTGAAATTGAAATGTCTTTTTATTACTTTTTTTGGTTTTGAATTGACAAAGACCCTTCAAATACTTCGTTTGGAAGTGACTTGGATGGCGTTGACCAACAATACATATGGACATATGGTGTGCAACTTCGACAGTTCGGATAAGATTTCGAAGGGGCAGGATTTTTGTGTTTCTTTTTGGTCCTCAAACAGCTACCAGCTTATGGGGTTCTGAATTCTTGCAAAGACATGGATCTTGTTCCATCATGATTTTCCGTGTCACATCCTTGCTTCCCATATCTGCCACTTGTCTCCCACTTGTCTCCCACTTGTCTACCTTTTTCTCTGTTTTTCTTTCCCCACTACACTGCACGGTTATGTCCCCCCATGATTGCAACTACCGTTTAACGTAGAGATTTCTGCTGCAAGCACTGTGCAAGCAAGAAGGGAAGCATTGACAAGGGAACGCAATTAGAACATGCCAAGAAGGACAAAATCCAACATCAAACAGCAACAACAGGGAAAACATTCCAAAAACAGAGCACATGTCTTGTTTTCTTTTTGGGGTGAAACCCCTCCCGTGCCTGCTACGAAATCTGCATTATAGATCCCAAAGCATGCACTTTCACGGAAATCAGGTTTTTGAGTCAAGCTCCTCAGCTACTACACAACTACATAAACTACCTGCCCGACAGGAAACTGTGCTCATACAAGCACGTTTTTTGTCTAAAATAACGTTGGCACCGTGGCGAAATGCGAATTCTTTCTTTGAACGTTGGGCAAGAAATGGAGTCCAAAATTTGGTGGAATTTGCGTTTTACCAGTGCCAGCCCTGTTTCATCGCCTTCTTGAGCTGCCTGCCAATGAACGATTGTGGCTCTGAGAAGGCAGATTATTTGAATGAAATTCAGTTCGTAGCGTAGTATCAAGAACGTAGTTGGAAGCTGTTTGAACCAGCCAGTAGGGGATCATCAATAACAAAGTTGGAATTTGAGACCGTACTTGAAAGTTCTCTGAGCAAGTTAGTAGTGTGGCATCAAGAACGTAGTTGGAAGCTCGTAAGATCAAGAACGTAGCTGGAAGTTGTTTGGGCAAGTTAATTGCGTAGCATGCAACATGTAGTTGGGAGTTCGTAGCATCAAGAACGTAGTTGGAAGTTGTTCGAGCAACTTCACAACATAGCATCAAGTAGTAGCTGGAAGCTGTTTGAGGAAGTTAGTGGCGTAGCATCGAGAATGTAGTAGGAACTTCGTAGCACTAAGAACGTTGTTGAAAGTTGCTTCAAAGGAACATTAATAGCCTGTCTCACCCCACCCCGACACGGAAAACAGTGAATTTACGAGCACGGTTTGCGGTCCAATAGCATACACTAGAAGTTGCTGCAAAGCTTGCAAATGCGAGCAAGTAGCATGGAAGTCAGAAATTCAAGTATTATTCAAGGCCCAAAATCAATCGCATGCCATTGAAATCACAGATTTTAGGTTTCAACATGTTGCAAATACCATTGCAATTGTGGAGTTTAGCTAGTGCATGACAGCTAAAAATTCAAGGTAGCAGTCCCAGAGAGGGAAAACTCATATCATATCAAACAAAAAACTCGGAGCCTTTCGGAATTCTACACGGACAGCCAGGCACCTGAAAAATGTCTCCTGCACACATAGGATGAGGTAAGAATTCCAGATGTTCTGGCTGGAAAGTCACGAATTCATCGGCCTTTGCTTTGAAAATCAAGAGATCTTCTTGATTTTCTCATCGTTCCATGAGAGAATTGCGCAGTTTGCCAGAAGTCATTCACAGAATCTGCCCCTCCTACTCGCACACGTCGCACACTCTCAGATCACGAAGTTCAACACTGAAGTCCTTTTTCAAATTCCCTATGAATGTAAAGTCAGGAACCCCCAATTGACATGGAGGGAGTGCTCAACCCCGATGCCATTTGCATGCCTGATCCGTGCGCATTCTTTCGGTCGGCCTCCCACCAGTGTATGTCCTCCACAAAGGAACTGCGCTCAGCCAGGCGCAGCATAGAAATGTCTATCGCCAAGGACTCCAACCATCTCCAAGCATCTCCAACCTGAATGCACGAAAAAATTACAGTACTTGCATGGAACCTGAGTAGACTTGCATCGCTTTTGATTAAAAAAAGGTGATTGAGGTTGTCGGATTTGCTTCCAATCAGCCAAGTCGGAGGTATTGTCGCATGACTTGTAAGATTGGTAGTTGGATGTAATTGGTATGAATGGTGTTCCTGGATAGTTCTTCTGCACTATTCTTTGTTCCTATCGCTACCGAAAGTAAAACAATATCGGACGCACCCCCAAAGTGTGCACACATTATGGCTTATAGCCGTTTCAAGCGGACAGCAGATGCCCTATCATGTATGAGCTTGTATGTAAGGGTATTGATGAGCACATGCTCTTCCGGTTGACCATGCCTCAGGTCATCAACAGATATGCCATTCAATGACTTTAACACGGAAGTTTCGCCGCGTCGACGGAAAACCACAAGAGAAGTCGCTGGAGCTGTCGCAGGAGCTGTCGCTGGAGAGACACCTCGATCTGCGCAGGAGCGACGGAAATCTAGGAAAGAAGTCGCTGGAGCTGTTGCTGGAGAGACAACTGGAGCTGCGCATGATAGACAGAAATCTAGGAAAGAAGTCGCTGGAGCTGTTGCTGGAGAGACAACTGGAGCTGCGCATGATCGACAGAAATCTAGGAAAGAAGTTGCTGGAGCTGTTGCTGGAGAGACAACTGGAGCTGCGCATGATCGACAGAAATCTAGGAAAGAAGTTGCTGGAGCTGTTGCTGGAGAGACAACTGGAGCTGCGCATGATCGACAGAAATCTAGGAAAGAAGTTGCTGGAGCTTTCGCTGGAGAAACAACTGGAGCTGCGCAGGGCCGACAGAAATCCACGAAAGAAGTCGCTGGAGCTCTCGCTGGAGAAACAACTGGAGCTGCGCAGGGCCGACAGAAATCCACGAAAGAAGTCGCTGGAGCTTTCGCTGGAGAATCACCTGGAGCTGCGCAGGGTCAACAGAAATTCGCCGAAGAAATTGCAGGAACAACTGCAGCGAGTGAAACAGTTGAAACAGCTTCGACAGCATCTGCAGAGCCTCAGATTTCGCATGCGAATGTTCTCGCACCACATCTAGACGACGAATGTGATCGAGCTGCTTTGGCGCCAAGGGAATAAATAAATAAATAAATATATATATATATATATCCCCGATCGAATTTCCCTTACAGAATGGAAGGTGTCGACCCTCTTACAAATGGTTTATATAGGGTCATTTTGTAGTTACAAAAAGACCCCTAACCAGGCCTTTTTGTAACAGGGCACCCAAAAGGCAAAGTTGTGGATTTTCAAGTGTTCATTTTGTAAGAGTTTTGAGGTGCCAATTCATTTTATAAGACCATCGAGTTTGTCTTTTTGAGGCTTTTTGTAAGCTCAAGATGCTGTTATTGAACATCAAAAAACAAAAAAGAACTCAGCAGGGTGTGCAATGACATTTTGTAAGGAGATGTCGTCAAGAGTAGAAGAACCTTTTTGTAAGGATATATGCTTTTTAGGCATTGATACAAAGTATTGTTCAGATTTGTACATGTTTTTGATTCGCCTCAATCATTTGATAGCTGTTTTGGCTATTTCCGAAAAGGCCCCAGCCCACAGCCCTGACACATCCCAATGGCGTGGCTTCTTGCGGTTCTTTTGGTGAGTTGGCTCCACATAGGTACTATATAGGTACTATATAGGTTAGGTTCACTACAAAATGCCAAGGTGTTGCTACCCTACAGGGGAGGAGTGTTTATTTTAGGAAGCTTCCTGGGGCTACCAGCACCTTGTCATTTTGTAAGGCACAGTTCGAGTTTTAGGGCAGCCATGGCAGCAATTTTTGGATTTGGTGGAGGCACCAACTTTCTTCTTAGTGTTGTGTTGGCTGAGGATGGCCAAGGATCTTTTGCAAGTTGTAAGTGTGACGACGTTCATGGCTATCTTATGTGTTTTTTTTTGTACATGTTCTTTCGTGTTCATTTTTTTGGTACTCATGTGATAATACAAACGCGAGACATCATGAAAGGAGTTCTGGTAGGCAATGAGGCCAAAGAAGCAAAAATACAAAAAATATAAAACAAACCAAAAGGTGGCAAAAAATGGAATCCTTACAAAAAGGCTGCTTGAAAATCAACGAGTCCGGGAAAACCAGAAACAGGGAACCAGAAGTTGTGTCCTTACAAAATGATGCCCGAAAACGCCATCTAAAATCACAACTTCTTATAAAAAGGTCATCGACACATATACAACTTCCATATCATGAAGAAAGTCGTCACCTTATAAAATGGTATGGGTGTTTGAAGTCGAATGAGGGTGCTAAAACCCCATGCTTTTTGTAAGGGCCCAAACTCCCAAAAACCGACTCTTTTTTGTAGGGTTTTTCAAAATCCCATGGAATTGTACTACAACAAGCCGGGTGAGACACCTCCCCCCTAATTCGAAGGAGGATATATATATATATTTATTATTATTACTATATATATATATATATATATATCTATATATATTTTATAAATAGTATAATCAGAGGAAGTTTAGTTAGAAAACGTCCGAGTTACAGACGATTGTCATGGGCAGCATTCTCACCATCATGTCAACCACATCATCATGTCAACCACATCAACATGTCATAGTTGGGAAGCGCAACAGGTCAGAATGCGCGAGTTCAGGCTTGAAAAGACTCTCGGGCGCGAAAGCCTGTGTTTTTTCGGGTAAAGTGGCTTCCGTGGTCGCCGAAGTAGGGTCTCTGTTTCCGCAGTTTCGGGCCTCGATCTGCAAAAGCTGTCGACAAAACGTGCGCAGGACTGTAGCCAGAGCTCGGTTTATCATAAAAAACGTAAAAGCTGAGGCGTTCGGAGGGCTTTTGGAAGATGAGGTCGGCCAAATGTGCACGAGCTCGATTTCACATAAATGTGCGCGAGCTCGATTTCACATAAAAAATAGTTAAAAAAACCGACATGTTCGGAGCACTTTTGGAAGATGAGGTCGGCAAATTTCGTTGATTCATTGATTGATTGATTCATTCATGCATGCATGCATTCATTCAATCAGTCATTCATTCCTTTCATTCATTTCATTCATTTCATTCACTTCGTTCGTTTCATGGATTTTCAATTTCATTCGTTACATTTCATTTTTTTCATATTCATTCATTCATTCGTTCGTTCGTTCATTCCTTCCTTCCTTCCTTCCTTCATTCGTTCGTTCGTTCGTTCATTCATGCATTCACTCATTCATTCATTCATTCATTCATTCATTCATGCATTCATGCATTCATGCATTCATGCATTCATGCATTCATGCATTCATGCATTCATGCATTCATGCATTCATGCATTCATGCATTCATGCATTCATTCATTTCATTCATTCATTCATTCATTGATTCATTCATTGATTCATTCATTGATTCATTTCATTGATTCATTCATTGATTCATTCATTGATTCATTCATTGATTCATTCATTGATTCATTCATTGATTCATTCATTGATTCATTCATTGATGCATTCATTGATTCATTCCATTCCATTCCATTCCATTCCATTCCATTCATTCATTCAATCAATCAATCAATCAATTTCATTCATTCCATTTCATTCATGCCATTTCATTCATTCCATTTCATTCATTCCATTTCATTCATTCCATTTCAGTTCATTCCATTTCATTCCAGTTCATTCCATTTCATTCCAGTTCATTCCATTTCATTCCATTTCATTCCAGTTCATTCCATTTCATTCCATTTCATTCCATTTCATTCCAGTTCATTCCATTTCATTCCAGTTCATTCCATTTCATTCCATTTCATTCCATTTCATTCCATTTCATTCCATTTCATTCCATTTCATTCCATTTCATTCCATTTCATTCCATTTCATTCCATTTCATTCCATTTCATTCCATTTCATTCCATTTCATTCCATTTCATTCCATTTCATTCCAATTCATTCCAATTCATTCCAATTCATTCTAATTAATTTCAATTCATTTCAATTCATTCCAATTCATTCCAATTCATTTCAATTCATTCCAATTCATTCCAATTCATTCCAATTCATTCCACTTCATTCCAATTCATTCCAATTCATTCCAATTCATTCTAATTAATTTCAATTCATTTCAATTCATTCCAATTCATTCCACTTCATTCCAATTCATTCCAATTCATTCCAATTCATTCCAATTCATTCCAATTCATGCCAATTCATTCCAATTCATTCCAATTCATTCCAATTCATGCCAATTCATTCCAATTCATTCCAATTCATTCATCCATCCATCCATTCATTCATTCATTTTTTCATTCATTCATTCATTCCTTGCTTCCTTCCATTTCATTCATTCCATTTCATTCATTCCATTTCATTCATTCCATTTCATTCATTCCATTTCATTCATCCATTTCATTTCAATTCATTTCATTTCAATTCATTTTATTTCAATTCATTTCATTTCGTTTCATTTCATTTCGTTTCGTTTCATTTCGTTTCATTTCATTTCGTTTCATTTTATTTTGTTCATTTCATTTCTTCATTTCATTCATTCATTTCATTCACTCATTTCATTCATTTCATTCATTCATTTCATTCTTTCATTTCATTCATTCATTTCATTCATTCATTTCATTCATTCATTTCATTCATTCATTTCATTCATTCATTTCACTCATTCATTTCACTCATTCATTTCACTCATAAATTTCACTCATTCATTTCATTCATTCATTTCACTCCTTCATTTCACTCCTTCAGTTCATTCCTTCATTTCATTCCTTCATTTCATTCCTCCATTTCATTCATTCCATTTCATTCATTCCATTTCATTCATTCCATTTCATTCATTCCATTTCATTCATTCCATTTCATTCATTCCATTTCATTCATTCCATTTCATTCCATTTCATTCATTCCATTTCATTCATTCCATTTCATTCATTCCATTTCATTCATTCCATTTCATTCCATTTCATTCCATTTCATTCCATTTCATTCCATTTCATTCCATTTCATTCCATTGCATTCCATTGCATTCCATTTCATTCCATTTCATTCCATTTCATTCCATTTCATTCCATTTCATTCCATTTCATTCCATTTCATTCCATTTCATTCCATTTCATTCCATTTCATTCCATTTCATTCCATTTCATTCCATGTCATTCCATTTCATTCCATTTCATTCCATTTCATTCCATTCATTCCATTCATTCCATTCATTCCATTTCATTCCATTCATTCCATTTCATTCCATTCATTCCATTTCATTCCATTCATTCCATTCATTCCATTCATTCCATTCATTCCATTCATTCCATTTCATTCCATTCATTCCATTTCATTCCATTTCATTCCATTTCATTCCATTTCATTCCATTCATTCCATTCATTCCATTTCATTCCATTTCATTCCATTTCATTCCATTTCATTCCATTTCATTCCATTTCATTCCATTTCATTCCATTTCATTCCATTTCATTCCATTTCATTCCATTTCATTCCATTTCATTCCATGTCATTCCATGTCATTCCATTTCATTCCATTTCATTCCATTCATTCCATTCATTCCATGTCATTCCATTCATTCCATTTCATTCCATTCATTCCATTTCATTCCATTCATTCCATTCATTCCATTCATTCCATTCATTCCATTCATTCCATTCATTCCATTTCATTCCATTTCATTCCATTTCATTCCATTTCATTCCATTTCATTCCATTTCATTCCATTTCATTCCATTTCATTCCATTTCATTCCATTTCATTCATTCCATTTCATTCCATTTCATTCCAATTCATTCCATTTCATTCATTCCATTTCATTCATTCCATTTATTTCATTCATTCATTCATTCATTCATTCCATTTCATTTCATTCCATTTCATTCCATTTCATTCCATTTCATTCCATTTCATTCCATTTCATTCCATTTCATTCCATTTCATTCCATTTCATTCCATTTCATTCCATTTCATTCCATTTCTTGCCACTTCATTCCATTTCATTCCATTTCATTCCATTTCATTCCATTTCATTCCATTTCATTCCATTTCATTCCATTTCATTCCATTTCATTCCATTTCATTCCATTTCATTCCATTTCATTCCATTTCATTCCATTTCATTCCATTTCATTCCATTTCGTTCCATTTCATTCCATTTCATTCCATTTCATTCCATTTCATTCCATTTCATTCCATTTCATTCCATTTCATTCCATTTCATTCCATTTCATTCCATTTCATTCCATTTCATTCCATTTCATTCCATTTCATTCCATTTCATTCCATTTCGTTCCATTTCATTCCATTTCGTTCCATTTCATTCCATTTCATTCCATTTCGTTCCATTTCATTCCATTTCATTCCATTTCATTCCATTTCATTCCATTTCATTCCAATTCATTCATTCCAATTCATTCATTCCAATTCATTCATTCCAATTTATTTAGATTATTTCAATTCATTCATTCCAATTCATTCATTCCAATTCATTCCATTTCTTTGATTCCATTTCATTCATTCCATTTCATTGATTCCATTTCATTGATTCCATTTCATTCATTCCATTTCATTCATTCCATTTCATTCATTCCATTTCATTCATTCCATTTCATTCATTCCATTTCATTCATTCATTCATTCATCCCTTCATTCCTTCATTCCTTCCATCATTCATTCCTTCCTTCCTTCCTTCCTTCATTCCTTCCTCTTCCATTTCATTCCTTCCATTTCATTCATTCCATTTCATTCATTCCATTTCATTCATTCCATTTCATTCCTTCCATTTCATTCATTCCATTTCATTCCTTCCTTCCTTCCATTTCATTCCTTCCATTTCATTCATTCCATTTCATTCATTCCATTTCATTCATTCCATTTCACTCATTCCATTTCATTCATTCCATTTCATTCATTCCATTTCATTCATGAATTCATGACTTCATGAATTCATTCATTGCTCCATCCATCCATCCGTCCATTCATTCATTCATTCACTCACTCACTCACTCACTCACTCATCCATTCATTCATTCATTTCATTTCATTTCATTTTCATTTCATGTCATTTCATTTCATTTTATTTCATTTCATTTTCATTCCATTCATCCATCCATTCATTCATTCATTCATTTATTCATTCATTTCATTCATTCATTTCATTCATTCCATTCATTCATTCTATTCACTCATCCCATTCATTCATTCCATTCATTCATTCCATTCATTCATTCCATTCATTAATTCCATTCATTCCATTCATCCATTCCATTCATCCATTCCATTCATCCATTCCATTCATCCATTCCATTCATTCCATTCCATTCATTCCATTCCATTCATTCCATTCCATTCATTCCATTCCATTCATTCCATTCCATTCATGCCATTCATGCCATTCATTCCATTCATTCCATTCATTCCATTCATTCCATTCATTCCATTCATTCCATTCATTCCATTCGTTCATTCCTTCATTCCATTCATCCATTCCATTCCATTCCATGCCATGCCATGCCATGCCATGCCATGCCATTCCATTCCATTCCATTCCATTCCATCCTTCCTTCATTCATTGATTGATTCATTGATTCATTGATTCATTGATTGATTCATTGATTGATTCGTTCATTCATTCATTCATTCATTCATTCATTCATTCATTCATTCATTCATTCATTCATTCCATTCATTCATTCATTCATTCATTGATTCATTCCTTCCTTCCTTCCTTCCTTCCTTCCTTCCATTACATTCATTCCATTTCCTTCATTCCTTCCTTCCTTCATTCCTTCCATTTCATTCCTTCCATTTCATTCCTTCCATTTCATTCCTTCCATTTCATTCATTCCATTTCATTCCTTCCATTTCATTCATTCCATTTCATTCATTCCATTTCATTCATTCCATTTCATTCATTCCATTTCATTCATTCCATTTCATTCATTCCATTTCATTCATTCCATTTCATTCATTCCATTTCATTCCTTCCATTTCATTCATTCCATTTCATTCCTTCCATTCATTCATTCCATTTCATTCATTCCATTTCATTCATTCATTTCATTCATTCATTTCATTCATTCCATTTCATTCATTCCATTTCATTCCATTTCATTCCATTTCATTCCATTTCATTCCATTTCATTCATTCATTTCATTCCATTTCATTCCATTTCATTCCATTTCATTCCATTTCATTCCATTTCATTCCATTTCATTCCATTTCATTCCATTTCATTCCATTTCATTCATTTCATTCCATTTCATTCCATTTCATTCCATTTCATTCCATTTCATTCCATTTCATTCCATTTCATTCCATTTCATTCCATTTCATTCCATTTCATTCCATTCATTCATTCATTCATTTCATTCCATTTCATTCCATTTCATTCCATTTCATTCCATTTCATTCCATTTCATTCCATTTCATTCCATTTCATTCCATTCCATTCCATTCCATTCCAATTCCATTCCATTCCATTCCATTCCATTCCATTCATTCCATTCATTCATCCATCCATGCATTTATTTTTTCATTCATTCATTCATTCATTCTTTCATTCATTCATTCTTTCATTCATTCATTCATTCATTCATTCATTCATTCACATTCATTCACATTCATTCACATCCATTCACATCCATTCACATCCATTCACATCCATTCACATCCATTCACATCCATTCACATCCATTCACATCCATTCACATCCATTCACATCCATTCACATCCATTCACATCCATTCACATCCATTCGCATCCATTCGCATCCATTCGCATTCATTCGCATCCAGTCGCATCCATTCACATTCATTCACATTCATTCACATTCATTCACATACATTTATATTCATTCGCATGCATTCACATTCATTCGCATTCATTCGCATTCATTCACTCATTTTACTTCACTTCATTTCATTTTATCCCATATTTCATTTTATTGTATTTGTTCTTTGCATCTCATTCACTTATTCACTCAGTCTTGCAGTTCAATTCAACTCAATTCAATTCAGTTCCTTCAATTTTTCAGTGGATGCAGCTAAGGCTGTGCGGATTCACGCGGAGTTCGTTACTTTGCGGGAAAACCATCGGGTGATCGAGTGTCTATTTTGGTTTCTCCAAACCATTCCCCACCAAAGGTTCATGGTTTCCACCTCGATGCACTCCCAGAATTCGGACCTGTTTCGCTCGTGATTTTTTGGGACCAAAAGGTGGCAAATCTGTTCATGCTATGGACAAACATGGCTGAGGATGATTACGATCCCTTGAGGAAGAGAACAACTGTGAGGAGCCATCAAGGAGACGTCCTGCGATCTCGGAGGCAACGGCAAATCAGGCAAATGCTGAATGAAGGATCAGGTGAAATGGATAGTGTGGTAAGCAGCGCAAGTTTGCGGAGTATGTGCGGAGAGTGGCCTGCCAGTGAAAACTTTTGGAGACTACTGACTTTTGCATGCTGTGGTGTAGTGGTTTTTTTCTGGCAAGGAAAGGGTGTTTTTTTTCCCCATGTTGCACCTTATTTCCGTTCCCAGCACCTGTATTCCCACTCGGGGCCGTTCTCTGGACTACCTCTGAACCGGACTTCCGTTCACATGCCTGGGGAGTCAGCAAATGCAAACTGTGCGATCCATTTTGAGGTTTGGAAAAGAGGATGCAATCACCAATTGGGCTGTCTTGGTTGGCAAGGCGCTATGGTGCTACATGAAAGGAGCTGGGCAAGTGGGGCAGCGTTCCTTGCCTTTTTTTCCTTTGTTTTAATTAGAAGCACCCAAGCGAATCCACATCACAAGCAACACGTCATGTTTTTTTTGACGTTTCTTGAGAAAAGTCAGGTCAAAAGCTGGGCCTGGTTTCAGCTGCATTTAACATTGGATTTGGCCGCTGTTCGGGAACAACGAGCGTGACATGCAGCATGGAGGTGGTGAAGCCTGGTGCCAACAGGACCTTTGCTCCAAGTGAAACATCAGGCGTAAAGGAAGGAACATGGACACTTCTGAGAACTCATTTCTCGACAGCATTGGCTGTCTTAAACCCGGAGAGTCATGCTGCTCCATTGGTGGCAGGGGTCGAGCTTGAATCTACCCAGCCAACCAGCAGCAATCCACAGAAATCTAAGGGTTGCCTCGGTAATTTTATACTTGTCTCCCACTTGTCTCCCGCTTATCTCCCACTTATCTCCCACTTGTCTCCCACTTGTCTCCCAGTTGTCTCACTGTCTCGTACTTGTCTCCTACTTGTTTGCCACTGTCTCCCACCATCCTCTGGGTGCTGTGGGCCGCCTGGTTTTACACTCGTCTCCCACTTGTCACCCGCTGTCTCTCACTATGCTCTGGGTGCTCTGGGCCACATGGTTTTACACTTGTCTCCCACTGTCTTCCACTATGCTCTGGGTGCTCTGGGCTGCATGGTTTTACTCTTGTCTCTGACTGTCTCCTACTTGTCTCCCACTGTCTAAGCTTGTGTCCGACTTGTTTCCCATTGTCTCCCACTATGCTCTGTGTGCTCTGGGCCGCATGATTTTGGGTGCTCTTGGATTCAGCGACGCACATTCAAATCAGCAATTTTTTCACACCGAACTGAAATATACTTAAAACATTTGAAAACGTCCTACATCTCTTTGGGGTCAACGCTGGTATAGTTATACACATACAGTATATATGGCTCTCGTAATTCAGCAGCTCATTCACAAGAAGATTTCAGCGATGCCTCAGGAGCCGCGGGAAAGGTGCTCTTAGGCGCGCAACTGCTGTTGTGAACCAACTGAAGGAATTGGTCTCGCGAGTGGCTTGGCAGAAAGGTAATGGCTTGCAGATTGCATCTGGCCATAAAATGCGAATAGATGTGAAACCTGTCAATTCCTGACATGAGCACCAAACTAAGAACTGCAGCACCTTTCGGCCCCCACTTGGTGCATGAATTTCAGTCAGTTTGTTCAGCACCCAGGTGGGAAAAGAAGAGGACGATGTCTTGGACGAAGAATGGGATGTGGATGCTCTCAGTTTCCTGTTCAGTAGCTTGGCATGGCATGGCGACGTTTTAAAAAAAGGAGCACAAAGTTTCATGCTGAAAATCCATGAAACTCCTAGGTGCGGACTATATGGACAGCTTGATGATCCTGGCAGGCGGTGCAAGTTGGTCCCTCCGAGATGATGAGACCGTTGTTCAGATATCACAACCCTGCAGAGTCTTTGGATCCGTCCTCAGTTGACTCATCTGTGTGTTGCATGTGTTTGGATCATATAGAGCTGTCAAGCTCGATCTATGAAAAGTCATTTCCTCCTCGGGAAAGCTCTTAGTTGTCAGATGGATCAATGGATCATGAAGAATCACAGCCGATGCATTGCATTGAAAGAGAATACACAGTGTTGAATAGTGAAACATACTGAAAAATAGTGAAGCAGATTCAGATTCAGAGTGAGGTGATATTCATGGCCAGCTCCGTGATTTGCTCATGTTCTTCCACGCCTTTGGCCTTCCATCGAAGACTGGGCCAAGCTTTGTTTTCAATGGCGACTTTGTCGATCGAGGAGCACACCAACTGGAGGCACGTTTTCACGAAAGCTAGCTTCTGCTAGCTGAAGTCCCTTTTGTTTTAGCAAGGTATTGTGGGGATGGAATCTCCAATCGCGAGAAACTTCTCAGTCAACTACCTCCCCCCCTCCCCTCCTTTCACAAGCAGTTTTGTCGTGGGCTCAACCCCTCCCGGGACACGGTCAGTAAAAGCACCGGCACGATCACTGGTATCCACCCTCTACACTTCACACTCTGGAGTCCACACTGTACACGCTAAACTTTACACTCCGCATCTTACACGTTACGCTCCACACTCGACATGTTACACTTACCTGTTAACGCACTTTACACTCCACACTTCACACGCTAAACGTTACACTCCAGACCTTACACGTTGCACTCCACATTCGACATGTTACACTTAACCGTTAACGCACTTTACACTCCACACTTTACACGCTAAACTTTGCACTCCATACTCTACACTCTAAACTTTACGCTTCACACTTTACACTCCGCACTCCGCAGTCCACACTTTACACTTCACACTATACACTTGGCACTCCACACTCTACTGTTACACTTTAAGGTGTGAAAGCGTGGCACTATACACAGGGCACTCCACACTCGACAAAGCGTGGCACATACACCAACCGAGACATCGTTACAAAGGGAGACAGCTGAAACGAGCAAAGGCTACGAACTCGGTGTCAAGGTCTTCGCCGTTTGTGCCGTGGTGGCCTTTGCCTCTGTTAGCGCTTCATTGCTGTTTTCACACTGCAATGTTGTCACAAGTGTAATTCAAACATATTCAGAAGAGTTATATAAATAAAACTAAGCACATTCGGGATTTCGATACTTCGGCGGCCTGGTGTTGCTTTTGTTTGATACGGGTGCTACATTTTCAGAGAGAGAGAGAGAGAGAGAGGAGATAGACGTATTCATCTGTGGCTCTATCAGCGGATGTTGCCCTTCGGGCACTTTTTTTTTGTTTGCGTTCCCTGTCGTTTGCGATCTTCGGAGCTAACTATCGTCATCTGCAAGGTGCCACAATTTGCCAGCGTCGATCATGGCTGATTTGCCGATATGGTCAGACAATGAAAGGATAGACAGTGAAGTAGTCCTGTTAAGTGTATGGGCATGGATACGAGCTTATCCAGTCATTGGCCTCACTCTATTAGGCTATTCATTTGCCATTGTTCATCGACGACGTCATGGTGAGCCAGACCTGGACTTACCATGTAAGATACGAGAATGCAATGACGAGAATTGTCAGAAGTGTGCAGAAGAAGCAGGTGGATATGACTTTCGATGGATGCATTTTGCTTGGTTCCGGCTATTTGGCAACTCGTCGGGCTGGCACGTGGTCTATAGAAGATCATTGGCACGAACCAGTTCGGTTTCCAGGCTTTCGAAGCTCAGAGATGGGCAGTATGCAACTGCTATGGTTTTGCCAGGAAGCAGAAATGGATGTTCTTGATCGTGAAGGGAAATTTGAAGAACTGATGGCATTGAAGGAAGACGAAGAGAAAGAGCTCGCAGCGATCGAAACTATGTAGCTGTGTCCGATACTTCGTCATTGATGGATGCCTTGCGTATCTGCATTGCACTTTTTGTGTGACGTAGCTCTTGTATCTGCTTGGCATCGCTTCCAACAGCAACGAATGCGATTCGGCCAAGAGACTTCCCATCAATGAAGTTGACGAAGAAATTTACATAGCGAGATGAATCAGAGAGAAAAAAGAGGAGCTGTAATTGCCATTGCGTCGCTTCAGTGCAATAGTCATGGCTTTTTTTTAAAATCATTTGAATTAGCTGCTTTTCAATTTGTATCAATAGTCTATCTATCGTTATCCACCCCCATCTGCCTCTTCCCTATATATTCCCATGACGATCACCCTTCTTCCCCAAGTCTGAAGTAGCAAGTTTCAGTTGCCATCTCCCCCAGCCCTATCAATTCCAATGACTATTACCCTTTGTCTTCAATTCTGAAGTAGCCGCTCTCCACTCCCATCGCTCTCTTCCCTATCAATTCCCATGACGATCACCTTTGTCCTCAAAACTGAAGTAGCACGTTTCAATTGCCATCTGCCTCTTCCCTATCAGTTCCCATGACGATCACCCTTTGTCCTCAAAACTGAAGTAGCACGTTTCTATTGCCATCTGCCTCTTCCCTATGACTTCCCATGACGATTACCCTTCTTCCTCAAGTCTGAAGTAGCAAGTTTTAATTGCCATGTGCTTCTTTCCTATCAATTCCCATTACGATCGCCCTTCTTTCTCAAGTCTGAAGTAGCAAGTTTCAATTGCCATCCCCCTCTTCCATATCAATTCACATGACGACCACCCTTCTTCCCCAAGTCTGAAGTAGCAAGTTTCAATTGCCATCTCCCCCAGCCCTATCAATTCCGATGACAATCACCCTTCTTCCTCAATTCTGAAGAAGCAATTTTCAATTGCCATCTCCCCCAGCCCTATCAATTCGCATGGCGATTACCCTTCTTCCTCAAAACTGAAGTAGCAAGTTTCAATTGCCATCGCCCTCTCCCTCTCATTTCCCATGACGATTACCCTTTGTCTGTAGTTCTGAAGTAGCCAGTTTCAATTGCCATCTCTCCCTTCCCTAGCACTTCCCATGACGATTACCTTTTTTTTCCGGCAACGTTGAGGTCGCAATTTTCAATTGCCATCTCCTTCTTTCCTATCAATTCCCATGGCGATTACCCTCTGTCCGCAATTCTGATACAGCTAGTTTCAATTGCCATCTCCCCTGTCCCTGTTAATTCCCATGACGATTACCCTTTTTCCTCATTTCTAATTCTGAAGTAGCAAGTTTCAATTGCCATCCCCCTCTTCCCTATCAATTCACATGACGATCACCCTTCTTCCTCAAGTCTGAAGTAGCACGTTTCAATTGCCATCTGCCTCTTCCCTATCAGTTCCCATGACGATCACCATGTGTCCTCAAAACTGAAGTAGCAAGTTTCAATTGCCATCTCCTTCTTCCCTATCAAATCCCATGACGATTACCCTTTGTCCTCAATTCTGAAGAAACAATTTTCAATTGCCATCTCCCTGTTGCAAGCTGTTCTTTTGCTCGTATCACTTTGCCAGCGAGAACGCCATGACTTGTACAGCATGCAACCCGCCCATGATGCTGATAGATGCAAATTGTGTTTGGTGGCATTTGCCTCTCTTGGCAGTGATTGTGGCAGTTCCATTCATGAATCACGTGGCTCTCACACTTTAAGGTTTACGCTTTCACACTTTCCACTATGCACTTGACTTTAGACCCTCACAACGTAGCCCATTTCACATTTGACGCTGTATGGAACCTTGGCCTTGCTCCATTTTCATGTTGCATGCGCACATCTACCTGTCGTCGTAAACTTTCGCCTCACACTGCGTGATGTCTTCCCGCGCTTCCAAAGGTCCACTCCGGTGCCGAGGGTAGACCTTTGAATTTTCCCGACTCAGTTGTCATGATCTTGTATATGCTGAATGTCTTCATTTGCTTCGTGCAAGAGTAGACAACAATCATATGTTCTCAAAAATTGTGCTTACACTTGCGCTACCTTCTGTGTTTCATGCCCATCACCCTGCCAAGCTAGCTTTCGTCCCTTACCCGTTGCCCTCAAGTGTAAGTCGTTGTCAAGCGGGGTGCTGGGTCCCTGTTTGCGCACCGTGATTGGCAGGTCATTGGTGTTCTGTTCGCGCTCAAGATTGCTTTTCCAAAGCGAGTTTTTCTGGTTCGTGGCAACCATGAGGATGCTTTCATGAACCGTGCTTTGGCTCTAGGTTGCCATCAGTCACAGTGACTTGCTGCTTCATTTTTCCATCTTCCATTGGCTAGGAAAGAGTGCCAAGAGGCGCAAACCAACCCAAACTGCAATTCCCAATGTCCTTAATTACATAGATCATAGATCCTATAGATCCTGAATATCTTATTGCTTTAATTGGTGGGGACAAAACCAGCAGTGTCGCCTTTTGCACTGAGGTAAATATGGCTTTTATGAATGTTGCATGGAACAGTTGGGATCCTTTGCCGAAAAGGCCTTTAGCAACGTTCAAAAGGCAACCTGGCGTCCACCAGTCGGCCCAATAAGGCTTTGGTTTTTCAGCCAAGCTTTCCATTACACGATGTTGGCATCCGCCAACCAAGAGATGTCACGCTACCAAAGGCAACAAACTGATAAACCTTGACCACCAGGGCTCATCTTTCATGATGATTTGGATTGATTTTGCGTGATGTGTTGTGATATGTTCGACTTTTTCTAGGCATCCGCTTTTCGGAGCTTGTCCAGAAATTGCGTAGGCCATTCTTGTTCATGGCCTGGGCTTCACAATGGTTCCATCTCACTTTTTTTGTGGGCGATCATCCAGGATAAACGAAACACACTTTCCGCAGGACATGTGGTTTTCTCAGAAAGGACATTCGTCATGCATCTGAGGCTTTTGAGTGGCTTCCACTTGCCTGCCTTATTGATGGCAAGATTCTCACGGTCCATGGAGGTATAGGAGATGGTAAGTGGACCATTGATGAGCTGGCTTGTGTGAAGCGGCCTCTGAACTCCGAAGTCTTTTTGGAAACAAACAATCGATGGTTGTACAATATCCTGTGGTCGGATCCTATCCCTGATGACAATGGCGGCACAAACTTGTTTGGTGTTCACAGCTCTCCACGAACTGCATCTGCCGTAAACTTTGGTTGGAACATCACAAAGACTTTCTGTGCAATGAATGGGATCGATGTCATCGTTCGCAGTCACCAATGCGTGGAAGAGGGAAGAGGTTTCGAAGTGATGCATGACCAGCATCTGGTGAGAGTCTTTTCCGCCCGTGACTATGAGGGACACAGAAATGATGCGTCCATTATTTCAATCCGTAAAGATCGGACCAGTCTGAATCGTGTGCAGTTGGTCCTGCGGATGCACGGTTTGCGCTCGCTCGTGAGATTGGAGAACGAGGTGTCACAGATGTCACTGGGGCCAAACGATGAAGCATGACGAGGCTTCCAAGCGCGACCACCCTACCGGCCTGACTCGATCACACTTGTGAGAGCTCGCCCCAGTTGCGAACATTTTTGTCTCACTAAGCAGCTGCCAAAGTGTGGCAAGTTCGAATACAATTCTGAATTCTTACTCATAGAGTTCATGGCTCTACCTAGTATTAGCCTGGGGCCTTTTTGAAGATGGCACAATCCATGCTAGCCATGTATGGCCTTTCGAAGGCTATGCGGACTGTATGATTTCCAATATTTCCAATGGATTATGCCTTATCAACAATTATTCTCAGCAAAGTGCAGCAGCCTGTTGGACAAACATGCGATTTGGAGTCTTTGGACGCTGTTAAGGACGACTGACATCTGTTTGTATATTATTTATAATATAGTTCAAGTATCCTACAAGTGTATATGATATATGCATGTAGACAGCTTGAAACACTCTCCGTATACGGTACGGCACTATAATTCTCATAGTGTATCTTTGATCGCATTGAAAAAAGTAGTCCTGTCATTGATTGGGGTTGCTTCTGTTTGTCATCAGACTTCAGGTCCTTTTGATATTGCTCTGACGTTACGCTCCTTTGTTTCATCCTTTGCAGTGAACACTATGCAATTAGCAATTGCTTCTATTTGAGACGGTTGCAATCGATTGCATATTGCTGTTTACATCGTGACATACTTGGATGATCGATGATGGAAGGTGCTTGCGCGAGCTGTCGCTTTTCTGGCTCTGGTGTCCAGATTACAGGATGCTCAGCTTGTCACCAAAGTGCCTTCATTTCCGACGTTCTTTTTGACGACCCTTCACGCTTTGAGGGTGATAGTGCCTTGTGACATTGTGGAAGTTCTGCAAATCACGCCCAGACGTTTTTGAGTCACATGACCTTCAATTCCGAGTCGTTGTTTGGGGTTTTCAGCTTGCTTTCTCCAAACCATTTGCTATGTCAGACCCCGGGCCATTGACCAGTCAGTGTCTTCAAGTTGTAGTTCCAAGTGTCGGTGTCTCCAGTTGTCTGGGGTTGTTCGCTCCTATTTGCTCCTGCTCTACAAGACAATTTGTCAGATCATTTTTTGGGGGTTCTTTCTCCAGGAGACCGCACAGACTTCTTCGGGATTGCGCTGTCTCGTTCAGAGGTGTCCAGTTTGACAGTTTGTATAATTCGATGTAGGAAGCGTCGCAGCATCAGTGCAGGCTGAGCAGTGACATCACGCTTTCAGAGGCTTCCTGCAAACGTCCGCGCTTTGTTTGTTGCAATTCAAACCCTTGGCTTTGATGTCAATGAAGTCCCAGATACTGCAAACAAAGAGGTGCTGGCATTAAACTATGGCTGTAATTTGCTGGAGTCAGCCTGGTGCCTAGTTTATGTCTAGGATTTCAAGCCACAAAGTGCTCCAGCATTCTCGGACCTGAGTTAAAGGTTCACAGATTGGTATCAGAGTCAACCCATTTTGGAATTTTAGTTGATGTATCACCAGTGTGATTCACCATGAAACAAGTTCAGGAATGTCTGTTCCTTGAAAAAATGATTCACCATCCAGCCCCAGCCAGAGCATTTTCTCATCTATCCAAGGCCAAAGAAAGGTCACCATCCAAGTCTGGCTATGCCAGCAATCCCCTTGGTGCTGGCATGACCAACACAGCAGGTCAGCAAGCGAAACAACAGCAATCAATGTGGTAAGCCCAATAGCAAACCATGCCCAATTTTACAAGAAATAGGTGGTATAAACCATCCCCAAATTGTGGGTCTCATTATTGGGTTTATACCGCATGATATCCAATTAGAATCAGATGCTACTTGGAAGGCTTTGCCCAGAAACTTGGGAGAGGGGTACAGAAACCACTCTGCCAGGCGGTATTGAGGGCGCATTGGTGACCAGACGCTGGCCAGACCCTTTAGCTGCAGTGTCGAGCACACGCTTATGGACATGATTGGAAATGCATCCCCACGCTTGTATCAGTTGTATTTCATTGCATTCCATTCTCATCACAATCGGGAATCTCATTACCAAGTCGCGAACCGTTTGCAGTAGAGGTGGTCTCTGTGAGTGAGGTTAGCCTGCAGGATGCCTGGTTTCGCATCAGCCTTGGAGGTCGAGTTTGCGAAACCACAATGCTTTGATTGTTACGACGCCTTCGAGTTAGAACAGTTAAGAAGGTTTGATGATTTTGATGGTGGGTGTCGAAGGATCTTAGTTTCATTGAAGCTAGTGCAACCAAGACACTTTGAGTGTCGTGTGTTTACGCGCGTTTAGCTTGGCTCAAGAGAGGAAGCAGCGAGTGCATATGAGATTACGAGATAGCCGAGGCGGACGAGATTCTGACAATCCCAGCACCAAAAAAGGTTGTGCATGACTGTTCCAAGATAAGGAATTCTAAGTGGAGCAACTTAGAGTCCATTAGATCTACTAGATCTACACAAGCCATGCACAGCTTTTGATTTTCTAGGGTCACCAGCTTGCTGTATGTTGCCATGAATGGCGGTGCTTCGGCCCTGCAGCGCTGGCCGCCCTCCAAGAGGTAGCAGACGCCGTTGGAGGCAACCATTAGCCCTGCTTGTCATCGGCTGCACCCTGTGCCAGGCCCGGATTGCAGCATATTTCGTGTCCTTATTGTCTTACATTTTCAATGCGTTCTCAATACTTAATTTACATGAATATACATACATGCATACATACATACATACATACGTACGTACGTACATACATACATACATAGATACATAGATACATAGATACATACATACACACACATACACACATACACACATACACACATACACACATACACACATACACACATACACACATACACACATACACATACACATGCACATACATATCCATATACATATACATATACATTTACATTTACATATACGTGCATATACATACATAACATAAATATACATACATGTACATACAGATACACACATTTACATACACATACATACATATACATACATATACATGCATTTACGTACATATGCATACATATACATACATATATAGACATAGACTTACAAATACATGCGTATACATGCATATACCTACACATACATACATATACATACATATACAAACAGATACACACATATACATACATATACATACATATACATACATATACATACATATACATGCATTGTAAATGGCAGCACGTCTGCAATGATGATAGTTCCAAAGACACTGAAAGAAAGAAGATATCAATCCCTGTCAAATCGTCCCAGGTCACGCACTGCAAACTGTCTTTTCCAGGCTGAGCTTCAAGGTCGTTCCAGGCACGGCAAATGTCCAAAATGGACCAAGCAGGAAGGCAGAAGCTCGGGCTTCTGAAGGCAAATGGATATGGATTCCCTGATCCAATATGTGGTCCCGGCCACAGCAACCAAATGGCTAAAGACGTTCTAAGAACCACTGCCCTCCCACTACCAGGGCTCGCCTGAGCCAGTACGTCTAACCAAGAAACCTGGTGAGGACCCACTGCATGCTGGATGGTGTGGTTGTGGGGGTAAATGGTCAAATCACACTCCCAAAAATCATTTTTTTTGGAAAACAGGAAAATTTTCATTTCAAGGATCTTCGGTGATTTCGGCACGTGGTTGATTTTGATGTTCACGCGTGTCTTGGTTGTGGTTTTGATTGGATTGTTGTTTCAACCATTGGATTCGATCTCTGGTCTTGGCACGTTCTTTGAGGGTGGCTGTTTCATCATGAAGTTTATAAAAGCCATGACTCAAGGTTTCTCGAAGGAATCGAGCTTCCATTGCCTTTGTCAAGCAATCCGCAAGCTGAGCCCCTGTATGAACCCAACGGAGATTAATCCCTTCCCTGAGTATTTCCTTTATTGATCGTGCAACCAATTGTACCCGAAATTCTGAGCAAGATGGGGGAGCTGTGCGAGTAATTAAATCATAAAGACTTTTACAATCAGTGACCGCTAAATCTGAATCTTGGGAAATGGTGGTTACTGAAATGGCGGGTTCTATTTTACATAGGGCTTCTTCGGGTTTATGCCACTCAGTTTTGGGATCATGCAACCACTTCCAATACAGTCGGAGCCGTGAAAGCTGGTCAAGGGCAGAGGCCAACGATGCTGTCTCAGCAGAGAGAGTGCTCGTCACGACCCGTTGGATCTTCTTACTTCCCCACATCAATGGTGAAATTGGGCATTCAATATTTTTCGAGATGTCTTGATGAGTTGCAACTGTAATGCTACCCGCATATGAGTTAGGTTTATTATGTGATGCAAAGGATGCATCAGAGAAAGTCATGAATCGCAGGTCTTGATGGGAAATCGGCTTTATGGTGATGGTCACATCATGATGTCTCTTGGCTTCGTGCAGCAATCGGTTGGCTTCCATCATGGTTTCGATGGTCCCAGTGTTGATACTGGACTGCAGGCTGGAAAGGCGATTCGCTAAGTCAGGTCGAGTGTTGGTCGAGGCATACTGCAAGGATCCCACTAGGCCACGGAGATGACCCTTTTCTTTGTCATTCAGCGTCAGGTTGGGTTGAGTTTTTCGTTGAAAGTCTATTGGAATTGGTGTAATTTTCCGAATGTAATTGGATTGACTCATGGAAATGCTGTGGTCACCATGTTGTGTGATATCTATTCCTGTGAATGTGAATGCGCTGGTTTTCTTGGATCCAAATGCAAACTTGGCTTCCAGTTTCTGCAACACCTGTTGAAACTTTTCATTGCCTCCACCAATGCCATCGTCCACATGGACGCCGAGTACGTCAACAATAGCCCCTTGGGCTGGAGATTTTCGTGCTGGAGCCGGCTCATTCCCATGGGGAATTACTGAATCTTCTCGGAGCACAAAGACGCATGGATCAAAAGGACAGGCTTCCATACCTAATCGTATGAGTTCTTTAACCAAGGCACAATACCATAGGTATGGGGCATCAATCAATCCATAAGCACTCTTATTTAATCTGGTGATTTCATTTGGAGACAGATTGAGAGCTTCCCTGAGTTCGCTTACGGGGTCAACAGCTATCAATTGATTTTCCTGGGGTTGTCCCTGAAGAAATGCTGCTTTGATATCAAATGATTGAAGCTTCCATGCATGGGATGCAATCAGTTGTAATATCACCATTCGAAGATCTACTCAATGTGGGACTGTCCCTTGGTATATCTTTTATTTGAGGATCCATGTAACCAAGTACCACAATCCGAGCCTTTGCTTTGTGAGTTCGACCCTGGTTGGCACTGGAGTCGGTAGGATCTAGAGGCTTCCAATTCAAAATCCATCGACAACGTAGGATTTGGTCGTGTGGTACCTGATCTCGGAGCATCTTTGTCAAGGTTTCAGTTTTGAGCCAATTGTTGACTTCGGACTGCTTGGCGGCTGCAAACTCTAGACGCTCACTCTCTGTCAACTCAGACAACCGAACTTCACTTTTCTGCTTTTTGGTTTGCGTTGCCAGAAGTGTCCAAGCTTCTTCAGGACTTGGTTCTTGGTGGAGAAATTCTTCGGGGGAGTTAATTTCAACTTCACACTTCCATGCATATCTTGTGGCATCTGTTTCCATCAATGCGCATGCTGGTTCATGACATGTGTGAAAAAGAAGTTCATTGGTGTCCTCTTGGGTTGACTCTGGGCGGCTGTCTGCTTCGGGTTCGTGATCTGGTTGGGCAATGGTCTCACTTTCCGTGCTTGGCTGATATGTTACTGGTGGTTCATCTGGTAGGTTATTTGGGATTATTTCATCGTTGGGGATTACAATCTCTTCTTCTGGAATTGACTGCATGGGTTGGTTGATGGTTATCCGGTTGATTTGTTGTTGAATCTGAGTGAGATCATCTGGGAGTTCAGGCCCTGTGGGCTGTCCTTCCTCTGGCAGAGCTAGTCGTGTGTTTTCAGGTGCACTGCGAAACAATTTTCCCCCGACAGTGGTCCAAATAGCGTGGTTACCATCCTGGACTATTACCCTTTGGGGTCCTATCCATCCCTTCTTTTGGGGTCCTATGGTACGCCATATCATTACCCATTGACCCCGGTGATAGTGTCCTCTGGACGGACATGACCTTCTGAGAAAGGATCGTCGGAGGGCATCGCTGTCGTCTGCCATGTGGAAGGCCTGCCGGGCTAGCTCTCGGATCTTTAATTGCTGTCGAAATGACTCAGCTGACAGGTCATTATCTTCCTGGAGAGCTGCCGTGTGAGCAGGAATTGAGGCATCGCTCAGCACTGAGCCTGGCAACCTACTTTGTTTTCCAAAGACCATAATCTCAGGACTATACCCCCAGTGGATTACCATTGAGTTCTTTGCCTGGGTACATTGATTAAGGGCCATTTGGAGGTCTCGATAATTTTTGATGGGCATGTCCAAGTCAATTTTTGACAGCATGTGTTGCAAGAAACTACCGTGTCTTTCGATGGTTCCATTCTGCCAATGTGCTTCAGGACATGTTGTGATGCATTTGATTGACATTCTTTGAGCAAACTGCAGGAATTCTTCACTGTTGAGCTCAGTACCAGAATCTACCTTCAGCTCCTGTGGGCTCCCTGCCCAATTGATCCAGTGTTGATGAATCAGGCTGATCACATCTTTGGATGTGTGGGCAGGTGCAATGAACGCCACATGAAAGTGTGTTCCGGCATCAACAATGTGATATAGTTGAAAACTTTCTCCCGCACGATTGGTCCACTTGATTCCATCTAGATATACTCGATAGTTAAAGTCCAACAATTCCTTCAAATGACTCGGTCGTTGATGCTTGGGAGCTGCATGGGCTGCGCACACCGAACATTTCAGTTCAGCAGCTGCTCTGACCAGTTCTGGTCTCTGACCATTGGCCTGCAAGGCCTTTGCCAATCTTTCATTGGAAGGGTGACCTAAATTGCGGTGCATTTGCAACAACTGTGTCTGTTCCCACTTTGGCAATGCCTGAAACTGCGACGATTGATCTTTTCGGGAAACTTCGTGACTGTGGTCAGGGACCAGCTTCGTGGTGGCATCAGGACAGGTTTCACTGTCTCGTGGTGCAGGTTCAGAGCTTGCTGGTGCGTCAGGATGCGGCGGCATTGATTGGTAATTCTCCCTTGGCTGGGCATGGCTGTCACTGCTGGACGGCTGCTCACTTGGATTGGATGGCATTCCAGTGTCATCTTCTCTGTCGAGTTCGGGGGAGTTATTCGGGTTATAGGGATTATTATCTGGATTACTGAAGTTACCTGGAGGGTTATTGAGATCATCATGGGGATTATTGAGGTTCTCATTGTTTTGGATGTTACGGTGATGGCTTTCTTCTGGTCGGTCCTGTGCAAACACAGTGCAGTTGATGCGGCAAGCATGTGCTGGTCGGATTAGTTGACGATTTGACAGATTATCCCATTTCTCCCATTCCTTCTCATACTGGATTACCCCTGATGGTCGTAAAATCATGATGGTTCGTCGATAGGGAGCTGTTTCCTTTTGCAAATGCTCTGGTGGACCCATAGTTCGATCAGTTCCCCTGCATGCTATGGCCGTATTGATGGTCTTGTCGGGAAACACCTGTTGCAACTTTTGCAATATGTTGCTCTCTTGAATTTCACGGCGACCAACCCTGGGCAGGATATTTTGCAAATCATGAAAAAGGTTCTGACACATTTCTATATCTACCGGTGAGCTTTGCTTTCCATCCAATCGCCGTCTCTTGACACTCCCTTCACTGTTGTCCATTGGTGTCAACAGTTGGGACTTGGCAAAACTGGCTCTGCCGCGGAATGCACGGGACTTGATCACCGACGAGGCTTTTCCTGCAAGCACTGGAACTTCCTGGGCTTTCCCTGCGAGGAGCATGCCATATTGCCATCGAAATGGCCATGTGTGCCGAGCATGAGTCCACGTTTTGGCTATCAACCTAGCAAACTTTCGAGGATACACTTCAGTGAACTGGGTTCTTAGCATGTTACATCCCTGATGGTTGATAGACCCTTCAATTGGTTGGTGAACATGTTCCCCTGTGCAAGTTAATCCATGGAGGGCCCGGAAAGTTGGCTCATGGGTAGTGAGGACTTGCATTCCCTTCTTCATGTGATTATTGGTTTTGGGGTCTTTGAGGTCTCCCGCCTTGCACATGTCGAACTGGCAGCATTGGGTATGCTGATGCAATTCAGTTAGTCCCGGATGCAACATCATGAGGGACCTTTGTGGCTGTTCCCAGTGAAAGTGCAACCCTTTTGATATTTGGTGTCTGTACAACACAATCCCGAGGGCAATCTGGTATCTGTGCTCATGACGCACCTGTTGATACCTGGCTTGATGCTCCATCGATCGGCTTGCATTCAACGCTGACCAGGATGACCACGGGCCACAAACAGGTGAATACCAAAGGTGTTTTGGTGTATGTCTGCACAGGTTCTGAAACAAGGCTTCTCGTCCTGTTGTGGTGGCCAAATCACCCTGTTCCATGCCATGCCGGAACGCTTGACTACCAAGATTCTGAACTTGCTGAGTTCATGGGGATTCCCGACTGCAAAACACCTCACCTAACATGTATGGCTTGCCCATCGGTCGGTGGGTCATGCTGATGTCGTCGAGTTCTTTGGAAAACTGTCGAATCAGCTTTTGGAGATCACCTACATCGTGATGGACAGTGTTACAATCATGAGCAATCAACTCAGCGTCGGAGGAGCCTACTGCTGGTTTTGGTCCCCAGCTCTGTCTTCCAGGTGACGAATCACCTTGGTGAGTGCATCCTCCATGTTCAACAATCGTTGCTGTACAGCTTGAAAATCCGGATCCTGGCTCAGTGGTGGTGGGTCCATAATCCCCGTGTTGTACATCTCGAATTCCTCTTCTTCCTCCACAGGAACGGGAGTGCCAATGTATCGAGCATATCGGGCTGCTGGTTGAGCTTTTGCTTTGGGCAGGGTGGATCTGTTGCCAGAATGATCGCTTGTCCCGTCGGAATATCCAGCTAGGGAATCTCGGGGTGGCATCAATGGAATGGCCCTCTGAGCCTGTTCGTGTTCCTCCACCTTGAGCTCGACGAAGCGAATCAGGCGGCGGTGTGTCAACACCCTGCTCGATCCGTACTTGGACACCATGAAATTGATCCACTGCTGATCTTCCCAGGCCTTCTCGTAAGTGTCCCCCATGTGCTTCTGACCGAAGCTGACTTTCTCCTTTGCCAGCTCTGCTAGAGTCAAGGCACTGAGGTCGGGAAGTTCCACTGGGGTCTCTTCCTGAAGGCTTTTCAGGCGGTTGATCAACGAGGCCATGGCACGAATCTTCACGTCCGAAAGTCACCTGATGCGTGGAGCTTTGAACCGGGATCTCACTGATGCCGGCACTGTGAAAGTCCATCTCCGACGCAGGATCTTCGAACTCTGAGACGGTTGAAACCATTTGATCATTGTTTTCTACCCCAGGCACGTGATTTTCATGTGGTTTGTTGATATCTACTGATTCGGATGCTGGTGGCACTTGGCTGACTTCTGATTTTTCGTCGGGAGCAGTCATGAACGTGTCCTGCACAAACTTCGTTGACAGTGTTCGGGCTCCCTGATCGGCTTCAGCAGCTTTGATGATATCATTCAAATTAACTAGAAACAAACCCCTTGGAGTCAGTTCTAAAGGAACCTGGTGATTCAACTGCGGGCTGATCAGGCGTTGTGCAAAACAATCGATCTGAGCTCGGATGGCACGCATGAACGTGCTGCTGATAAGGAAAGGTGTGCCGCCTGGAACAATGGCGATCTTGAGTCTCAGCTTGCCAACGGGTACCACTAGTGCTTGCTGGCTGGTTAAAGTACCCTGATTACCAAACTTAAAGGTAATTTGACATGGACACCTACTTAATTTGGCACGGACTTCCTCATCCAAGCTGCGAATTAAGCATGCCACATGGTTGGAACCGATGACTGTCTTTGAAGCTCCCAGGTCCAGCACTCCGAATGCATCATGGGTGGCAAAACAAATTGGTTGATTGGTCTGACTTGCTTCCTCTTGAATGTCCAAATTGTTATCATCAACAAGTGGCATGACAATTCTTGGACCTACCTGGGCACCATGTGACATGTCATGATTCTTGGACAAAAGGACTGGTTCGGCATCAGCGACATTCGATTGGGTTCTACCTGCATCATTGGTTGAAAGTCGGTGGATGGCCTCATTCCTGAGGCGGTGGCGGAGTCGTTCTCTGGCAGTGGTCTCATGTCCCATGAATCCATTATCCCAAGTATAGCTACGATATCTAAATTCACCCAGAATTCTACCCCGATAACTATACTTCTTTGGAATTCCCTGGGATATACAAACAAAACTGCTAGCCAAAACTGGTTTAGGCTCATCGAGTCCGGTCTCAGGCAACTCCATGAACTCCAGAGGTAAGCTATCCATGGCCCCCATCGTCACCACGGTCGTGGTCGGAGCTGTGGATGCTTTGGCATCTGATCCAGTGGAGCGAGATTGATCCCTCATTGGGCATTCACTACGCCAATGGCCACGCTGGCCGCAAATCCGACAGTTGGAATTGAGAATACGATCTTGTAAGGTCCTACGACCTCCTCCAGTATTGTAAGAGGATTTCCCCTTACCACCTTTGAAACCATATCCCTTTCCCTTGTAAGGCTTTGCGGGGAAAAATCCACGATTGCGGAACTTTTCAGCCAGCTTGTGTCGCGCCTGTTGATAGGCACTGAATGCCGTTGCCAGTTCTGGATCATCCTGAACTGTGTCCATGGCAGCTGCTTCAAAATCTGAGATCAAGAGGGCATCTGGGTCTCCGTCATTGGCCATGCTGTCAATGAAGTCTTGTTCTGAAACTTCATCCGTTGTCGTCAAAGCTTGATCTCCTTCAGCATGGTTGTCAGACGAGGTTGCCTCCTCTGTCATCAGAACTGCATTGTCGTAAATCTTCGATCGTTGAACCTTCTTACCCGTGAGATCCTGGAAAAACGTGGCTCCCAGAATCCGGATGGCTTCATGGACCTTTGCTGTTGTCAAAGTCCCTGACTGTTCACTGTCTAGGATCACCTTTTTCTTCTCATCGGCTGACAGTTGGGATCCACGAAGAACCACATAGGCCTGTAAATCGGCCATTGTCATCTTCCTAGAGAGAAGACGGCTCCACAGTATGTCAGCACGAGCCAAGTAACTGTCATTGGCTTCATCCTGCTTCTGCAGGGTGTGATACAGAGCCTGTTCAGCGTCCTCATATTGACGTTCAAGGGCGATCTTGCCCCAAGCTCCACCTAAGTAGCCAATCAGTTTCTTGACGGCCTCATCACCTTCACAGGCTAGAAGTTCTTCCTGATGAAGTTCCAACTTCTGAAATGCAGTCCCTTTGCAACCCAAGATCAGTCTTGTAATCAATTCCGTCATGCGATTCTTGGGCCATGCTGCTGCTACCAACTGAACTTTCTGCTGAAACACTTGCAACTCATCTGTTGCCGGATCAAAACTCGGCACCAGCGACGCCAACTGATTGCTCACCCCTGTGCCATTAGAGGCTTCCGGTGTTGCCATGTTGTTGTCGCCCCGGATGCTCCTTCACGGAGCTCCGCTACCAATGTAAATGGCAGCACGTCTGCAATGATGATAGTTCCAAAGACACTGAAAGAAAGAAGATATCAATCCCTGTCAAATCGTCCCAGGTCACGCACTGCAAACTGTCTTTTCCAGGCTGAGCTTCAAGGTCGTTCCAGGCACGGCAAATGTCCAAAATGGACCAAGCAGGAAGGCAGAAGCTCGGGCTTCTGAAGGCAAATGGATATGGATTCCCTGATCCAATATGTGGTCCCGGCCACAGCAACCAAATCACTACCAGGGCTCGCCTGAGCCAGTACGTCTAATCAAGAAACCTGGTGAGGACCCACTGCATGCTGGATGGTGTGGTTGTGGTGGTAAATGGTCAAATCACAATGCATATACATACATATACATACATATTTACACATATACATACATATACATGCGTATTCATGCATATACATACATATACATACATATATACACAAATGCTTACCAATACATGCATATACATGCCTATACCTACATATACATACATATACATACATTTACATACATATACATGCGTATTCATGCATATACATACATATACATACATATATACACAAATACTTACCAATGCATGCATATACATGCCTATACATACATATACATACATATACATGCATACACATACACATACATACATATACATACATACACATACATATACATACATATACACACACATATATATATATACATATATTATATCAATATATATATATATATCAATATATATATATATATTAATATAAAGGGCTCCGCCCCCTGCCTCCGACCCCTGATTCAGGGGTTGGAAGCCCCCGGCCCATAGGGGGTCCTGGGGTTAAGTCGTAGCATTGCTGTTTCGTCGTAGCGGATCAGTGCGTGACTTGCAGAATTGCATGTTCTAAGACTTATTTTATTGCAATATTTGATGAACAGATGCTGATATTTTGATTTTGGGTGAGCGTGTGCTTTGCCGTGCTTTTTTTTTCCGCCGTATTGTTTGGGAATGCTGTTTAGAAAGTTAGAACTGGTGGAACATTGCTGCTAGACTGCTGCTGGGCTGCTGGGGTACTGGTGAGCGAGTGCTACTAAGCTGTTCTCAGAAACCGCTTGCTACTGGATTGCTGCAGGCTGGACTGCTCCAAACTGCTGACAGATTGCTGGTCGATATGTCATTACGCTGCTGTAAAATTGCCGCGGGCATGCTGCTAGATAGACTGTTGCTGGGCTGGTGCTAAGCTGCCGCTGAAGTGCTGCTAAATGTTTGCTGGGTGTCCCAATGGGCAGCGTGCAAACTGTTGCTCGGCTGCTGGAGTGCTTTTAGACTGCTGCTACGGATTGTCGCTAGAATGCTGCCAGGCTGCTGGTAAACTTCTGCAACTACTGCTCAAAGACCGCTCAGCAGACTGCTGCCACAGTGCTAGCAGGCTTTTCCTGAAGCCTACACTTCTGCTCGGTAGCTGCTAGACGGCTGCTAAACCGCCGCTGGACTGCTGCTAGACTGTTGCTAGATCGGCTTCCCCACAGGGGACTTGTGTGATTCACAAATTAAAAGGTTTATTGATGATATTGATGTGGGGCAGCTTTCTGAATGTAGAAGCCGATAAAAGCCACAGCTAGATTCTGGCCTTGTATTTTGCATTGCTTTTGGGAGCTGAGGGTTCCAAAGCTACTTTATGATTTGGTTTGGTACCTTGTTTGGTACCTCGTTTGGACCTCGGTTGACCTCGCCCAGAAGTTGTGATAAAAACATACTTAGAGGCTCAGTTCTACTTTCTTTTTAGAATTGTTGGGCCATTGGGTTGTGTTACCAAAGCATGCGTGAATCAGGTGTTCACATGCCGGGTGCCGGCAGCAGGTGAATGAAAATCAGATCAAAAACCATGCAAATGGAGAACGAAAGTCTTTGATGGACACTGGGGGCTGAAGCATCTTGAGGATAGTTTTACAGTTTCTGGGGCACTTTCAACCGTACAAAAATGATTTGAGTTTGCTTGTATTTATAGATTTCAAAGAGTACCACCGCACCCCTACTTATCGAGCGGTTACATGGTGAGTTACATGAGAAACAGATACCCAAAACAGATACCATGAATAGGACTTCCACGCTGAACTGGTCAAAAACAGTATGTGAGCCTCGGTCGAAGCCGCATACACATGGGTAAAGGCATCACGTGGCTATGACTTAAAACGAGCGGCCGTGACTTAAACTATTTGCAGCGTACACATGCAGAAACAGGACTTCGGCGATGACTTAAGACGAGATGCTATGACTTAACCCTGCCGTTTGTAGTGACATATCGTGTGTGGAAAAATTGTTCAGAATGGCTTGACATGACTCAAAGTGAACATGGCTCGAAATGACGGAAGCTGCCCCGAGAAAAGCGTGCAAAATTGTTCAAAGTGATGTAATGGATCCAACATGCAATGTATGAACATGTCTCAAAAGTTTCAAATGTGCCAACCAGTTCTGGGATGCATTGAGATTTCAAAGATATCGGATCGAAAGTTGAAGGATTAAGATCTAAAGCCAACATGCAATGTATGAACATGTCTCAAAAGTTTCAAATGTGCCAACCAGTTCTGGGATGCATTGAGATTTCAAAGATATCGGATCGAAAGTTGAAGGATTAAGATCTAAAGCAGGAACTGTGAATTAAAAAGCAATCCCGTCCGCGCGGTGATGGCGCCAAACAAGCGGCCGAGCAGATCAGGGACGAGGACGTCAGGGAAAAGCGGGAGGTCAGGGCGCAGTGGCAAAAGCGGCAGGAGCGGGAAGAGCGGAAGGAGTGGAGCTACAGGGGGTGAACGGCAGAGGCGGAAACAGGCAAGGAAGGATGCGGAGGAAGGATTCCAAGAGTTTCTGGGATGGGTGAGGGGTGGAGGAAAACATATAGAAGGATAGTTGCAACAACCATGAAGCATGATCTGGGTCAAAGTGGTCATCTGTTCAAGTCGGGTGAAAAAGTTCATGTTTGAAAGTTCTTGAATAGCAAATTTGAGTAGGTATTTTTTTTGACTCAGGGGACCGGGATCTCAATCTAGATGAAAAGTTAGTCTTTGAAAGCTTTTGAATCAGAACTTGATACAAAACCTGTTGTTTGTCAAACTACAGTAGTTTACATATTTCTGCAGGGTTGTATTTTGACAATGCCCGTAATGCCCTTGCCTGGTGCACTTCAACAAGAATTGTGTGATCGGAGATGCAGTGTATGAAAGTGTGCAAAAAATGCTTCGCAAGAGCGGGTAAGGATCAATGACAGAATGCATATCCTGTGGAAAAAACAGTCTCAAGCTGCTGTAGGGTCTGCGCGTGGTGTTCACAATTCCCTCAAAATATTCGATCTACCTGGTTTGAAACCATATTCTATCTATTTTTTGGTGTTGTTTGATTTTTGTGTTTTTTTCAATATTTCTCCAGGCCCGTGTCCAAAACTGGTTAAAAATGACTTAACAGGGACGAACAACGTGTAAAAACTGATGGTTTTGAAAGTATTCCAGCTATTTTTTCCCCACATCTTTTTGTGGGGTTTTGTTTTTGATTCTATATCCCGCCGCCGCCTCCGCCGCCTCCGCCTCCGCCGCCCATCTTTGTCAACCACCATCTGTCACACACAGCTTTGTCAACCACCATCTTTCACACACATCTCTGTCACACACCATCTTTCACACAACCATCTTTCACACACATCTTTGTCAACCACCATCTTTCACACACATCTTTGTCAACCACCATCTTTCACACACACATCTTTGTCAACAACCACCTTTCACACACATCTTTGTCAACCACCATCTTTCACACACACAACCTTTCACACACATCTTTGTCAACCACCATCTTTCACACACAACTTTGTCACCCACCATCTTTCACACACATCTTTGTCAACCACCATCTTTCACACCAATCTTTGTCAACCACCATCTTTCACACACAACTTTGTCACCCACCGTCTTTCACACACATCTTTGTCAACCACCATCTTTCACACACAATCTTTAACACACAACTTTGTCACCCACCATCTTTCACACACATCTTTGTCACCCACCATCTTTCACACACCATCTTTCACACACAACTTTGTCAACCACCATCTTTCACACACAATCTTTCACACACAACTTTGTCACCCACCATCTTTCACACACATCTTTGTCACACACCATCTTTCACACACAACTTTGTCAACCACCATCTTTCACACACCCAATCTTTCACACACAACTTTGTCACCCACCATCTTTCACACACAACTTTGTCAACCACCATCTTTCACACACAATCTTTCACACACAACTTTGTCACCCACCATCTTTCACACACATCTTTGTCACACACCATCTTTCACACACAACTTTGTCACCCACCATCTTTCACACACAACTTTGTCAACCACCATCTTTCACACACAATCTTTCACACACAACTTTGTCACCCACCATCTTTCACACACAATCTTTCACACACATCTTTGTCAACCACCGTCTTTCGCACACAATCTTTCACACACAACTTTGTCACCCACCATCTTTCACACACATCTTTGTCACACACCATCTTTCACACACAACTTTGTCAACCACCATCTTTCACACATATCTTTGTCAACCACCATCTTTCCCACACAATCTTTCACACACCATCTTTGTCACCCACCATCTTTCAGACACCATCTTTTACACACAACTTTGTCACACACCATCTTTCACACACCGTCACAGACCATCTTTCACACACCATCCTTCACACACCACTTTGTCACACACCATCTTTCACACAAAACTTCGTCACACACACAACTTTGTTTTACTTCTCGATCCTCCACCACCTCCTTTGTCTTTCCTTCTTTCCCTGCCCCCGCTACAACATTTGGTGCTCACTATTGGAAGAAGTTGCCTTGTGGGGTCATCCGGTCCTTTAATTTAAAAATTGTTTTTGAAAATGTCCGATATTCTATCTACCCCAGGATGACTATATATATATATATCTATATATATATATATTTACATATATAAATATATACAGACATATTTCTATATATAAATATGTAAACTCATATACATACATACATACATACCTACATACATACATACCTACATACATACATACATACCTATCTACATACATACATACCTACATACATACATACCTACATACATACATACCTACATACATACCTATCTACATACATACATACATACATACCTACATACATACATACCTACCTACCTACATGCATAGATACATACATACCTATCTACATACATACATACCTACATACATACATACCTACCTACCTACATACATACCTACCTACCTACATACATACATACCTATCTACATACATACATACATACCTACATACATACATACATACCTATCTACATACATACATACATACATGCCTACATACATACATACCTACATACATACCTATCTACATACATACATACATACCTACATACATACCTACCTACATACATACATACCTACCTACATACATACATACCTATCTACATACATACATACATACCTACATACATACATACATACCTACATACATACCTATCTACATACATACATACATACATACCTACATACATACATACCTACCTACATACATACATACCTACCTACATACATACATACCTATCTACATACATACATACATACATACCTATCTACATACATACATACATACATACCTACATACATACATACCTACATACATACCTATCTACATACATACATACCTACATACATACATACCTACCTACCTACATACATACATACCTACCTACCTACATACATACATACATACATAGATAGTGAGTGTAATATGCATATGTACATTTGTGTAGTTGTTGTGAGGGCCTGAAATCCCATCAGTATGACTTACTTGTGTTGTTTGTATGCCATGTGTAAACAAAAATAGCGGAAGGTGTGCAACTGGAGCAGGTGTGCCAAAACTTCGTTGCGCCGAGTGGAATACGGCCGCCTCGTATCAATGTCTGCTGCCAGGTGTGTGGTGTTGAAATCTACTAGCACTAGTAGGTTGAAGGAAAATTGGGCAAAGGCAAGAGGTTCAGAATACAATATAATACATATTTCGTTGTAATTCTTCGAAGATCAAAATGATTTTAGGTTGATGGGAAACAAAGGAGGCGTGATCATTTTCGGATCTTGAGGTGGAAACCATTTTTAGAGACCAGATTGCATTTGGTTTGCAAGGCTTTTGAAACAAGAGGTTTGGACAGATCCAACACTAATCTTATTTGGCATTTGTAGCTTTTGTTTCGGAACGGAAACAAACCAAAAGGCAGCCCTTTTCTCGCCGCGGAGGCCGTACCACCGCCAGGAGATGAGAAGAGCCGTGCATCTTCTCGGTCCCTGGTTTTCCTTGCTGTGAAGGCAGCAGCTCACCACATATACCATGGCCGGTATAGCAGATGGCCATAGGGGATATGAACTAAAGGGGATATAAACGAGATAGGGGATATCATGGGTGTTATTGGGATGTCAGTTTTGAACCTCCTTACTGCAGCACAACTGCTTATTTGCCTCAACTGGTACTTGGTCATTTGGTCATTTTCCACTGATCTGGCGCATGAGCTGATTTGTTCCCAATTCTGTGGGTTTGTCTAGCAAAAGGGCAAGTTAAATCTATTGGTTTATCATCATTTTCCTTATTGAATGATAATGAATGGCCATTTTGGGGGGAATGATGCGATCCCTATTTTCAGACACACCTGTGTGATTGAATCAGGATGCGATCTATGCAGCTCTTTTTGGAGCTCCATATGATCCTCCCACATCCAGTGGCCCATTTGATACGGTCACCGCCGTGAGCTTAGAAGTTTTCTACGGCCATTCGGTTGGGAAGTTCGGTTTTCATGGCAGATTTCATAAAATTGCAAACCAAGGAGGATATGATATATCCCAACAAATGGGATTTGATGGGGATATATCCCAACTAATGAAATCCTCATTTCATCCAAGCCAAAACTGTTTGAGGAATGAGATAACTGTGCCGAGTTTCTTCATGTTGCAGAGTCTTTGCTTTTTTGTTCGTGACAGGGTGCGCTCTCCAACTTCACATCTTCCGCAGCCAGCGGTGCTGCTTCTGGAGTCAAGGTGCATGGACGGTCGTTCCCCATGGGTTTTGGTCCTCCGCAGCCGGTCAGGCAGTTGAAGGTGCTACAGGCTCCCTGGTCAGCTGGGGACTTTCCAAACTTCATGACTGCGGGGGGTGATTTGGGCGATTTGGGGATGCTAAGTATGGGTTCCTGTCTTTGTTAGGCTTTGTGCCGTGTTTATGGTTTCACTTACCATATTATCTCAGGCTCGGTAACAAGCCACGTACTGTACTGGGTATCTGGCCCAATAAAGGCTGGTCAAATGAAGGAAGCGGTCAAGTCTCCGGTATATTCGGTCGAAAGGGAAATACTCTGCTGGGGCTAGGCTGAATCGGACTAGCATCTTTGCCCGTGATTCACATTTTGGGCCAAATGTGGCCGGAACACTGGAACCTATTGTTTCACATTCGCTCAAGCCACGAAAAGTCTTGATTTCAAGCCCCAAGGGTAGCAAATGCCATGAAACAGAGGCAGACATAGAGGGATTTTTGGACATCAATTCACAAACATCTTCCAAGGAAAACCCAAGTTACAAAGAAACAAATTTAAGGCACACTGATTGTGCCCTGCCAAGAACTGCATTGAAACCAGAATGTAACTCGATGCATACTTGCACACAATGTTGGAGAAATACAGACATAGTGGTGTGTCGTATCCCTACTACAGTGGTTTGGACTTAGGAGGGTTGAAACTTAAAACACAACAGAACACACATGCCGCCATCCAGTGGTTCAAGAAAGAACATGTATTGCTTCACCACTATGTGATGCTACTAACAACTCATGCCATGGAGGAGAAGGGAGGAGTCAAAGCAAACAGGTAGTCCAATGACACCTCTTTACATGTCGGGATATTTGTGTCTTACAGGTATACGGATTATACGGTATACATGACAAACATCATTAAGTCATATTAAGTCAATGTGCTTGCAACTGCAGCCTCCCTCATGTGTTTCAGATAAAGCCCACTGCAGAACCTTAGATGACACTGATGGCACATGTTCAGCCTTGAGAAGAAACGACTGTATCTCAGATGCCTGGTGGCTTGCGCCTTATCGCTCACCTGGGAAAGGACTTGGGAAAGCCTTGCGTTCTTTCTGTTTGGAAAGGGCCAGTCACATCCAAGGCTTTCCAGAAGAGCCCGGCCGCTGGAGCTACCGGAGTTACCTCAATGGTCGGCTGAATCAGCTGCTGAATCAGCTGCTGAATCTTCAGAGAATCGTTGGATTAGCAACTCGGTCCTGTCGGTGGAGCTCAAGGACATGGAGGCCAGGCACTTGGCGGATTTGGCGGATTTCTGCCTGTTGCTGGAAAAGGATGGATCAGGAAGAAATCTGAGTAACGTCGGCGGATTTCAGAGTGAGAACTTGCGGGTCTCATCTCATCCGGCACTGGGCCGGCTCATTTCCTTGTTGAGGCAGCCACTGTGTAGCTTTCTTTTCAAAACAAGGAGAGGTTTAGCTCCAGGAAACTTGGAGCGTTCACAACTAGCCATTGGCTGCCAAGTTGAACATCTCTGGGTTAACGTCAACCGACCTGGCCACTACAACCAGCTCCATGAGCATGGTCCAGCCTTGCTTTCCAGGGCTGCCTCTGTGATCTACTACCCTCATCAAAGCATTCAGACATCAGAAGCCCATCAACCACCAGCGGCCAAGCTCCGCTTCTATGAAGGAGGAAGGGCTATTGAAATCGAACCCCAGCCAGGACTTCTGGTGATTTTTCCCACGCATCTTTTGCACGAAGTCGACCCCGTGTGGTTTGGGAGTGCCCCCAGAATTTCCATAGCTCTGAATTTGTTCGTTCGTTGGCTGGATCAGCCCATTTTGCAAGCTGCCTTTCTTGGCGATGTTCCCACTGTGGAAAAGGAACTTAGATGTATGGTAGCGGTTCACACCTGCGACCCTGAGCTGAAATTCCAGGCAATTCATCTTGCAGCTGAAGCTGGGCATGTGGAGCTGGTTGATCTATTGCTGCAGCATGGAGCAGATCCCCATGCCTTGACTCTGGAGGGCTGGTGCCCTTTGTGTTTGGCAGCAGCACAAGGTCACCTTCTTGTTGTGAAGCGCCTGCAGCGCACTGGAGCATGTCTGGAGAAAGAGGAAGTACTGAATAAGCCAATTGACCTTCGCAAAGGATTTTCTGGCTTGGAGGGTGCTTTGTTGGTCTCATTCGAAAGAGGTCATTCAGATATTGTGGATTTTTTGACAAAGGAAGGGTGAACGTCCAAAGGGAGGCATACAGGGTTGGTTTTCCATTACCGCGACATCGACCATGTTGTGAAATTACGAAGCAGCTCGCTCCAGTTGCAGAACAGTTCCCACTGTCGGCAGCTCGCTGGAACGGTGCATCGAAGCCTGGTCAGAAATAAAGAGGCGACGAAAACCGGCATCCGAATCCATGGTGGTACCAGACATCTTTGCAGCCTTTGCGGCTCCGCTCTTTGTGATGTGATCTGTTCGAAACTTGGGTTGACCAGTTGACCAATCCAAATTGGTCCAAAGCCGGCCGGCGTCGACCACTAATTTAGTGACCATGAAAACCAGTGGTGAAGCCAGTCTTTCATATTTGCTTTTGTATTTGAAGGTCGGAGCCTTGCAAGGGTAACACATTATTTTTTTCCCCCAGATGTCTACGCAGACATTTTCTGGCAGGATTTGGGATCATTCCTACATATTTCAGGTGGAGGACATTCTGAAGTGCTCCGCTGCTCAAACCCATTGAATTTGTGTGGCCAAAACGGGTCTTCTGGAACAAGTTTGCTTTGAAGCAGAGAAGAACTTGCCATTAATTGCAGTCATTGCTGAGAATGTTCAGCCAGCATAATGTACTGTATATTATACAATATTATACATACATGACATACATATACATCAAGGAGTTGGAAGTCAAAAACGCGACAGGCCTTAGAGTTTTTGTGGCAATTTCACCCCTGTGGCTTCTCTGGCGCCGCAAGGAGATCAGAGAGAGGAGACGGAGGCGAACCGGGAGTCACATCCGTGCATCGCTTCACAGTATTTTTGATACACTTTGCGCATCAAGAACTGTAGGACAGGTCAAAATCTGTTAGGTACAGCAAGTTGGATGGTTACTGGATGGTTAATGGTTGCTTGAGTGATTAATGATGATTTATGATGATTTATTACTAGTTGTGCCCGGCCATGCCTGAGCGGAAGTTTCGAAAAAGAGCAATGGCTAAATTCCTTGATACAAATGAAATCAATGGCCCATAGGAAAGTCTTTGGAAAGCAAGAACATGAAAAGAAGGATTGAAAGCTTGATCGAACAACTAAATGAGTGAGTCAGTGAGTGAATGAATGAGTGTCTGAATGAGTGAGCGAATGAATGAGAATGAGTGTTTAAATGAATGAGTGAACGAAATGAAACGAAATGAGATGAAATGAGATGAAATGAGATGAGATGAAATGAGATGAAATTAATGAAATGCATAAAATGTATGCAATAAAAGAAATTATATATATATAATTAAATGAGAGAAATGAAAGACAAGAAGAGCATGAAAGAAATGAGAGAAATGAAAGAACTGAAAGAAATATATAATGAAATGAACCAAATGAATGAAATGAACCAAATTAATACTGTAGCTACTTCTTCAGATTTCTTCTCTGTGCTGCCTCTTATTTGGGCTACTTCTGGTCTGAGCTACCCCCTTCTACCTCGCCTGTAACTCAATTCTTCTCTTTGCGCACACATTGCAATGCGTTTATGAATTTATGACCCCCGAGCTGCTTTCCCGCATAGCAAGAAAGTCACATAATGCCCAAAATCTATCATGCTCACAGCTGCTACAGCGTTTACTGTAGCAACCTCCAGCTGCCGTCCCAGATAGCAGGAGCGTCGCAACACAACTAAGAGTGCCATGCCAATAAATTTCGTCACAACTGGTTGCAACACTGCATGGCAGGGCAGGGACGCACCAACAAATGCACAAATCCGACCCTAACCTCCACACCTTAGTCTTTCAGCAGTTTTTCGGCAAAAGGAGCTCTCGCTACAATCTCTGAACTAATCTTCCCAAAAGTGCTTTGATGCCTTCAGGTTTAAAGCATTTTCTTGGCCAATCAAGCTCTTGCTACAGTCGTCCACCTTTTTCCGACCCCATCTTCCAAAAGTGGCCGGACCATGCAGTGAGAAGCACATTTTTGAACCAAATCGTACTCTCGCTACGGTATGGCGCGCTTTTTTCGCCAGCTTTCCCAGATCGAAACCCGCAACTGCGGAAACACAGTCGCCTCCCTTCGCGACCCCTATGGAGCCACCATATCTCTAAAAACAGTGATTCGCCCAGTTCCATCTTTCCATCTGCAAACTCAGGCTCCGGGACTGTTTCTGTGATCTAATGTTCCACTTCCCAGCTACTTTTGCTACCGGTCGCCATGATGATGTGAAAAGTGACCATGGGCATTGGCTGTAACTCGGAAACTTGCTAACTAAACTTGTGATGAAAACCAATAAACTTCAATAAACATGAGGATCTAACCAATTGGTCCATGACTTGGTGGAAAATCGGCTCCAGCACCTCCAGGTCTCCGAAGTCGAAGCAATTGAAACTCCGGAACCATCGAGTTTCCCACCTGCACCACCAGCCCCGGCACCGCTGCCGGTGCCAGTGGTGTCTGTGCCAACCATGGCAGAGGTGCAATTTGATCGGTCGACAGAAATTCTGAAAGGTTTCGCAGTTTCAAACAAATCGAGGGTTTCACTCGATGCTGTTACGTTGAATTTGCTGTTCTCCGATCTTTCGCCCAAACTAAATCAGCTGCGCTGCACCCCCTATGGCCCATCATGGCCCCATGGCCCAGGCAGATGCCTTGATACCTTTATTTAATGATGGAAGTGGATTGGGAGTGACCTCGCTGCATCGTTTGGTGAAAAATTTCTGACATCGCACGGAGTCTGAAAAAACATTTTTTTTTTCCAAGGCGGAACCTGGTGATTTCTTTCTGTTTATCAAGGACACTCTATGGCAACTTTTCGCCTATTTGTATGGTTCTGGATTCCTCAAACTTGTTTGCCCTGTCACAGCATTTGTGTCTGCCTGAAGAAACATGGTTTCTTCAGGTGTACATATTCATTGAATTCATCTTCCTTGTCTGGCTGTCCCATCCTAGGGCAACTCCATGTTAGCTGCCAGGACTATAGCTGGACACTGCGCTACCGGGTCAGTCGGCAGGAAGATTCTGTGGACACAGAAAGGTGACTTGACTAAGTTTGAGACTGGTGTGTTCACAAATAACAGACAGTCCAAGATAAGAGGTCTCCCAGTGCTCGGCTCAAGTACCTCGACTAGACACTTTTGCAGCTCTCTCCCTCTCTCTCTCTGTCTGTCTCTCTCTCTCCCCCTCTGTCTGGGCGCTGCTGGCCTGCTATGGCAAGTCGTCTACTGTGACTCTTACGGTTCCTCTGAGATTTTAGCTTTCCAAACAGGATGGTGAAGACTGACGGATTCAAACATGATTCCCCAGGTCAGGAAAGAATCTGCCATTCTTCTACGCGGTGGCATGACAATGAACAAAAACAATCTTTTCTTTGTCAGCTGAAGAGTAGGTAGATTGGATAGTAGGTTCGCACCAGCATGAGTATATCAACAATTTGCTGCAGTGATTCCCAATGGCGATGCCAGAACAGGTCAGACAACGCAGATTTCTGAAGTCGCGGTGACAGATCGGTTTGTCTCAAAATATATCGTTTTTTCATGGTTTTTCCATGTTTTTCCGTGTTTTTTTTTCTGTTTTTCCATGGGAATTTGATGGTCATCATTTTCCACAGCATAAAGTGGGGTATCCCATGGCATCGTTTTCACCGAGGCCTTTGCTGCTCGACTGGATCAAATTGCGGCGGCCTGTTCAGAAGCCTTCCCAGTTGCTGGAGGTGCTAAGCCAAAAAAAAGCCGGGAAAAAGGTATGCATTGTGTATGACTGACAAAATTGCCCAGGCACCTATGTATTACATACTATAACATACTATAACTATGTCAATATCTACGATGTCCGTGGACCTTTTCACCCTCAAGATCTATGCTTTGGGTTGAACGGGCCCTTGCTTTTGTCGGGGTGCTGGGAGAGAGCAGTCTTTCGCTGGCGTGCCCGTTCCATTGCGGTGCTTCCTGGCTGCCTGCCTTTTTTGCTGGTTTCGCCTCGGGGGTCTCCTTGGTGCTGTGCCTTGTTTCTTACCTGTTCCTGATCCGTTTTCCCTTTTGGACTTTGCCATCCCCTGTCATCAGTGCCCACTCACCTCCTCCTGCTTCACCGATCATCCGACATCGATCCAGGTTGAGTGGGTACGTGCATGAGCGATAGCAGCATCCAAACTTTGACTCAGGCTGTAGAAAGGCTGACCATAGCCACCGAGAGACTTTCCCTTTTGATTGAGAGCCAAAACCGTGCATCAGGCGGAGTTAGCCTGGAGTCCACTGAGCCTCCCGCACCGCGGGCAGTATTTGTGTTGGAAGAACTTTCAAGGGTTCCTTTTCCAGATAGGTTTCAAGAGGAAGGCATTCGACAGAGGCATCGGGGGGTAGAGGACGGGCCACCGGAAGTCCCTGAGCATCTGCTGGTGACTGGACGTTGCCGATTGTCTGACAAGTCCCCAGGTGTTGATATCAGAATCACTGAGGCCTACCGTAGTGGTTTTTGGGCAAAGTGTGCAATCGAGACTCAGACTCCTTACAAGCCGCGCTCCCTGCGAAAGGGGACCAAGAAGAACCATTGGGTTGTTCTGCGCAGTTCCTGGACTGAGCCCTTCCGAACCACCAGCCTAGCTGATCTCCAGCAGATCTGCAGCTTGGGGGACAAAAATCTCATTGCGGAGCCTTTCGAGTCTCTTATTGAAGCTGAGGTGTTTTGCTTTGGAGCCCTCATTGAGGTCCCGAGCCTGAGCTCATGCGCAAGTCAGAACTGAGGTATGTTGGAGAAGGGGGCGAAGGGACCCTATGTGTCTTCACGCCCCCCAGTGAGGTACTTCCTGATGATGTGCCTATCTCGTGCGTGGCCATCCCCATTTTGAATCGTAGTGGTGGTCTCATGCTTGCAATCCCTTCTAATTACCTGGCACCACATGCTTTGATCGATGGGGCCCTGGCCGATGAATCATCCATGTTGGGACCGTCAAAAGAATTCAGTTGCACTTTTTTGGAAGAGGACGAGACTGGTGGAGAGTACCGACTTGACGCTCCTGGCTATTTTTTAGCAATTGACGTAACAGACAGTGCTTTACCCAGCCTTCGTGAATACGATCCTGTGACAGACCCCAGTGAGATCATCCAGGCCTTCATTGCTGAGCACCCCGAGGCCATTGCTGATGTGAAATCATGCTTTGATGAGGTTAGGACTTGGGTATCAACCATGGAGGATGGCAGTAGGACCCATTTTTACAGGGCTCGAGAAGAGCTTTCAGCACCAGGTCCCAAGAGGAAGACCTCTCCGAAGAGGGTGACGGCAGCAGCTTTAGCTCAGACCGTAGCTGCCTTAGCAACCCAAGTTCAGAAAATAGCCACACAGCAGGATGCCATGATGAAGCTGCAGCAAGCCCAGTCTGCCACTCCTGCGATCGCGCCATCAATTGGAAATACGGGCTTAGGTTCAAGACTTCCGGCAGTTTCCCAAGGGCTCCAGATGCAGCCCATTGGAAACCTAGGTCAGCTTGCAGGCATTGCCGGGCCTCCGCCCAAGACCAAAGCCCCCGCCCTGGGGGGATCCGGTGTGATGGATCTGCCAGACACAGGCGAGACGTTGGAGAACATGGAGCTTCCGGAGCAGTCCCAAGTTTCCAAAGCTCTGCTTCAGCAATCAGCAGCCATAACATCGCTAGTAGCACATCTCGCCACCAACGACCCGATCAGCGATCTGCAAGGGGGCGCCAGCTCAGGTCTTTCACTGAGTACAAAAGGCGCTGCGAGAAGAGAGCGAATGCAGCAGGAACTCGCCAGTGGCTCCAGTTCATTTTTTATGCAGGTGGAGCAACAGCTGTTCAGGCGTCTCAATCCCTCTCGTCCGATGCCAAAGACAGACGCCGATCTCTTGGGGAGCGGGGTGACATTGACATCCTACTTGGAGAAGTTTGGAGGTTACAGGGTCCGTCAGGACTATGGCCTGTTGATGTGGATGCTTGCCCATGCCTTCGATGCTGGAGCACAGGGAGACAATCACATGATGCGAGAGCACCTATCTCTTGCGATTTGCTGTCTCGAGCAGGCGAACCTGGATGGGTCATGGAATCTTGCCTACATCCTCTCGCTTTTGGAGGAGCCACCGAGCCAGCTGTTTGCCGTGAAGCCAGGCCAGATAACTGCCTTAGGTCGCCCATTTGCACCATTGATCCCATCTGCATGGAGTGCTGTTGCTTTGGCATATGTAAAAGAGATGGACCTGCTCAGTTCCCGAAAGCAGGAATCCAAGGCCAAAGGGGGGCCACCCAAGCCCTCGACAGATGCCGAGGCGCCTCCGAAGTCTCCTCCCAGGAGACCCAAATTTCCGAAGCATCCGAATCCAAAAGCCTCGCCCGAGGCGACGCCAAAGGCGGACTGAGTAATGCAGCTAAGAGGAGGGCCATCCCTCCTGTAGTCCCGGGTAGCCTGTTTGATCAAAGCGTAAATAAAGATTGTATCATCCAGCCACCTGCAATCCCTAGATGCCCCCCAGGTAGTCATAATTCATCATGCCTTCCCCCTCATGGGGGTCGTAGTAAGCCCAAGCATAGGTCCCAATTAATAGGTCCTGGTCTCCACAACCGTTCGTCCTGTGATATGAAGGATGCAAAGACTTCTTCCAAATCCAGATGTTCCGGGCCGTTGTCTTTTCAAGCAATTAGCCAGAAAACTCTGTCCTATCCGAAGTGGTGTGCAGAGCTTGTATCGAACGTGCTTAGGACTAGGACCCCTTTTGCAAGTTTTTTAGCAAAGACGATCCGCCTGACTCGAACTTCTCGCATTGCCAAGAGTTCGACACCGACATTCTTCCCTGTGCCTCTTCCAACGCTAGGGGCTTTTAACAGGATGCCCATGGACAGCTCTGCTGATTCCAAGCATACCCGTCATCTGACCCAAGCTGTGCATGTTCTGGTTTGCGCCCTGAACTACTGGTATAGCGGTGGCAGACATGGTGACATGGAACTGTTGATGAGGGACCCATCCAAGCAACATCTCCTCCTTTATGCTAGGATAAGGTCCTTAATAGTGTCGGATGGTCCAGCAGTTGTGGAACACGTCCCAGCTGCAGGAAGACGTTTTCCTGAATTGAGTGCACGTTTGGGCGAGTTGTCAGACTTCCTGACAAGAGTTGGTTGCACAGCGAATCCATACGAGAAGAGCTATGCAGGCTGCCCCGTCGCAAAGAATGATGACGTTGATGAGAAGCTCCAACCATATCATGACATGGACCCGACAAAGATTCTGCTCTTTAGTAAAGGGCGCTGGGACCCTGTTCCCTTTCTGGAGGACAACTTGTGCTTGGCCTATTTAGAGCCTAAGGTTCTGCTCCATGGCGGTAAAGCCCCAGCTGGCCCCTTGATTAGAGACCCGGAGGAAACTGCTGCAGCACTGGCGAAAAAGTGGGACGATCTCGGTCTCCTTAGGCTGCACAAGTTCCCAGTGCACCAAGATAGCCCGGTACGCATTTTTGGAGCCCTCAAGAGTTCAGAGGTTCACAGGCAGATAGGTGACCGCAGAGGACAGAATGCCAGAGAATGCAAGGTCGAAGGACCTAGTTGTGATCTGCCTGCAGGCCCTGACTTTGGCGAGCTTTTTGTAGACCGCAATTGCGAGACTATTTCGCTTTCCATTACTGACCGAAAGGATTTTTATCATCAGTTGAAGTGTTCGCCTTCAAAGGCTTACATGAATACCATAGGTCCTCCAGTAGCTGAGTCCTTGGTTTCCGACACCAAGGCCTATTCGGAGTTTTTAGTAAGGGACAGTAGGAAGAAGTACAGCCGTGCTCTTCAGGGGGACATGCTGAAGAAGGATGCCCTTCAGGACCTGGCCTACCTTGCACCTGGGAAGATATGGATTGCATTCAACTCAGTTCTGCAGGGTGATCACGCGGGGGTCGAGGTTGCCACCCAGGCACATAGCAACATGTTGAGGTCCTATGGCCTCCTTAGTGATGAGCACAGGATGAAAGCCTGCCGCCCCCTTAGATCCACAAAAAGAGCAGAAGGCCTTGTCATAGATGATTATTTCTCAATCTCCATCCAGTCCAGAGATGCCGATCCAGAAAAGACGGCTGCTATCAGAGATTATTGGAGAGCCCAGCGAGCCTACGCTGAGCACGACCTGATGGGGTCGCCCCAGAAAGACATCGTAGGGACAGATGAGGGAAAGGTTATTGGAGCGTTTATCAACGGGAGTTCTCGAGCGCGAGACCAGGGCCTGGTAACTGTGGCCGCACCGGCAGAAAAGAGGCTGGCCTTGTCACATCTCTCCTTGCTTGTTAGCCAGCTGACTTACACGACTGATGCTCTTCACCTCTGCATGCTGGGAGGTTGGACTTCCATACTTGGATATAGAAGGCCCATGATGTCCATATTGCAAAAGGCTTTTCGCGTGGTACAGGTTGCTGATTTCGATAGGAATAGCCCCAAGCTTGTGCCCTTGAGTCGCGCAGTCGCAGAAGAATTGACCCTTCTTGCTGTGCTGATGCCCTTAGCAGTCATAGATCTGTGTGTGCCATTCGATGATCAGGTATATTGCACTGATGCGTCAAATCAGAGAGGCGCAGTCCTTGCCGCTCCCATAAGCCCCAAAGTTGGCCAGGTCCTTTGGAAGTGCTCTAGGTCCAAGGGTGCTTATAGTAGGCTACTTACCCCTATGGAATCTTTGATGAAACACCTTGATATCCTGGAAGAAGAGGAGCCTGAGGAGTCGAAAAGTGGAGTGGATAGGCCTATTGCTTTCACCTTCGAGTTTTTGGAGATTTTTGCAGGAGCCTCCAAAATTACTACATATCTGCATCAGATGGGCATTAACGTAGGACCGCCTCTGGACATCAGTGAGAGCCCAGAGTATGACCTCCGGAGCATCCGCGTGATGGAATGGCTCTGCTTTCTTGTTGCTGAGAAAAGGCTCCTAGGTTTTTTCTTAGGACCTCCATGCACAACCTTTTCGATAATGCGTAGGCCCAGGTTGCGCAGTGCCTTCTGCCCCTATGGCTTCGATACAGAAGATCCTCAGACAGCAACCGGAACAGCCTTGGCCCAGAGGTCCTTTCAGCTCATGAAGGTAGGAGATCAAAATGCCAGCTGTGGAATTCTCGAGACGCCGTACTCTTCATACATGAAGCACCTCCCCTCCTGGGGGCACCTGAGGGGCTTAGACACCACCTCCGAGACCAGATGTGATTCATGTAGGTATGCTTCTCCACACCTGAAGAGTTTCCGTTTTTTAGGACTCCGGGTGAATCTGCAACTTGTCTCCTTAAGATGTGTTTGTACCAAGCGACACCTACAGGTCGAAGGGGCCCTGACTAAAGGCTCTGCGACCTACACTGATCCATTGGCCTTTGCTTTGGCCCAGACTCTGTTTCGTTCCATCCAGGCCCTGAAGGCGCAGCTCAGGGACGATGCAGACCTCCATGTGAGGGGATTAGAGAGTCAGCTTACAAACAGCATCATGATTAGTTCAGACTGGAAGATACTTGCTTCTTGGCGTTTTAGACGGGAAAGCCATATCAATATACTTGAAGAAGCGTCCCTGCTTCGACTATGCCAACTCACCGCCCGGAGGGGAAAGCCTGTTCGAGTCACAGTCATGGTGGACTCTAATGTAGTTCGCTGCGCCACCAGTAAGGGCCGCACTTCCTCTGCCGGCCTGGGGTCTATCCTCAGGCGTGTTTGTGCCTTGCTGGTTGCTGCCGGGATTTACCTCAATGCCGCATTTGTGCCTACCAGGCTGAACGTGGCAGATGACCCCACCAGGTCATGCGAACTGAGAGAACCACTTGAGTCAATTTACCTGGAAAGCATGAGCGTGGACCAGCTTTTTGAGCTAGGGGGTATCGCAAAGGCCAAGAGGTGGGCATCAAATTGGATTAGGCTAGTCATTAGACTGATAGGCCCCAGTGTTCTCCAGTTAAGTGATAGAAGCCTTTATCCCCAGCGAAGTGATGCCGCCTTTAATGCCAGATTCTTTCGCAGACTGGATAGCGCACCCCTGAGCCCGGCCTTGCCTTTCGGGCCATCCATGGACTTTGACCAGACTCTTGGCTACCCCGGCGAAGGACCCGTGATGGGTCAGGCCATCATATTTTCCTTGTTTGTTTTGTGCTGTGGATTTTTAATTGCTTTCATCATCCATACATGGAGTCCCAAGCCCTGTCGTTTGACTTTCTGCCATACAGGGCCCGTCGTTTCTCTCACCCGTGTTTGTGGCCTTCCTGCCTTTCTTTGCGTCTGTTGTTTGGACTTTCCCGTGGGCTGCTGGGGGTTGCTTCTGCTTGCTGTTTCCGGTAGGTGCGGTGCCATGGCCATGCCGATTCTGTCAGCGACGCCTGGAGAGAAACGGAAGTCTGCATTGAGGAACGCAAGACCACCCCTGACCCTGCGGCGGCCTGTCACAGATACAACGGTGAAGCTGCGACAACGATATTGGGATATTTTCCTGACCTGGACCCGCGAGAATGCTCTTGAATTCGAGGTGATGCTGGAACACTCTTACAGCTGCATCGACGAGATCAATATCGTTATGACAAGGTATGGTAGGCTTCTGTATCAGAGAGGTAAGTCTTATAACCAATATGCTGAGACCCTGAACGCATTGGGTAGCCACCGGCCTTCCCTGAGACGATTACTGCAACAAAGCTGGGACCTAGGGTATGCCTGGGTCAAGAGCGAACCTTCGACACATCATGTTGCTATGCCGGCACCTGTAGTCATAAGCATGATTTCATTGGCGATACTATGGGGATGGCCTTTTGTCGCAGGTGTTTTGGCTTTGGGATTTGGCGCAATGCTGCGTCCAGGTGAAATCTGTTCTGCACTTAGGAAAGACTTACTTCTGCCAAGAGATGTAGACCATACAGTAGACTATGGACTTTTGTCGATACGCGAGCCGAAGAGTCGTTTCACTCACGCTCGACATCGATCTGATGGCTGTCGTTGACATGGCCTTTGGTCAACTTCTCGGAGGAGAGCGCTTATGGCCATACAGTTCACAAACTCTGAGGTCCAGGTTCAAATCATTGCTTGCTGCCCTGAAGCTACCAGTCTCCTCTACCCCTCATCTACGAGCTCTCGACCTAGGCTCACTGAGAAGCGGGGGAGCTACATATGTCATTCAGGTGACGGAAAACTCTGAATTATGTCGAAGACGTGGTAGGTGGGCCTCCATGAAGATGATGGATATATATGTGCAAGAAGTGATGGCATTACAATACATGAAGATGATTTCTGATGATTCACGTAAACATGTGCTGGAGGTCGCTAGCTATTTTGCACCACTTCTTGCACAAGCAAAACTTTTCCGCAGCTCAGGCATTCCCGAAAAAGTTTGGTGGCTTCTTCTCTCCAAATGAAAGATGCTTATGCTGGTGAAAATGGGCGGAGAAACGGGAGAAGTTGAAAGTGGGCAGCATGTCCTCCTACATTTGGCTGCAACTTCATGTGACTACATGCTACAGAAGCTCTCCAGCCAATTGGAACTTGGGACAAGCAGCCATGTGGATAATCCACACTCAGCGGTGAAAAAGGAAGAACGTGCTGAGTCGATGTCAATATCTACGATGTCCGTGGACCTTTTCACCCTCAAGATCTACCAAATCCCTGCCCTCCCTATCATTTGGGAGAAGTTGAAAGTGGGCAGCATGTCCTCCTACATTTGGCTGCAACTTCATGTGACTACATGCTACAGAAGCTCTCCAGCCAATTGGAACTTTGGACAAGCAGCCATGTGGATAATCCACACTCAGCGGTGAAAAAGGAAGAACGTGCTGAGTCGATATATAACTATATATATATATATATATGTATTTTTATTGTATTTACATTTGTACATACCAGTATATAAGTGTTTGTGCAGTCATGTACAGTGTATACATGACTTACAGTGCAGGTGAAGCTCTAATATAGCAATTTGTGGTTTTGTGTCAGATCCCTGACACCTGCGACACCTACGTGCCAAGTCTGTTGATGAAACACAGCAAAAGTTCCATGAACTGTTCTGAGATTCCGAGCTCTGACCTCTTTGAGTGGGACGTTGTGGAGCCGCCCAGACACAGTGGTTTCATGTACCAGGCTGGGTCTCCACGTTCCAAATGCGGAGCGCCCTTCTACACCGCTTGCTGAATATTGTGATTGGATAGCCACAGTCTGAGGGTGTGCTTTCAGTGCGAACCTGGTAACATACAGGGGCTTTATTTACGGTTTTCCTTGAGTGAGGAACTCATTTGACCGGGCTGCTCAACCGTGAGCCAAACAGTTTGCTGCCCCTTGTATTGCCATGTTTCAGTTGAGCCAAAGCTGCATGCAAAACCGCAGGTGGGGTCACTGAAAGTCTTTTTGAGCAGTAGATAGTTCCATCTGGAATTCATACACATCTACAATCATGCCACACCTTCGTTTGGTTCGGGTGAAGGCCATATCCTCTTGCCCATATTCCAGTGTTAATCTTCCAGATTTCTAGATATTTCATGATATTTCTAGGGTATTACTCTGTATCACCCTCAAAGTCCCTAAGGTTTTCCTTCGATCCACAGAGACATCTCTGGGTGGTTTTCGCCATGGCTCCAAAAGCGAAGACGTCCATGGCATCTGGCGACTCCCAGGGCTTCACTTCGTGGCGTTCCGTCTTCGTTGCAGCTGCTGCGGCTGCAGTCGCGGTGATGTACAATTTCTATGCGGAAGCAGCTGCTGAGAACGAGGAATTGAGGCAGAAACTGGCTAAGGTGGGGTGAAAATGAAATATTTTATGAATCATTCTTGATATTTCTTGATATTTCTTGATCACATGTTGCTTGATGTTGCTAAGCGGATTCTTGGGTGGCAACCTTGCAGGTTTTGCAGTCTCATCATTCAGCAACAGAAAGAGCTCAAAGGGCCATAGATTCAGCGGAGAAATTGGGAAATTCTTGGCCCCTTCAAGCCCTTGCAGTGCTGCAGGAGGAGCTTGGGATCCCGCTGTTACTTCCGTACTATTGTGGTATCGGGTAGCAAGGTAGCTGTTGAGAGCCTCCAATTTGTTTGGGCGTTTCTCAAAGAGAGTTTTGCCTAGACCTTCCGACATGGGTTTATTGTTCGAAGTACTTTTTTTTTTTTGCACAGATTGAGACGCTTGTTTGCTGTTCTTTGTTTTTGATGCTCCAACTTGGGGTGCACCAAACACTCTGTGGGGGTTTCGGACGGGCAGCGCTCTCTTGGCCACTCAGACTCGGACGCAGTGCCATTTGTGCCGAACAGAATTTTCCACAATAACTGTAGTAAGCTTGCAATTGAAGCCAGGGTTTGGCCGAAACAGCCGCAGTCTTCCAGACAAATGTTTTTTTTGTTTGTTTTTTTCATTTTGTGATTGATATCGCATTAGCTGTTTTCGCGTGCTGTTGCTTGTGATTGCTGTTGCTTGTGATTCTTATCAGTGGCCACTGCAGGTCCAATCACCACACTAGCATCACAAGCATCACAAGCATCACAAGCATCACAAGCATCACAAGCATCACAAGCATCACAAGCATCACAAGCATCACAAGCATCACGAGCATCACAAGCATCACAAGCATCACAAGCATCACAAGCATCACAAGCATCACAAGCATCACAAGCATCACAAGCATCACAAGCATCACAAGCATCACAAGCATCACAAGCATCACAAGCATCACAAGCATCACAAGCATCACAAGCATCACAAGCATCACAAGCATCACAAGCATCACAAGCATCACAAGCATCACAAGCATCACAAGCATCACAAGCATCATCATCATCATCACATCACAAGCTTCTTCTTCTTCTTCTTCTTGCTCTCGTTCTTGTACTTACTATGAGGTTCCTTTAATCTGTCAAGCCCCAGTTTGCAGGAGTTGTTGCAAGGTGCGGGGAGCTGTGCGCCAGCTTTCTCGGCCCCATGTCTCCTTCAAAACGGACACTACAGGTGCTGCATACGAGGGGAAAGCAAATACGGAGGTAAACAGATAGATGAGTCAGAACTTAGTAAATGGACTTAAAGATCTTTAAGGTAGAGATATTTTCATTTTGTAAGTGATACGATCTTTGAGATCTTCAAGTGATATGTTCATTTTGTAAGGCCAGTGACTAGTGCTTTGGATAGGCCAGAGACGATGATTGAGCTCCTGGATGCCTTGGGGGATGCCCATGCGCGAATTACTCAACACCAAAATGCAGCTGCCTATCACAGGGCCGCTCTACAGCAGAAGCAACTTGCCACTTGGCCACCGGTCAAAATGGTTGCCTCCTATGCTGCCTTGGCCACAGATGCTACGAATCTGTTTCAACTGGATGAAGCACTGGATTGGGTTCGCCAAGCTCAAGCGTTGGCCTTGCCAAAAGCAGGGCTTGCAATCCTCTACCAGCAAGAGGCCAGGATATTGGAATGCAAAGACGACTACATTTCAGCTTTGCACGTCTTTGAGCATTCCCTGAAGCTACAAGATGCTGTAGATGTGCCCCAAGTTCTGCAGCACATGGACTTCTTGAAGCAAGTCTTAGTCAGCCAAGAAATGCCAACAGAGGTTGCAAGTGCCATTCGATCTCGCATGAAGGACATGGCGAAAGGTTTGATCCGGAACGGTTACGGCAGTGACGGGCAATTTTCCAAACGCTACGTGCCGCGGCTTCGAAGCAAACCCTGGCACACTCTTGAGGAAGCGCCTGGGGAAGCCGGGGCGTTGGGGACCTGGACATCAAGTTGGATGGAACAAGCACATGCCGCCACAAGGGATGCAAAAGCAGAACTGTTAGAGGAATACCAAGCCTTGAAAGATGCTGGAAAGATGATTCGGGAGCAAGAGTGCATTCATTCGCATCGTGGGGGTCAATGGAGTCGCTTTGAAATCAATGCTCTTTGGCACAGCACAGATTCTGGAGGAATTCGTTGTGCAGTGGAATCTCCAAGAGCCTGTTCGTTGTTTCGAAAGCTCCAGCGAATTGGGATGCCACTCATTCGAGCAGGTTATTCATCAGTTTCAGCGGGAACTTGGCTAAAGCCTCACTATGGAACCACCAATGCACAGCTGAAGTGGCACTTGGGGTCGCCCGGACTGCTATTGAGTACATTGAGCTTTGGAATTTAAACTCGTCCTTGTGAATTTTGAAAAGAACCCCTGCAAACAAACAAGGCAGACCAAGCTTCATGCCTCCGTCAAGATTGAGGCTTATGATTCCAAGAGCAACAGGCATTCACTCATGATTTTCATTTGTTGGTATTCCATGTTGGTGAGATTTGTGGAACAGAGTCCGCACTTTCATCTCGATTTCAGGATATTGCGAAAGGAAACAGTGTTGTCGTTTGGGTCGTACCCTACACCCAGGCTCTCGGTTCCAGCAAGTCCACAGAAAGAGTGCGCGACTTTGCGGGTTGCAAATGTGACGCATGCATGGGAGGATGGCAAGCTGTTGTTCTTTGATGATTCCTTTGAGCATGAAGTCTTCAATCATTGTGACCAGGAACGTGTCGTTTTTCAGTTGGTCTTTGCCCATCCTGATCTGGGAACTGGAGACGAAGCCATAAAGTGTGCCACGGGAGAGGCTCCGTGTGCACCCGAGCTGTGAGAGCTTCGATGCTTTGGATATCCACTTGCTGATCCAGGCGATACGCCAGGACACGGGGCTTGTTTCTGGAGACGCAGTTGGTTGTTTCTGGTGTACAGGAAAAGTCGTTTGCATTCACATTTATTGATCATTATCGCATCACAATTCGCATTATCGCACTCTTTGCCAAACAACACTCTCCAGACTTGCGGGTAGAACCACCCCAAGACTGCAAGAAAACAGAAGAGTAGATTGAAACCTACTGCAACAACATGAGTAGGCAGCATCATTGGTTTATAACAGTGTATATATTATGTTAATATAATATATATATATAGATATTATAATATGCATACAAATATAGTATATGATTTATACATGATTTATATCTGTTTATAAGACATCAACGTCAGACTGGCTCACAAGCTGGTCCACCCATTTCGCATTGCCTGGAGGACCTCCATGGATCTTGGTGACTCCAGTGCCCCGCTGCGCGTCGTTCGGCCAGAGATGCAAGGCGAAAGGGACTTCTCCTTGTGCTCAATTTATCAATCGAAGAGACCGATTTTCGGCCCATTTCATCACATTTTTAAAACGACATGATGTTCTCGTGAAGTGGAAAACTCACACGCCAAGCCTTTTCTTGATGATTTTTGTGTTCCTTTAGTTCCTTTCCTTCGCAATTCCAGTGTGTTTTGAGACAATTGCGTTTTCGCGTCAATGACATATTGATTTCGCTTGACAAATGTATGTTTTTTGGGGCTCCCAAATTTAGGGTATTTGTGTTTCGCTGTAGCGAAACCCAGACGTTCAATGTCTATTGCATGATCATGATATAGCATCCATGAAATAAAATGAAGATGTGAAGAGTTATCTGCTAGACGTTTGTAGCGTAGCATCAAGTACGTGTGCAAGTGCAAGCGAGGACGTCTGTAGCATCAAGTAGGTGTGCAAGTGCAGGTGCAAGTGAGGATGTCTACGTGTGCAAGCGCGCTTGAACGTTATTGTCCCACTTGCCACCCCACCCCCCCAAAATCACAAACACGCTAGACCGCTTTTCGGTCTGTAGGCTTACACAAGACCTTACAATCCTGGGCTTTGATTGGAGGAACAATGGTGGTGTTGAAGCTCATGGTGAGCAGACTGCCCAGAAGATTTGCGATGTGTGACACATGGACCTCAGTCTGGAGCACATTTGCTGGCACACTGATTGCAAGGAGCTGCCAGAGAGTAACATCATCGTGATGACCAGACCTTTTGTGGCATGCGGTTTGAAAAAGGTAGAACCGGAACGCCGATAGTTCGGACCGACAGCAGCGGGATTCATTTCTTCCGTTCTTTCAGTGCTCATGGCACTTGATTTCACGAGCGAACTCCGAGAACCACTCGGTCAGGTCACAGAAGTTGTGGGTTCAGGAGTGGAGGTGGCAAGCTCAGTCTGTTTTTTCACATTTTTTTCCAAGTTTTCATTCGAGGATTTCTGCCAGGCCTTGCAACCAGTGACGGTGTCATTCCTTGGCAGAGGCCGTGATCAACTTCTTCAAGGATCGTGGGCCAAAGTTGCTGGTGCAGCAGGATGGAGTGAGCTTGGTCAACGAGGAGGTGGGGCCTTTGGTGCAAGATGTGCAAGCAGAGCACGAAGGGGAAGTGTTTGAGCAGTGGCTGATGATGCTGATGGCTTGGAGAGTAGACAACCATCGCCCATTTATCGAGTTTCTTTTGAAAGAGATATTTCCACTCCTGCTCACAGCCAATCGAGTACAAAGGATTTCCATCCTTATATTGCCTCGCTGCAGAGTTGCCGCAGTAGATCTTGTGTGCAGCAGAGCATACAGGCAGAAGCACCTGGCAAGCCAGTGACACATTGCAGCTTGGAATATCGACCAGTCTGATTAATGCCATCCTCCATCGTCCTCCTAAAACTCAACTCCCATTGAAATGGTCCCAAATATGTGCAAATCACCTATATACTAAACCCTGTTTTTTTTTTTTGGGGTGTTTGATATTAAGGTGAAGGGATTGCTCGCTGTTGGTGCGAACAACCAGGGGACGACGACAAGGAGGTTTGGAGCGAGAATGAACTTGAGGAAGGGAAAGGAGTTGATACTGTATACAAGATCCATGACTACAGTCATAATGACGTTGTGATGATGAAGAAGAAGAGGAGGAATAGTGACAGCAATAACAAGAACAACGATAGCAACACTAATATATAATGATAACAACAACAACGACAATAATATCAATATATTAAAATAATAATAATAATAATTAATAATTAATAATTAATAATTAACAATTAATAATTAATAATAATATATAATAATGATAATAATAATAAGAACAATATATATATATTAAAATAATAATAATAACAATAATAATAATAACAATAATAACAATAATAATATTAGCAATAAGATGATAATGATGACGACGAGGACGAGGACGAGGACGAGGACGAGGACGAGGACGAGGACGAGGATGACGACGATGACAATGACGATCAAGATGACGATGAACATGATGACGATGAAGATGATCAAAATGATGATGAGAATGATGACAATAGACATGATGTTGTCGATGATGATGATGATGGTGATGATGATGATGATGATGATGGAGGAGGAGGAGGAGGAGCAGGAGCAGGAGCAGGAGCAGGAGCAGGAGCAGGAGCAGGAGCAGGAGCAGGAGGAGGAGGAGGAGGAGGAGGAGCAGGAGGAGGAGGCGACGACGGCGACGACGACGACGACGACGACTGCAGTTAACAGCAGGATCAGCAGTTTTACGACCAAGCAACACATGCCGAACTGGGACACTTGCAAGCAGCGGGGTCAGTACTTCAGAGTTCTTGCTGCACGACAGCTGAGGTTGGGTTCAGGCTGGATAGCAGCAAGTTCATGTGTCCATGGCGAAGCAAGTGGTCGAACCATGATTGGACTAGACTTACATTCGGTCACCTTTCAAGCGCTCCTTTGTTGGGAATTTTCACTTTTCCAGATTCCTAGCAAACTTGAGTTGTCAAACCTGCACCCAGTTAGTTTGTCCCTGCAGTGCTTGGGGCTGCCTTTCCTGCCGGTGCTCCAGTACATTGCCTTTCTCAATGGAGACTCCTGGATGCAGCTATCGTCATGCAGCTAGTGCCTCCATGCAGCGTGTGGGCAAAGGTTGAGAGACCTGTCTTGTGCTGTCTGTCAGGATGAGATTGTGACTGACTGGCGGGCCTGATGAATGACACTTGGACAAATAACAATGAGGTGATGGCATGGGGATTTGAGGACTGGCAGGAGGCATTAGTAGCCTTGTCAACAAACAGAATACAAAGCTGGACATGTCAAGAAGCTTTTGGAGACAATCTGTTTTGGTCAAATTTCTTTGGCCATTTTTCTTTTTTGCTTCGGATGCCTGGAAATCATTCTGACATCTTGTGGAAAGGGTTTGAGGGTTAGGTAAAGATTGCAGAATCCATCTTGATATGGCTTCAGGAGGTGCTGAGCTGGGTTCGGTTGAGACATTCCGAATATTTTTCAACTCCGATGTACAGAATTCCATCACTTTCTTGCAACTGCCTTGAGTTAAGTGATTGGATGTCCAGAACACACTGGGTGTTTGGGGCACAGGAGTAATTCATGGGCGGTAGTCTTTTGCGCGATCCTGGCTTCGGGATACAGCAACGCCTTCCCTCTGCCGAATGCCCCGTGGTCACTGTGGTGACATGGTTCCTTTAAGGATTCATAGCGGACTCTGACATTTGTGCATAAACTTGGAGTCTGAATTTTGGCCAGCTATATCGCGGCCATGCCCTTTGTCAAGTAAGTCTTTGGTAACAAAAGCCAAAATGTGCCCTGGGAAAGTGGAGACATGAACAAATCGATTGCAATCATGGAACGCTGGTGCAAAGGATAGCTTTGCATAAGCTTACAATTTTTTGCACAGTGCATCTACACCTTCTCCCTCATCAACACACACACACAAACACACATACACATGCTGCCAAGCCAGGAATTTCCCACTTTGTCTACCAGCGGGGCACGAGAGAAGGCTGGGCATGCAGCCAGGACTTACAGCCGGTTAGCTTTGGTTTGGAATCGAACAAGGGGAGCTCCAATTCTGTTGGCGCCAATGGCGATCTCTGAGGCCTTGCTCCGATGTGTGAGTCGTGCTCCAGACTAAGAGATTTCTGCAGCCGTGTCGTATCACCATCAATGGGTTATGTGATGACTATATAATTTCCCATTATATTACAATGAACATATTTATTACAATTAATAGTATTCAATGGTTTTGCACCATGTGTTATTTCGCCTTCAGGCACTGAACGACTTTCGCTCTCAAGTGAATCTAGCGCGCTTGAACATGCCACAGAAGCTAGCCGAGGCCAGTCGCATGCCCTTCTTACCCCGACCTGTACCCTGTCCACTCGCATGACATGCAATCATGGCATCGTCAAAAATGGTGCATATTATATTTTATATTATACATTTTATTGTTATATATTATTATTATTATTATATATTATAATCATATAATAGCCATGAGGTAGCAGGCACAGCATCCAGCAGGTGGCCCACCTTGCCGCCGTGGCAGAGCTGCTCTCCCTGCGAAGGTCATCGAAGGGGCAGAAGAACCATGGTTTCCAGTTTTGAAAAACCTTCTGTATATAATATATGTGTGTATATGTATATATGTACGTATATATATATAGACATAATATTGTGGATATGTATATATATATATATTAGATATATTGGTGGATAAAACAGTTCCCTTAAAACCAATACGAGACAGATCTCCTCCGCAGGCCAGACCTGTTGCAAGAGAAACTTCCGCAAGAGCAGGTGCCGTTGGAAACTGCGTCCTGCAAGGGGGCAATATAAAGCCAATGTTGAACTTGGAAGTTATTCGAACCAAGGGTCAGAAGGAATACTAAAGTGAATGAGATTTGGAAGGATCTTAATTCACACGCATTTGGCATATTTATTTTCTGAGCCAATTGTTGCGATCTTCCCCCATCACATCAAGGTCGCGCCTGAGCCAGATGTGGAGCCTGATTTGGAACCTGATTTGGAGATGGCCGGCTGACCAAGTTGCAGTGCTGATGGCAGGGTGTCTCAAGTAGGACTCCAAAGATAAAGATACGTCTGTTTTTTGGTCCAAATTTCAGGTCCAGTCTTCATGGCAGACACTCATGGGTGAATTGAAACAAAACCACTTCTGAATCAGCAATCACGATGTGGCAGGCTCCGAAGGACATCGCCGACAGCACGAGTCCGTCCCAAAAGGTTCGCCGCGGCCCAACAAATAAGTCATTGCTGCGCTGCGAAGGGGGAGATCTTTTGCCTTGACTTTGATGTGTGACTTGATTCTGGCATATTCTGACTGTTTACGGTCCGAGTTTCAGGCGTCGGGCTTTGCCGGCAGAGAAGTTGCAAAGGTGCCAATCAGTTTAAGAGGGAGAAGAGTTCTGATCCAGACCAGAACCGTTCACGAGCCTCACAGACGTTCAACTTCAGTCAATGTAAAAACACACATATATTTTAATGTTTCCTATGCTTTTTCCTGCTGCTTCAGGACATGGTTTTGACTTGTTTTGATCACTCTGCTTGGACATCCTGGGACATCCCTATGCCGCAGATTCTCCTCGAATGTGTACCTGCCTTTCGCCTGGGTTTGACTGTGGAGTCGCTGAGTGAAGTCCTTCGTCTTTCAGAGGCTCCCTGGAGAGGACAGAACATGACAGAGACAGAACAGAGTTGAACAGAGCGATACACGATGATACATGGCTATGGATCAATACCTATACATACCATTTTTAGGGGGATGAACATCCATTTACCAGCTATTTTGATGTTCACCAGGGGGATAGGGTTTTGACCCATCCCCACATGAAGTTCAATGAAAGGTCAGAAAATTTTCATAGCTGGTGCATGCTATGGCTGCCACCCCCGTTGACCACACCTGGCCTTGGCGAGGCGCCAGCTTTCTTCACAATGAGCTTGAAGGAGAAACCATTTGAGGCGCAGGGCAGTGATTTGATGAGTTTGGGGAAGGCAGAAGACATCTAAAAGATCCTAAAGGCCTAAAACTAGAAACACCCTGATTTCCAAACAAAAATGGAATCCATTGAAATCCTGATTTCCAAATTCTCGACGAGTTCCGGCTGAAATCACATGTTGTGTCTGTAGGTTTTTTCATTTCCGGACTCATCGCTGGGAGTTCCCTCACCAAGTCATTCCTTGGATACGGGCAACACCTTCTTACTTGGAAGGCTTTGGCATTCCACAGTTGGATATAATTGGATAAAAATTGCAGTTGAAAGGAACTAAAACTACTGGAATCGCTTGTTGAGAGGTCTCCATGAGAAATACACTGCATTCTGCAACTAGAAGTGGATGGGAGCTGCAACAGTCCCCCTAACTCCCAAATAGTTTGAGACTGAGAGCCTTCAGGCCCGGTAGGTCATCACCTTCATGTGCCACAGGTTTCTGTCCAAAGCCTCACGGAACGAATATGTGCAGAATGGCGCCGAGCTTGGCTGGATACACTGCTCTGAGCTTGCAGCAAAGGTAAGAGTTTGCTCCAAGATGTTCGAAGATTGGGGGGTGAACATAAGACTTGTCTCCTTTGATGACCGGCTTGTGAAACGAAATCATGGCTCTTCTTTGACAAAAGTGGATCATTTTGTGATGTGAATGGGCACTAGCCGTTGGACCCCAAATTCTGTTCAGTTTCGACAATCTTCTCAGACACCGTGATATGCAAACAATCAACATATTCTTCTTTCCTGAAGGCTCGGGCTGCTAGAGTTAGATTGCATCTTAGTCTCACGGGATTTATCATGGCGCGCAACTCGAGATCGGCAGCCTTGGTGCTGCTTGCAGTGGCCTGCCTTGCCTTTCAGGCAATCACACAGGCATTTGTGGCGCCAAGCCTGAACAGGAGAGATGCACTCCAGGCAGCTGGTTTCTCTATGGCTACTCTTGGCAGCCAGGCAGTCTGGGCCGATGCGCAGGGCGAGCCCACCGCATGCCTTATTAGGTATGGGCCCCAGATCTTGAAACTGAAGGATGCCGTTGATGCGGGTGACCTGGAAACCATTCTGAAGAAGGAGCCAAAGTTCAAGCTGCTGAACAGCTACTGGCGCAACGACCCGGCCCTGTTTGAAAAGTACTCCACCCTGTCGGAGAAGCTGCTGGAGGCTGCCGATGAGGGAAAGAAGGATGAAGTGAAGAAGCTCTACCAGGAATACACGTCGGATCCTGTGTTTGAGCCTTTGAAGCAGCCCATCAAGCGCAACAAGTTCACCATGACCATGTTCTCCTATGGCGCTGGCAAGTCATACAATGATGCGTGAGGCATCATGACATTTAGAGTGTGAAAGTGAAATGGGCAATGCACCCTGTGGGACCGACCTGTACGTTTTTGACAAAATGCTGCGCTTGACCGGACTGACACCCTACAAGTGAAACATGTTGTTTCTTCTTTTCCATTTGCTGGTTGTAGTGGTGAAAAATCTCTGCGGTCATGCTGCCCTACCCTGCCATGATTCTCCTTTTCTTCTGTTGCAGCAAGAAGTTGCTGCCAAGATTGAAATTCTGTTACTGCCTTGGGCTCTTTCTGTCAATTTTATTGTAGACCCATCAAACTACGTTTTGCGACCTTCCTGATCTTTCAACTTTCATCTCTACTCACAGGCTCAAGAGTGCCCCTCTGCTGATTACAGCAAAGATTCATGGCGCGCAACTCGAGATCGGCAGCCTTGGTGCTGCTTGCAGTGGCCTGCCTTGCCTTTCAGGCAATCACACAGGCATTTGTGGCGCCAAGCCTGAACAGGAGAGATGCACTCCAGGCAGCTGGTTTCTCTATGGCCACTCTTGGCAGCCAGGCAGTCTGGGCCGATGCGCAGGGCGAGCCCACCGCATGCCTTATTAGGTATGGGCCCCAGATCTTGAAGCTGAAGGATGCCGTTGATGCGGGTGACCTGGAAACCATTCTGAAGAAGGAGCCAAAGTTCAAGCTGCTGAACAGCTACTGGCGCAACGACCCGGCCCTGTTTGAAAAGTACTCCACCCTGTCGGAGAAGCTGCTGGAGGCTGCCGATGAGGGAAAGAAGGATGAAGTGAAGAAGCTCTACCAGGAATACACGTCGGATCCTGTGTTTGAGCCTTTGAAGCAGCCCATCAAGCGCAACAAGTTCACCATGACCATGTTCTCCTATGGGGCCGGCAAGTCATACAACGACGCGTGAGATTTTTTTTTGACCAGGGATGCTGTTCCCATCCGAGACTATTTGTTGGCAGCAGCTGAAACCAAGCGCATAGCCTGACTTTTTGGCCTTGTGGCAAACAAATCATTGCATTGCGATTGCCCTGGACACATTTGACACTCTATCACAACAGACAACTGAAAATGCTTAGCATGACACAGCTGTCTTTTGTGGTCACGTTCTCGTAACTAGACAACGTTGCATAGGGGTACTTCAGGCTGGCTTCTCGGCTTCTGTGAAGACGTTTGCTTTCTTGGGCTTTGGCATCCACGTATCTGTTTTTTTCTTTTTGTGAATCAAAGTTTTCTTTTTTTCTCAATTTTCTCCTTCTCTATCTTCTTTTCTTTCTTCTGCAGTGCCGCGTTGTTTTGAGATTTTCTCGCTGTTTCCGTCTTGAGTTTTGTTTTCGCCGTTTTGAAGTCTTTTCATTTCCACAGGTGTGGTGGAAATTAGAAAGAACTCCGGTGAGACAAACGAGTCCGGTTTTTCCAACGAAACCCAGAACCAGACTAGATCCTCTTCTCGCCGTGTCAATTTTGGCTTTTAGGTTGACTGATAGGTGAATCAACCCGTGTTTTTGAAAGCCTGCACGAATCATGGCGCGCCACTCGAGATCGGCAGCCTTGGTGCTGCTTGCAGTGGCCTGCCTTGCCTTTCAGGCAATCACACAGGCATTTGTGGCGCCAAGCCTGAACAGGAGAGATGCACTCCAGGCAGCTGGTTTCTCTATGGCCACTCTTGGCAGCCAGGCAGTCTGGGCCGATGCGCAGGGCGAGCCCACCGCATGCCTTAGTAGGTATGGGCCCCAGATCTTGAAGCTGAAGGATGCCGTTGATAAGGGTGACCTGGAAACCATTCTGAAGAAGGAGCCAAAGTTCAAGCTGCTGAACAGCTACTGGCGCAACGACCCGGCCCTGTTTGAAAAGTACTCCACCCTGTCGGAGAAGCTGCTGGAGGCTGCCGATGAGGGAAAGAAGGATGAAGTGAAGAAGCTCTACCAGGAATACACGTCGGATTCAGTCTTTGAGCCCTTGAAGCAGCCCATCAAGCGCAACAAGAACACCATGACCATGTTCTCCTATGGGGCCGGCAAGTCATACAACGACGCGTGAGTGATTTAACAGCGGCGTTTAGAATCTGGTAGGACATCCATGTCCTAGATTCGGCAGTGCAGAAAAGGTTTTTACAAGTTCCATTTCATGTCTGGAGTCTGGAGAAGAGTTTGTTCTTTGGAAGTTTGATGAAGTTGAAAGCAGTCTCGTCCAACTCCAAATTGGATTCAATTCAAATAGGTAAGCGCAAACAGCTGTTCGGATGGCAGGTTACTCAACAAAGTGTCTCCTTGTTGTTAAAAAAATCAGCAAATTCTTTGTCCAAATCACCTCAAAGCAAATCAACATTTCAGCTGAGGCAACGATCGGCTGCCATGGTGTCCGCATCGTCTGTCGGTCTGAACTTCAAGCCTATGCAATGGGTGATAGTGCGCAGATAGTCACAATTGCAGTTGGTTTTGCAAAGAAGTACTGCAAGGCTTGTAAGGAACAGATCATCGCTGTCATGAGTGCACTTGAAATGCAAGTTTTCATCTACCGGCTGAGATATGCCTTGAGTTTTTGGTTTGCCAAAGGGAAAACAACAAACACCAATAAACGCTACAGACTCTGTATTTCACTTCAAAATGTTGAGGAACGGACTGTCGGATAAGGCATTGGCTGTGCAGTCGACATCGACCATGACGACAAAGCCATCATCTTTGCAGTGATCGCATCGGAAAAAACCGGCCAAGTTCCAGGATAGTTGACTAGAAGCCGCGGCTGTTCAGCACGGCTGTTTGAGACCTGTATTGTCCAGGTTTCGTTCATATCTCAGACACTTAGTACTGGTAGCAACTGAACCAACCTGCTGCCTGACAACTTAGAAGACAGTGAGTGACTCAGCTGTCTTTTCTTTGCGATGGCTCTCAGCTTGAATAGTTGATGATTCACAGAAAAGTTCGGTCTTGACACCGGCCGTGACACCGGCAGCGGCCCTAGTCGCTAAAGATTCGTCTGAAAATAGGGTACCCCAACAAATCATGAAAGCTAGCTCTTGCTAGCGGAAGTCCCTCTTGCTTAGCACGGTGCTGGAATCGGCAATCACTTGAAAACTTCACAGTTAACTACCCCCCACCTGTTGTTTTTGGAAGAAGTTTTGCCGTGGCTAAATCCCCCTCCCCGGACATCGTCACCATATCATCGCAATCAGCATCATCAGCATCATCAGGCTTTTACTCTCCACTTCGAGTCTCCCAATTCCTCTCGAACCGCTCTATCAGTGATTTATCAGCACGCCTTCCTCCTTTTACCTTCCCAGCTTTCGTACCCTACCCCTTGGATCCCCTTGGCCTCAAGTTTGATGGCTGAAGACCCCATTTGACACACCCACATTGACCCACATATCACATTCTCCATCCCATGATATCCCTATGATTTGCTTATACAACTTATATCAACTTATAACTTACACTTATATCATCTTATCTCTATATACAATGCTTAAATAAATTTTAATCATAAATTGTTAAATCATTCAATCCCATGATATTCCCATGAATTCTTGGTTATTCCATGTTGTTCCATGTTATTCCATGGTCATACCTCTATTTTTCCTCGTTAAATCCACTGTTTTTATATCACAACTCGCGCGTCACGGTCCCCGTTTCGTGACGTTTTGACGAAACTTGGTCACGAGGTCATGGCGGCGTTCGTAGTGACCCCGGCTGGGCCGCCGTGGTCCATGCAGGCCATGGTTGACCATGGGAAAACATACAGATGATGGGTATGGATCAATACCTATTAATACCATTTTTAGGGGGATGAACATCCATTTACCAGCTATTTTGATGTTCACCAGGGGTACAAGGTTTTGACCCACTGCCATGATGGGACCCCCATTTGATAAAGCTAATTTGCCCATAGAAAAGTGGCTGAATTCTATGGTTTATGGTAGATACTATTGTAGATATAAGAACTATAGTAAAAAAAGGGGGTATAATTGTTTATAAACCAACTTATAACTGGAGGGCCCCATCCTGTATGGGGGTTTCCAGAAATGGGGGAATCCCCAATAGCTGGATGGTTTATTTCATCGAACATCCATCTATAAATGGATGATGAAAATCGGGGTACCCCCATTTCAGGGAACCTGCATATGGGGATATCATGATATCATGGGAATATCGTGGGATGCAATTTTTCAGAGTGGCAGCTCAGTGATTTAAGACGGTTGAGCAGAAGATTGGCTGAATCCCAACTTGTTTCTACATGGATGACGTAAGGTGCAACCTGAGCTTATGTCTTTGTGTCTCATAGTTCTCCTAACTTGTGAGCCTTGTGGGTCCATAAATTTCTTTGGGCTTGTTTGCGTGACCCCTCAAGTATCCGTGGTCCAAGCTGGCTGTTCACTCCAAATTCGACAGCCTTCGTGTGCAGAAAAAATTCAATGGATTGCCTCCAACTGCTTGCACAAAGTAGCCGAACGTGGGAAAGTAATTCTGTCATCATGAAGCAACATTTCCTTCCTGGAAGTACTACCTAGCCGGCTGGCACATGCACATTTACATCATTTTCCATGTCGTGACTGCTCTCTTAGGATAGTTCTTGTTCACCACATGTTTCAAGCTCCTGCCTCAGCTGCATTCAGATGCTGTTTTTGCTACTGTTTTCCTCTTGTTGTTTTGAGACAGTGAGAGTGTGCTGGAAGATGCTGGAAGACTGCAATGATTTGCACTACCAAGATTGAATCCCAGCATCTTTCAACTCGAAAAACTTGGATTTCAGAGATTTGCAAAGCGCAGTTTTTTTGGTCCTGTGGCCTTGCGAATTTAGTGATCCCGATTGTGTGGCTCCATGGCGCGCGGAAGACTTTCGTCTGCCCTGGTGCTGGTTGCAGTGGCGAGCCTTGCCTTGAAAAGCATCACTGAGGTCTTCGTTGCTCCCCTCAGCAGGAGACGCAACCTGGGTGGCAATCTTCCCAATCTCCCCAATGACTCACCAGAAATGGCTGGGCATTATATGTGATGTTTTTTTATATATATATATATGTAAATATATATATATATTATAACACACACACATATCGCCATATACAGCCATCAAACGTTGGGGGTCAACTTGGCATTTCGTTTCGCACACTACCATACATTACCATCAACTGCTGTAGCCAGAATCAATGTTTGCACAACATGTCCTTTGGAGCTGAACTGGGTACCCTGCTACAAGTGTTTGTGTGAAGCAAAGACGCTTGCAGAGACAACCCAAGTGTTAAAGACCTCAGCTTGGTGCGGCAGAATTCGAATGCAAAATAAGACCTGAGGGATCAATCTGCTAATCCCTGTAGTGTTTTAAAGAAGTTGATACGGTTTGAACTCACCTGCTCTTGATCCTACTCACAGCGCTGGCTTCCGAATTGGGAGGAGAGATGCACTCCAGGCAACTGGTTTCTCTATGACCACTCTTGGCAGCCAGGCAGTCTGGGCCGATGCGCAGGGCGAGCCCACCGCATGCCTTATTAGGTATGGGCCCCAGATCTTGAAGCTGAAGGATGCCGTTGATGCGGGTGACATGCAAGCCATTCTGAAGAAGGAGCCAAAGTTCAAGCTGCTGAACAGCTACTGGCGCAACGACCCGGCCCTGTTTGAAAAGTACTCCACCCTGTCGGAGAAGCTGCTGGAGGCTGCCGATGAGGGAAAGAAGGATGAAGTGAAGAAGCTCTACCAGGAATACACGTCGGATTCAGTCTTTGAGCCCTTGAAGCAGCCCATCAAGCGCAACAAGTTCACCATGACCATGTTCTCCTATGGTGCCGGCAAGTCATACAACGACGCGTGAGCAGATCAGCCTAGAGGGGAGTAGGGTAGTTTAAACATCGCAGGGCACAGACGACAGACGGTTGGTAGCTTCGTAGCTTCAACCGGTGTTTTGTGAAACCAGCTTTTTTGATAGCCTTCTGCGGCCTCAAAAAGTGGCAGGTTTGAGGCCTTGCATCAGCTGTTTCATGATCAGCTGCTGACACTGTCTGCTGAATGAATCACCACATCCATGAGGACCGCCGATGATGTATGCGCCCACACAAACACAAGGTCGGGGAGCGGGAAGTTGAAGCACATGCTGCAAACGCATAGCTGAAGATACTTACACTGATTACCCTCATTCTGTGTCATCCTTTTCTGTGACTTGGAGTTGTGCCGGAACTCAAGAGAAAAGATTGGCTGAACGTGCTGCTCCTGCTCGAGTTCTGATTTGCGAACGTGCGACATGCAGCCAAAGACTTTGCCGATGGAGCTGTTGCTTTTGTAGGCACATCCCTTCCGCACATGCGGGGCAACCGTGCGAAGGCAGTGGACAACCCTTCCTGTGCTCTTGGTGGTTTGTTTTCACATGTCTTGGTTTTCCGCTGTGATGCCAGACTGGTGCAGCCATGGCGTGCCAGCCTTAAAAGATTGTGCATGTTCTGACAAATTGGAACGAATTGGAACGAATTGGAAGGTGGTTTTTCGAGTTCTGATCCTTGTCAATTTTGGGTTTCGACCCCAATGGCAAAGAAATACCCGATAGGTCAGGCCGGGGCAGTGTCGTTTCGTCACCAGCCTCATCACCAGCGGAAGACTGTGGCTCGAGCCTTGGCATGCTGATCATTGCGTGGAGATATTTGCATATCACAAATGGATTTCAATGGTCTTCATTCAGGAACTTGGGATATCCAGCGATCCAGGATCAGTGATTTGGACCAGGTGATTTGAATAATTACCGTAGCTGTCCGCAGGCGATTCAGTGAGCCAGAAGTGGCCTGTCTGTTTGCCCGCTCCTTCTGCTGCCAGCGTTCGAGCTGAGGCTTGAGCAAAGGTTCGATTTCTCAGCTACAGGAGTGTCTTGGGCCTTTTCGAAAACAGGGATGCAGCGACCGGAGTGCATACAGGGCATACAGTACGGTTCCAACATGCTGAAAGGCTGCAAGATGGACAGATGAAATGATGGTTTCCTGAAATAGGGGTACCTCAAATGGATGGTTTATAATGGAAAATCCATGAAAATCCTATTGAAGTGGATGATTTAGGTGTACAAAGTTGTGTCAATGACATCACTGAGAAGTGCGCCCCTCAGACTTCATCACAAGCAAAATCCATGCGATGCCAGGTTTGTGCAGGGTGCCAAGATCTATCCCATGCCTCCGAATTGTCCGGTGTTGCAGTGCGACCCTCAGTCCTCAGTATCTGTGGGCATTGGCTTGCGACCTATGCCGTGATGGCCTTACACTCGGCTCCAAACGCAGGTGGAGATATGATACTCGGCCGGCCGGGGCCTCTAAGTAGACTCACATTGACATGACCAGCTGCTTGCCAAGCCAAATTAGAGTCTGCCACAGCAACCAAGGCGGAACAGACTCCCTAGCACTGCGTCTATTTCTCCCATAGATGAGGGTGAACGTATTGTATGACTGCATGACTGTAAAGTGGCAGCACTTCTTCCAAAATCCTCAGGACTCGGACTCGCCAATAGAACTCAGCTGAGGTTGGAAGTAGCATGGAGTTTTGTGCGACGTGCTCTTTTCTCCTTGATGGTGTTGCACACCACACAGTAGGTGTCAGGAAGCACAGTTTGTGAGCCAAGCCGAGCCTCATCAGGGGACATGTCCAAGGAGATGACATGGCCAGAAAGGGAGACGTTTCCTGCATTTTCCCCATAGATGAACTTTAGAACAGTTTGGAGGTGTTTTGATTGAGCGATTTTGCCTTTTTGGTGTTGGCAAGGTTGAGCGTTGTGTCAAACAAAATCAATTTACGGAACTTCCGCAAATGGGTTGCGTCTGCATAGATTATACAACCATTGGATTACCCTACTATGATGTGAGAGCATGAGATTTTATGAAATATGTCACCATGTCAAAAGATGGATTATATAGGTGAATCGTGCTTGACCGCAGCATACCATGCAGCAAGAGCCAAAGGGAAAAAAATTGGGATGGTCAAACCAATGTATATAGTCTATTATATAGTATATATTTAGTTTGTAATAGGGACTTATCATGATTTATCATGATTTATCTAGTTTACATACCCATGATGTAGCCATGATACCCGAAAAAAAACAAGTTTTGGATTCCGCTTGGATCACCAGAATTCCCATGGGATGACCGGGTTTTGATTCACGGTCCTTTTGGAAATTCTGCAGGCTTGGCGCAGCAACAAGAAATTGTCACAGCGTGACACCGCAGAGCGGGTCAGAATCTCAGCGTTTGTCGGAAATGGCGATTCTGAGACGAATGACATTTGTCGGAAACATATTTATATATCTAAACGGATTATGTGTGTAATATATTACATTGTAAATAAAGACAAACATAAATTGATCATTCTATTTTACTTGCTTTTACTATGGCAAAATTGTAATTTTGTTGGAGTGGATGCTTTTTGGATACTTTCCGGTGCAGATTCTGGTGCTCCCTGGCCCCCCGCGCCCAGACTCTTGGGCTGTTTGTGAGCCGTTGGGCTTCGCTGATCACCTTAGATGAGCTCGCAGGCGGCTGTCATACCTTTTTTTACAGCCACTGGCAACTGGGAACTGATCCATTTCCTGGGGTCATCGGTCATCCAAGTTGCTGTTTCTCATGGTTCGATGCGCAAAGTAGACATGGCAAAAAGGAAGGCAGATATGCCCGAACTCAAGTGAATCGATCGAATCTGTTGCCATCCCAAGCGTGGTACTTCCATCCCAAAACCCCCGGTGGCAGACATTCCGTCCGTCCCGGTTTTGAAGCCCCGTCCCCAAAGGTGTGGCGCACAAAGATGCGCTCCCAGAGCCACACCGAAGCGAGGCCGGGGTTCCAGTAGATCATTGCATGGTGATTTTGTGTGATTTGGAGGAGGTTTTCCTGGAGGTTAGGACTGATGGTTGCAACAGCCGCTGGTTGTTGCTCGCTGACAGATTGAACTCTTGGACAAGTTCTGCGAAAGGCGAGGGGTGTAGCCCTGAGGCAATCCCTAGGTTGGATCCACTTTCAACTCTCGGGGTGTGATCTATGTACTGTATACATGTTCAGCCCCCCTGTGTGGTTCAGAAAGCTTTTCTACGGAGATTCTTTGCATTCGCCGCCAGGCTCTCCTGGGATGGCCCATCTTCTCTTGGCTGGAGCCACAGGCTGGGCTGAAACAGCTGAAACAGCTGAAACAGCTCCCCGAAATCCAGCTGCAGATGCTGCAGCTTGCAGGTGGGAAGGCGGCCAATGCCAAGCATTCGCTGAAGTGAGATTGCTTGATGCCATCCTGGCATCATTTCCCGCGATTTCGGCTTAGAGCCTGGAAGAAGTTTTGTGGCCTGGCAGTGGCAGGTGCCTCATACTTTCCAAGGAAAGAAAATGCCGACTCTGGAGGCACCTCTAGAATCATGACTTCTTTGGAGCTGGTCACTTCTAGAATCAAGATATCCCTAGTTGGGGATTCTGCAAACTGGGGGGCTCCCTGCAAGTGCACATTCGCGCTGTTTCGAATCTGATCATCTGATCTATTTGGCATCCAGGCAGCATACAATGACACTGCTCGACGTGTGCTATGGTATCTGCAATGTCCCGGATATGAGGACCGCTCTCTTCAGGTTGAAGGGTTGATTTCATGGCCCAGGAGGCCAGGATAATACAAGAATGCCTGTCCCACTTGCCTTTACTTTCTCATGTTTTTCAAAGCTGTGTACCCTTGATCGGCTAGAAGAAGCGCAAGAAGCGCAGTCTTTGAGACTGAGACTACTTGCAGGACATGTTCGAGCCCAACCAAGAATATGTCAGAGCTGTTGCCCAGGCTGCATGCGGATCTGAGAGAGTCTCGAAAGTAAAATATGAGTTGCCCATGAGCGAGCTTGGTGCATGGAGGGTATGTCACTGAGCTTGTTTGCACAGCCTTGATTTCAGGCTCACCGAAGCACCTGAATGGCTGGATGGTAAGGTAAGATATTGTAAGATGGTGTCACTATGTGTCACCTATCCAGCCAGGAGATACCGGAACCCCATCCGTGCTGGAACAAAGATGAGGCCCTGCAGGAATGCCAGGTCCCAAGTCACTGCTCGCAACTGAAGCCATGTGGAAAGAACTAGACTCTGCAAGCACCGGTTGGTTCCAGAGCTTCTGGCCCTCCTAAATCTCGAATCAAAATGAGTCAAAATGAGTCAAACACATCATGACACATCACTTCCAAATCTTCCAAATCTTCCAAATCTTCCAAGTCGTTCATGATCCGTTCCAGGTGAGGATCGCAGCCTTGCCCAGAGAAAGACGATCATCAGAAAGGCGGGGCAAGGAGAGCAGGGCGACAAAGTGTGAAATGAGGACGGCATTGACCTGATGACCCCAATGAAATCAACAGCAACGTAAAGGATACTTATGAAATCTTATGAAGAGGAGAAGTTCAGAAGACAAAGAAGAAAAAGAACACATTGAAAATGGGGATGGTGGCAAAGGTGACAAGAATGACAAGCTGTGATGAAGAAGCATGGGACAAGAAAAAGTCGTTGTGGCCAATTCTTGCCTTACTGTTCCAAAAATCTAAGGTTCAGAAGCGTCTGGAGCAGGCACAAATAGTGCAAGACTGTTGTTGCTGCACGGCATGTGGTGCAAGGGCATGGTGTCACAGACATTTCTTGATCCTCCCCTGGCGCGTGGCCACTTTTCTTGAAGGTCTCTTCCCTGGAATCAGGAAAGCCTGCTGGAAGCTGAGAGTCACTCCCAAAGATGCGCAGGGAAAGACTTTTCATGGGGTCGGACATGACTCCAAGGTGTGGTACTGGAGCTTCGAACGGGACATGAAGGCTTTGATATTCACGGCTGGTTTGAATTTTCCTGCATATGGGTGCTTTATGGTGCTTTTTTTATCGGACTATTCTCATCAACCTCTCCAAGATCCTTATGGCGGGCAAAGGCAAAGGCACTGCCCATCTAGATTGTCAGCATACAGCACCGGCTGCAGTGAATTTTCAATAAGTTGTTCAGCGAGAACTAAGAACCTACCCCATGAACAAAGACCGTAGTGTGGGGACTGCATGAATTTCCAAGATGATCCAGTCAGTGCCAACATGTGCCATTTCAACTTGCTCACAGGACAGAGGCTGGCCGCCTCTTTTTCGAGCGCATGTGTGCGGGGCTTGGAAAGTGATTCCGAGTCTGAGAGGTCTGAACTGCTACATGATTCTGAGAGGCATCATCTGAATCTCGTTTTTGTGGAGCGAAGCATCATTGGCAACTTCAAAGCCTTTGATTCGAGGACACTTGCTGCGACTGACCGGTCGTTCTCTGGCACGTGGCAGCGTGGGCAGGGCTCTTGGTCACCAGAAGTTGTGACGTGTCATGTGCAGTCTCCTTGCATGCAAAGTAATTTGACTAGCAATTTGACTGGTTGTTCATGTTTTTGGAAAACATACGGCCCCCAGCACGATCAGCATGAAAAAAGCCAACTGTGAGGCAGCGGGAGGCACAGATTCAAGTCTGCGCTGGATGCTCAGAGGGAAGATCCTGGCATGAAATCCGGGCATGGGAGGCAGGATATCCATGGATATCCTATTGTTTATATATATAATTATATATATATATATATTCTCGCAAACTGTGAAGTACTATAATTCAGAAATTTCACAAAGAATGAACCAGTGATTCATGAGGGCCTTGTTGGCTAGGCATTTCAAAAGACACTTCAACGATCTTTCGCTGCGCTGAGGCTCTCGTATCTCAGTTACTGGACAGTCTGTGATGCCCAAGCCGTCCAGTCCTCTGACCAGTTCGCAAATCTGTAGCAACTGTCAGTCCCACAGTACCGCGGCACCAGGGGTAAAACAATGGAGTCCGAAGCAGATGTTGGGAACCTGAGCAGGATATGGGGTCTGTGTCCAACATTTTATCGTCAAATTTGTCACTGGCCAAGTGATTAGAGCACTGCTTTCTGGCTGCAACTTCTTTTTTTTTTACTGCCAATGGGTGGATCTTTTGTTTTTGACCGGTTTTTTTTGCAATCTTTTTCTCAGAGCTTGCCACTGTTCTGGCAAATGAAAGCCGAAGCACCACTAAGCACAAGAAGATATGCTGGAATTTTCTAGACTTACGCCGATTACCTTGCAGCCTTCCCTCCAATCTAGCTTGCTGGGTGCCAAAGTCCAAATCAGCTCAGACCAGGTTGCCTCCACACCGAGGTTCCACAAGTGAACACCTGAGTCTTGCTCAGGCTGCGTAGACTCTTCTCTGTACTTGAATCGGTTGTGTGAGAGTTGAACTCCTCTTTAGATTTGTCGCTGCCGGAATGGCTGGACAGAATATGTCGCCATGATTTCTTTGGCAAGCGCTCTGGTTTTCCCTGTTAGGTTCTGTAAATGCCAAGGCCGGGCGTGAGAGACAACCCTCCGCCTGCCCTCCTAATCTTAAGCTGAATTCATTGCCTTTGTGAAGCCAGCATGACATTATGTTAGCATTGGCAGACATAACAACCTGTAGAGCAAATCGGCGTAAAGACGGTCCTCTGAATCATTTTGCGGACCACCTCTGAATGTTTCCGAATCAGTTTTGCGGAAAAACAGTTGAGCATTGTCATCATGTTGCAGCCTGTCAAATGGGTCCCCCTCAGACCCATACACTTTGGGATTTTTTTTGGTGGGAATGCCGAGGATGATGACCGGGATTTTGCAGCTGGTGACTTTCCCTGTCCTTGTGGTGGTAGTATTGGTAGTGGTGATGGTAGTGGTGTTGGTGGTGGCCATCGTGGTGGGCACGGGTGATGGTGTTACTCGTTCCAATAAACAAAGCTCCTCTGATATGACTGCTGCAAGCGAACAACAATTCCCCCCTTTGGCCATTTAGTGCAAAAGCGTGAATTATGATCGTGGCCAATGATGCCAATGATGCCAACGCATGCCAACGCAAATTTGTGACGCGGCACAAAGTACTGTATCTGAAAAATCCTTGCCTGCAAATCGAAGAAGGCCAGCTGTGAGAAGCCGTGCAGAAACAAGCCACACGGCTTGAGTACACACACGAAACGTGTTATAGGCCCCTCGGCCAAGCAACACACGAAGGATATAGCGGTTGCAACAATGAGACCACGCAAATGCTTTACCCAGTGTTTGAGTGAGTGAAGGGTACACCTTTTACATCCTTTTACATCCTTTTACATTGAATGCATCGACACAAGGGGCAATCATTGTGTGTAGAGGTTTGTCAAATGCCAACCACGCCCGCACCAACTCGAACGAATACCCAGCTTCATGGCGTCAGACATTTTCCTTGTGGATTGCAAGCATGGTGTCACCTCTTGTGATGCAGGTCGCCACAATCAAAATTTGGGTCAGGACGCGGTGCCCGTAGATGCATAATGATACACACACATATATATATATTATATATATATAATATACATATACAGTATACAGATACATACATGATTCTAGTATGTTCAACGAATCATTTCTTTGGATGTGCCGTTTCTAACTTGGATTCAGAAGTGAAAATGGTCACAACCCAACATCGGTTTTAGAGTGCATACTGCGGTGCTAGCTGCTAGTTGCTTTGCAAGCTGACGTCAAGCTCTGTGTGGCACATTTCAAAGCGATGAGAACTATTCAGACAGTTTCCACCAGCCTAGGCAGAAACAAGACCCGAAGTTTGCGCAGGATTCCGGCGGGTCCTTGTCATTGTTGTGAATCTCACTTCGCATATTCATATTCTGTTGAGTCCCTGTCATGCCCTAACTTTGCAGATGTTGGCGGAATCAAGCAAGGATCATCAAAGACCTGCTTCTGATACTGTAGGAGTTTGAATCGCGCACAGTTAATCGCGTTGTGTCGGTTTCGACGCGGTGGAAGAAAGAAATATGCAAACTTCAACCGAGTGAAGTCCATCGCCCTGGGAGAGTTTCAAAGCGTACGTGATTCAGTTGGATTTGGATTCTCACTTGCAATATTTTTCGGATTTGTATTTGAAATATTTGAAGTTTGTTTAAAGATTTTAAAGCTTTCCAGAAGGCTTTCCAGGATCTTGAGTTGAGTAAAATTATGTACATTTGAAACTTACTTCGCGTCATTGCAAAGCTTTGCAACCGCTTACAGCATCCCCATATAGTTCGTCTCTTTGCTTCCTCTGTGATCATGACGACATGATCAGTAGGGGCTACCGCTCGTGTTTTTCGGCCCGCCTATATTTCCAGACAAGGCCCACCTCACAATCCTAGATTGTCGGCGCCGGGCT